AGATGTGTACAGAAACAATTGAAACAGAATGCCCAGGCTTCTCGCAGGAATCTCATTGTGGCATGGGATAACTTTGACTACAGCCAGACTGTTCGACATCAAACTATTCGTGATCCATCAGAGCATATCTCCGCCACCACTGGCAAGCTTTGTATCGGTCAGTCCATCCCTGCAGGAGGGCTTCTCCGATCTATGTTCCATCCAGAGGTTACACTGAGTCCTCATGATATCTACATGGCACCAGGCAATCAGGATGATGAGATCTTCCATCAATGTCAGCGCCATTGGATTGCAGAGGCCATTCGCTATACTCATCGGGAGGCAGTAGAGAAACTATTTACTGCGGAAGCGTGCGTCAAACCAGGCCAGATGAAACCGCGAGCCCATCTTATTGACTGGCCTGAATTCCCAGCAGTTAAACGACTGCAAGCGCAGAAGACAATTCACTACAGCCTTGGGCCAATGTTATACAACGAAGGCACGACAGAGGGGACATACAAGGTCATTCAGAATGTCTTTCTGGAGCAACTGGGGGATGATGATGATACAGACCTTGATGGGCTTTTACAACTGGTTTATGGAGATCAGAAAACAGTGTCACTCCTTCGTGCCGTCAAAAAAGAACGTGCGGAGGCTTCTCGTCTTTTCGATCGTTTCAGCTGGATATTGCCAATCCCCGGACTGTTCCACTGGCGTATGAACTACTTGGATATGATCTTTGAGCTCTATGCTGGGACAGACCACCCTACCGTTGAATCGACGATCCATCATAATAAGGTCTGTCTCGGTTGCGTACAGGGACACAAAAGTCCATTCCACCATAAAGAAGAGGTGGCTACTCGCTCATTTGACGCTCGCGTCACGGCCATGTTCTATCAGTTTGTCCCATTAACAGTCAATTTCGCGGATGCTAAAGATGTGGATGATTGGATTCAAAGCCTCGGAAGGGGTCAATTCCTGGACGTTGTGGATCAGATACGCCAGTCTCTGTTCCATTTTAAAGAGCAGCAGTCTAAGGTTCGTGAACGAGAAGGAGAACCAGTCGACTATGAGTTCTCAGCACATGCGAAATTCCTTCAGCAGATGGAGACTTACAAGTCCTTGAAGCTTGCCATCAAACTTGGTGACATTGGAATTATCCAGCGGATCTTTGCACAATGTTGTCTCCTCTTCCCTGGCACAAAGAAAACCCGATATTCTTTCCTCTCCTTGTATATGACATGGCTCACTCAAACCAAAGTAGCTGATCCCGAGCTGCAGACTGCCATTCTTGCCAACGGACTTGTGAATCTACGGGGTGCGGAGGACGGTTGGTTCGAAATTGATCGACTGAATGAGTTCTTCAATCTTCATATGAAGACACTCATGTCGACTCGACGGACCTCAAATCTGGACATCACTACCATGTTCCGTCGAACTGCTCTCACAGCCAGCTACTGTACTGATCTAAAGGAGCTTCTGGAGGCTACCTTTGGAGAATATAGCAATGGGCGACACCAAAATAAGGATGCTAGCCAGGATGTTCGTCATCTAGCTTATCAGATCTCGAAGTGCATCCAAAAGCAACCAAATGGTCGGACAAGAGGCTTTCAACCATGTGATATACTCACAGAAACAATTGGCGAAAAGCTCTTCAAAGCCGTACAGAACTTCAATAGCCTCGTCGTCAACGGACAGTGGGCACAAGAAGTTGATTTTAGCAAGATGACATCGACTCCTATTGCTGTTCTAGATGAGATTGAAGAGAATGACACATGACACTGAATAGCAGGTTGCTGCCGGGACAGCTTTAGCTATACTTCTCTTCATTCCATTGATAATACTCCCACGCTATATTATAAGGTGACTGACACACATTGATGGAATGCATCAGATGGATTGTTCATCATTCTCTACCAGACCTTAGAACCTAGGTCTTCTCCACCCTTCATCACGCGACGCCCATTTCCTGATACCACACCGAGGGCCTTGCGTTTGGGAACTGGAGTTGCCGAAGGAGGAGGCATGTCCATAAAAGCTTGGGATGGCGTGTTAATATCAACCCACGGAGAGATATTCCGAGATGGAGTTGGTTGACTGGTGCTTTCTGGCGTGACTGCAGAAGACCATGTGAGGTTGCTGCATTCACTCATTTGACTAGAGTCATTCGACACACGCTTCCTCTTTGCAGGGGTTTGAATAGTGGCCATAAAGGCTGCTTGATATGCATTCTTCAAGACATCCACAAGACCCTCAGCAAGCTGATTCGACAAAGCCCATATTCCCAATATTGTCTGAAGATCCTTTGCCTGGAAATATTCCCGCTCCGAATAGGTGGCATTTTCAATATATATCGCAAGATGGACATATTGTTCTTCTGCCAGTATGCTTGAGCAATCAGGTATGAACTTCACTCCGTTCAAAGCGCTTGAAAGGACCTCCTTGGACCAATATTTTAACTGGTTGATGATTATCTCGTCCATCTGTCCTGACCTCGGACCGTGCTCAGTATACAGATAACGAGTTGGATCATTGAGCTGATACTCAGGATTGCAGTTGCTGCAGCACCGGTCACGCCGAGGATTACATCTGAACTCTTCAGGTTCATTGAAGTAGTCCAGGAACCGTTTCCGGAGGCATTCTGTAGGCTCATTGGCAAGGAGATACCAAAATTCAGGCAACACAGCACGTCGCTCTTCATGACTTAAGCGTCCACCTTTCTGTGGTCTCTCAGGGTTTGCTTCTTTGACTTCATCATCTGAATCGGCCAGTGGGTTGTCTTCCGCTAGATCATCATTTTCTGTATGAATCTTGCGTTTCACGGCACGTTTCTTGATACGCCCCTGTATCCACTGATCAACGAGAATAACGATCTTTCCATCCTGTCCAAGGCGAGATGCCCGACCACCGCGTTGCCAGAGCGTTGCTGGTTGTAGGTTTTTGGGGAACCGATACATGACAACTTGATCAATATCCTGGAGGTCCACTCCGAGCGCTAGTGCCTCGGTGGTCATGAGGACACGAAGCTTGGATTGCGGTCCGGGTTTCTGAAGCTCTTTGATCATTGCTTCCTTGTCTCCCTTTGCGGTGTCGCTATGGTAGACCTTCACCGTATCCATTGCCTCTTTGAGGGTATAGTTGCAATGTTGAACACTTGCCCCATCTGGTTGCTTGTTATGCTGCAGCCAATACCGACAATTTTCCATGGCAGTATATGCATCATTCTTCGAGTCAAAGAATACCAATGTCTTTGGGATTCGTGACGGTCGTAAAATGGGCTGACAAGGACCATTGTCAAACAGGAAACGCAAGGCCGTTGCCTTCTTATGCGCGCCTTGTGGGATCCAAGCTGTTTGAATGAGCAACTCTGGACGATTGACGGATGTCCGCAAGATTTCAACATCCTTTGGAAACCCAAGTCCCTCAATAACAACGCGCAATGTATTCATATCAAGCGTAGCAGAGCATGCAAACCAGGGGACGCCACTGCCGAATAGACTTCGCAATTGATGCAATCGCGCATAGTCCGTTCGAAAATCTTTGCCCCATTGAGCCACAAGATGAGCTTCGTCTACAACAACCAGAGCCAGCCGGTCTCGGAAACCTGGATGCATAGCAGTTGAACGGAACTTGTCACTGATTGCAAGCTCTGGACTCACGAGGACATGTGTGAACTTGCCCGCTTGTACCCTGTCAAGAAGTTCGGATGAGAATGTTTCCCTGTTTAGGAAACAAGGTCGCCCTCCAATGTTCTCGATGTAATTGGTCTGCTCAACGCCAATTTGATTCAATGGAAGCACAACAAGGGTGATAGACTTATCAAGCAAGAGTGACACTGCTTGCAATATCATACTCTTCCCAAATGACGTCTTCGCAATCAGGATAAGGTCCTTTCTCAGGTAGATCAATTGTCTCAATGCTTGCAACTGACCCGCACGTGGATAATAGGGATACAGCTCTCGAATTGCTTGTCTGATGGCTTGGTCCTGTTCATCCTTACGCTTCTCAGACGCATCGCGAATCAGTTTCTGCGCTTGAAGAACTGAATTCTTCTCAACTTGTTGTTTCTCCAGCAAGACAGTTGCGCCCTCATTCTCGTACTCCACTCCCAATTCAATAGGCTCTCCAGCCTTTGAAGAAGTTCGATTATTCTCAGAGGCCAACCAGTTATCCAACTGTGTCTGTCCATTTCCGGGGTCGTTCAGTTTCGCGTTATATTTCCGAGGAGGCTTCCGTCGTGATGGGCGTCGATCTGGCATCGTGAGGCGGGTTTGGAGTCAATTCTCACGCGATAGAGTTAATATTGTGGATCAGATGTAGCCACTATACATTAAAATATGTCAATATATGCTTCATGGAGGTTTTGGCGGAATACTTGGGGCATATAATGGCTTTGACAGCTTAAGAAAGGGTTCCTTCGGGTATTTTAAGGACATATTTCTCACCCACCTTTCCAGTTATACATACAATTTTGGTGTCAATGGGTTCAGCTCAGAAAGATGCAGAAGACATCGTCGCCCGATTCTTAATATTCGCGTGGGTGCGCGAGAAACTTGGAAATATTGAAAGACGCGCCTGGAAACTTCGCCATATAAACACGGGCAAAAACCCCGGAAACTTGTATGGTACCACCAAATTCCCAGCTCAGACGTTCCCCAAAAAAGGTGTGTCAGCATCGCTGGAAACAGCAGGCGGTGGATGGCCAAATTCACCGCCTTTTTGGGGGCGGCTGAGGTAACTGAGGTAAGGTTTATCTTTTAGTTTCGCTCGGCGGGCATGGATGTGCACTTTTCTTACTGTTACAATTTACATACATGTATCTCCAATATCTAATGTTATGTCCAAAGAAGCCGAACCCCCGAATTTTAAAATAAATCAATAGTGCGAAAGTCAGACATGAGCCACAGGGGCCTTAGTGAGATGGGGCCCAAGATCTGTATTCCGTATTGGGCGAAGCGAGGGCCCCACGGCTTAGGGGGGAAGATAAATAAATTGTCGGAAGGATATCTGCCGGATCGTCTCTATGGACTTGCATAAGTGCCGAAGCCGTGTATGTATAAGAGCATTGACAGCTTCGATTTCTGGAAATCAGGCAGCAGTTTGGCGCAAACTGGGGCTGTGGCTGTGGCTGTGTTTTTGCTGTCGAAGAGCGAGATGATGGTGGTGTGCGGGGACTGGGTGGGGATTAAAGTGTGGTTTTCTTCCTTGTTATCGGATGATCCGGAAATAACATCATGCATTATGATTATGATTAGTGGTTATACGTTACCTGTAATATGTGGAGCGTTCAAGAGAGATCCTCCATACATGGACTGTTGGACCGAGACTATTGAATGACTATAGAACACGAATTCCAAAAGACAGATCGCCGAAACAGATGCGCCGAGAGTTCGGGTTCAAGCCACGATAAAAGGCCGCGTGGGCAAGAAGTGGCGGGTGCTGTAGTAAATTAGGGTCTCCATGACGCTAGGCGGGAACGGTGATTAGGGCAAAGCTATACAGGTAACTGACGCCCAGCTAGTCCCATCCGAGTAAGCGTAGGTGAGTGGCCACGAGTCCCTGCGTCTAGAGCGTAAGCAATACGGCACAAAAAAAGGCAAAAAGGACAAAAAGGGTCAAGGGTCCTTGCAGGAACGTAAGCCGGGTACAGCCCTGACGAGTCAAGCTTCTGGCGTAAGCTGGGAGATAGAATGAGAAGGGTTAATTCGAGCGCTAAAACACTAGCCTACCTCAAGCACGGAAGTGTATTTGCTGGAGAAGGACTAGACAGCCAAACTACCGTGGATATACGTAGGCTGCATACGTATGCCCCGTCTAAGATTGAGCTTAGGCAAATCATCGCTCGGCTGAAGAAACCCCAAAACGGTCCGCGTTCTGCCACGAACCACAAACCCCCTCGGGCATGTTCCAGATCGGAGGTTTGAAGCTTGGCCTGATCTACCGAAAAATTCTAAAAAAAATAGAAAAGTACGCAGAACACGCATGCGCAAAAAGCAATGGTTGATTTTAATCTCCTAATGGAGTTTACCCGATTCACAATCTAAGTAGCCCTGGATGTTTACGAATCACTTCTTTGAAGCTATACAGTAAGACCATACTATGCGTCGCCATCTTACGTACGTTCAGCGGAGAGTCCCCGCGCGAATGGTTTTCGGGGCGGGGCGGGCGCTGGACGCGTACGAATACGAAGTGTAGCTCGAGCCAATGTCTCGCTATAGTTAAATGACGGTCTTTAGAAGACTAGGTTATCTCATTGGCGTGGAGATCACATGCCATTATGTTTAACTGTTCAACCTACAACATGTATGTAGGTTTACCATGATCGGACTCCGCAGAACGGAGAAAATTTCAATAGGAACTCGGCTGAGAGTACCCTTTCCAGAAAGAAAAAGGCAGAGCTCTAGGGTTTTTTTTCCGTCACCAGTTGTAGGGCGAGATCGCCGTAGGGCGCTAAATACAGCTAAAAGTATTACCATACATTACGCCCCCGCCCTGGAATGTCCGAGCCGGAGGTGGATTCCCAAACAGGAGTCAACATCATCACTTACGTAGATTCTTTCTTACAGTATTCTAGCTTACTTTATTCCATTTTATTAAACATAATAACATGGTACTGTTTACTTCTATAGAGAAGAACAACTGAGATGGGGCTAAATGCTTGTCCGTCCCGAGATAAAAGGCCCGTAGTTCTGCCGATGGTGGAGCTTTTGTTTCGCATCGACCAACCGATACCCTAGTGCGAGTCGGAGTTAACGCTCTCTTCCGGAACAACTTAAAAACTTACAAAAAAAAAAAAAAAAAAAAAAGATCGACTCCGCCAGGGTCGCGGGCCGGAAGAAACGGAGTAAGAAAACGGGTCTGCACAGGGTCCTGTATTATATTTGTCTGCCTATAATATTGGTTTTCTCCGCTATGGAGCCTCGCCAGACCCTGGAGCTTGGCTTCTTTCGCTTTATTTTAGTATAATTAGTTCAGATAACCATATGCTTGGTCTCTTTTTTTCTCTCTCTCATTTCTTGCTTTTGTATTCTCATTCCGTTCCCACCTTTAACCTACTTTTTTATTATCTTCCCCTCCTTATCTCACTTACCTCTCCTTCTCTTACGCGCAGAGCGCCTGGATATTCCTGAGCATTTTGGTATTTCAGCATTTCTCGGGAAGAACTATTGCTTTTTACACTGTTTGACAACCGGACATCTTCTGCAACATTCCCAGCCCAGTTTGCAACTGCCGTTGAGGATTGTGTTCCGCACACCAATTGCAGTATTAGAAGGAAAGCAAGACCGCTTCAAGGGAATAAACCTAGGCGCCGAAGAAATCCGGATCGTTGCGAGGGCATTTGCCAGATCATTCCGACTACTCCATCAACCACGTATACTTCGCCCTCAACGCAGAACACGGCACGGGTTGGAGTCATCGGGCTTCTGTTTTGGTCTGCAGGCGAGTGCCGATTTAGGGTCTAATGTTGTCGACGTGTTACACGACGGAGAGGACAAACATCTTTCGAGAGCCGCTGGTGCGTTTGCTGTCGGGAATGAGATATACTCTCTCTCCCCTCCCACTTTCTGTCTCCGATCTGTGATCTCTCGAGTTCTGTCGAGCATCCAGAGCCCGGCTGAGCCGGTTGCCAAACATCCAAACTAACAGATTGCGCCCTTTAGTATAGCTTTTCAGCCCCGGTGACCGCATATCGGGGCCCAGAGGAGATGTCAAGCTGCCGGACCAGTATTGTGTCCATCCTCAACAATGATGATAACCCATCTTTCGCGGTCCGCTCTGCGCCTCGACTCAGTCGGACTCAAATCTCGCCATCCTACTATCCAGAGCAGCAACCCCCGCCCGTCAGCGAACCGCAGCACGCCCGTTCCCATGCTGCATCCGAATCTCCAGCGGCCTCACCCCGAGGTACCAGGCACCCTTTCGCCCCGGTGACCGAAGCCGTCCAGCCCGTCTCGCCCGGCTCATCCGACGGCTCCGCCTACGACTACATCACCAGTCAACCTTCAGCTTACCACCCGTATGCCCGGCAGGATCCGCGACGGGAACCGTACCGCTTCCCAGCGCGTGGACCAGCAGCTCCCCGGACAACCCCCGAAACTCGTTCCAGCGCTTCAGAAACGACCTCGTCTCAGCCCGGAGCGGGTCGCGCCACAGGCCGAAAGAACAAGTATCCCTGCCCCTACTCAGCTAGCCACGGCTGCGCAGCGACATTCACGACGTCCGGCCACGCTGCTCGCCATGGCAAGAAGCACACCGGCGAAAAGAGCGTCCATTGCCCGATCTGTAACAAGGCCTTCACGCGAAAAGACAATATGAAGCAGCACATTCGCACCCACCGCACGCACTCGGATGAAATGCGATCCACATCTGAACCGGAAAACGATGCCCGTTGGGCCATGCCCCATCCTGATTCTACATTTGCTTCGGCTTCACACCAGCGGAATCTTAGCCAACCCATGGAGGCTACTACAAGGCCTCCTCCAGATTCTTCTTCACATGCGTCTTCATGAGCGAGACTATCTCTGCCTCCGACTTTCCCGCTCCTCACTCTACTATACGACCTTTTTTCTCAGGCAGTGCCTTGTACCTGACTGCAGCGCAGTGTACATCGCAATCTATATCACTACCCAGGGTAGTAATTGTTTTCGATTCAGGGCTCTCGAACATGCATTTTCAGCTTCAGCGATCATCTGCATGACCCATCACCGGACGTTTCAAAATATCCGACGAAACGTCTCGGGTTACAACACATGTTTTGAAATTCTATTTTCTTCTACCATTTACCACTTACTACTTTTTTTTATTCATTTTGCCTATCTGTTTTATATCCCTCCTGTACCATGTTCTGATTGCTTCCTCGTGTTATGTGTGATGGTTGAAATTGCCTCCCTAGGCTATGTGTTCCAGTCTCATTTGTACTATCCTTTCCAGGAGTCCCATGAAATCGAATGATATGTGTGTAACCTGTTCTGGCTGCACTATATGACATCCTTGGCCTTGTGTTGGTGAGATTGTTAAGCCACCGAGGTCGTGGGGAATGGTGTACTACTCTGGGAAGGAAACTTTGACGTAGATAAGCGTGGAGAAAGAATGGTTTGCTTTGTTTATTCTACATGGCTATTCTACATAGCTTTGTTCTAGGTTCAGAGTATTTTTAGTATAAGCTTAACTCTGAATTAATAGTGGAGATGGTTCTTTTGTCTATGATGAAAGTTGATGCCTGACTGCCTGAGAACGTCGAAAGACCCGTGGAACCAGTGTTTACCTTCAAGTATAACATTGAAATCTTAAATCGAACATCTCATACTTTTCTGAAAACTCATTCCCAGACCAGCGGTCAGTTAGAATCTACGTGTAGGGCTGTCATATTCCCTGATCCTTACCCAATGCGAGATGACGTCGAGCTACATTTGAAACAATCGATATGCTCATTCGATGGAACAAGTATTTCCTTCGAACATTCCACCACTCCTGACAATAACCCACAGACGTCATATAGGAACAGTCAAAATATATAATCTAAGAGCAATACGTTACTTTCACTATTGTACTTCGTACTTTCATCACCATTTATACGAGCACTACAACTCTCAGCCACTGCCAAGTCCCCCAGCCCCAAAATCGTTCATCTGAATCGACGTCACGCCACCTGCCCCGCCAATATCTCTTAGCCCTACGCCGTAATCCAGTCTCTCTCTTCACCATATCTCGTCCTAGTGAACAGTAGCAGCTCACACCATCGACACCCTTTTCATTCCATTTTGTCGTCCTTTTCTTTCATCCCCGCCGCAACCATGGCGTACTACGAGGATCGCCGATACGCACCGCGCGACCGCTACAGCCGCCCAGCCACCTATGTTGATCCATACGATGATCCGAGGGGCCATTATGCAAGGCACGATCGTGACCCCTACAGCCGCCGAGTCAGCGATGATTCCATCGAGGAAGTGCAGCGCGATTACCCCCCAGACTCAGATTATGTCTATGAGCGTGGTTACACTTCCCGTCGGCCCAGGGCTTCGCGACCTGTCTACGAAAATGTGCGACGTGCTTCCTCCGTCAGCGGTTACGATCCTCACTACGATGCTGCTTACTCTCGCTCGTCCCGTCCTCGACGGTCAAGACATTACGAGGACAAACGTATGTGACATCCCATAGCTGATTTTCATCTGAGGATACATTCTAACTATTCGCTCAGGTTCTCGTCGGTCCAAGTATGATTCTGATTCTTCTCCAAGTCGCTCTCCACCCCGCCATGGCCGTCGTAAGTCTTTCAGCGAACAGGCTCTGGGCGCACTAGGTCTCGGCGGTGCTGCTGCATCGGCCAGTCGGGGACGTTCCAAGTCTCGCCATCGCAACCGGTCCTATTCACGATCGCCGTCTGATTCACGCAGCCGCAGTCGCCATCGTGGCAGTGGTCGCAGTGGCCGTGAGCGCAGCGAGCAGCGCATTGCTCAGGCTGCTCGTGCCGCGCTGACTGCTGGTGCCATCGAAGCCTTCAAGCAGCGCAAAGAGCCAGGTGATTGGGCTGGTGCAAAGGGAAAACGAATCCTTACGGCTGCTGTCGCCGCTGGTGGCACTGATGGCCTTGTCGATAAGGATCCCAACAAGCACAGCAAACGCCATGTTGTGGAGTCTACCCTTGCTGGTCTCGCTGCTAGTCATTTCGTTGGCGGCGGATCACGCTCACGCTCCCGCGGTCGAAACAGTCGCGGCGGCTCGGGCGGTGGTCTCAAGGACCTCGCTGCGAGTGGAGCCCTTGCTGCTGCTGGGAAGGAAGTCTTTGATCGATTTTCGCGCTCTCGGTCTCGGCCTCGCGGTCGTGCTGATTCCCGCAGTGATGATGAGCGTGGCTCTAAGAAACGCAGTAAGAGCGTGTCGGAGTACATCAGCAAGGGCCTGGCCGCCCTTGGACTTGGAGAAGAAGAAAGAAGCAGAGACAGCAGAGACAGCGGAGACAGAAGAGACAGAGACCACCATCGGGACCACAGAGATAGCAGGGACCGGCGTCATCGCCGCGATACCCGGCACGACGATTACTCGGATTCAGATGCAGACAGCGATTATTACAGCCGGGACTCGAGACGGGGCAGAGGCTCGAGAGATGTAGGTCGGCACCGTTCTTTGGACGGAAAAAATCCCCCTTATGCCCCCCTCAGCGCACCGCGCGGCGAGAACGGAGCCCAATCTAAGGATTGCGGCCACCACTCAAACTCTGAGAGCGATTCTGACCTAGGCGACAGTTCTGATGAGAAGAAGCAACGCAAGAAGCTGAAGCGGGATATGCTACTGACCTCGGGCTTGGCTAGTGTGGCTACTATTCACGCTGCCCACGGTCTGTACGGTAGCATGGAGAAGAGGAAGAAACGCATGCAGCAGTTGAAGGAGGGAGAGATCACACCAGAGGAGGCCCGCAAACGCCGCATGAAAGCTAACTCGCTGGATGCTGTGAGCATTGGTCTTGCTGCCCTCGGTATCAAGGGCGCTTATAGTGAATGGAAGGAAGTCAACGAGAAGCGCAAGGAGAATCATCATTACCAGGAAGAGTGTGCCCAACGTGCTACCAAGCGTGAGCTGCGCCGTGCTCGCAGTCAAGGCAATGGCTCTTCCCGAAAGACCCGCTGGCCTGATGAGATTGAATATGCACCATCGACAAACGACTCCTTCGACCGAACACCAGTTTATCATGATGGCAATCCTTATGGGGTTTCGGAGGCTCCGCAGATTTCTTATTAGTTTGCTTTTCTGTTCTTCACCTTCCGTTTTCCTTTCGTTTTATGATTTCCTCTTTCATGATTTATGAGACCATGCCTTTATTTGATTTTAATCTTTTTCACTGTGTTTCCAAGGGCTAGATCCGTCTGATCGGTCGATTCTTCAGCGTTTGTGACGACCAGGGTCGGCTGCTCCACATGATTGCTTGTACCTACAACTGGATTCAACACTTCTCGTCTCGGGATCTGCTTGCTACTATCGAATATCCCGCATATACATACCTGCATGTAGATGTAGAGAGGAGGCAATACTGTACATAAGCCGGTAGGTGATTGGACTCAACAGCTGCCGATAACAGGCTGACTCAGCAGGGACCCCGCTATCAGTCAGCCCACCACGGATCCTGTGAGGTACCGATACTTGCACGTGCTAGTTTTATTGTACCATGAACTCTGTACCAGTACTTCCTTGGCGATCCTTGACTAACGGAGAGTTTTCCCCTCCCTCCTTTTCTTTCCTCCTCTTCCTCTTTCCTCCACCAATTCTCTCCATACCCTTTTTCTTGGTTCGTACTTCTCTATATAAATCTTGCTGTTTCTCACTAACGTTCACCAGTTCTTTACATACCTTCATAATGGCTGCCCCCGCACAGAAGTTCAAGGTCGCTGACCTCGTACGTCCACTCGATCCGTCTCAACATGCTCAATCATTGACCTCCTTTACAGTCCCTGGCCGCTTTCGGTCGCCGCGAGATCGAGCTCTCCGAGGTTGAGATGCCCGGTCTCATGGCTATCCGTGAGAAGTACGGTGCCGACCAGCCCCTCAAGGGTGCCCGTATTGCTGGTTGTCTTCACATGAGTATGTGATCAGTCTTACAAACAACATTGGCCTTTTTACTAACCATAATACAGCCATCCAGACCGCTGTCCTCATCGAGACCCTCACTCACCTCGGTGCTGAGGTCACCTGGACTTCCTGCAACATCTTCTCCACTCAGGACCACGCCGCCGCTGCCATTGCTGCTGCCGGTGTCCCTGTGTAAGTTTCAATTGTGCCAGTTTTGCTTTTGTGGATCCTGCTGACCGCTCTTTGTTTTCAGCTTCGCCTGGAAGGGTGAGACCGAGGAGGAGTACCAGTGGTGTCTCGACCAGCAGCTCCAGGCCTTCAAGGATGGCAAGAAGCTGAACCTCATCCTCGATGACGGTGGTGACCTCACCTCCCTCGTCCACACCAAGTACCCCGAGATGCTCGATGACTGCTTCGGTGTCTCCGAGGAGACCACCACCGGTGTCCACCACCTCTACAAGATGCTCAAGGAGAACAAGCTCAAGGTTCCCGCCATCAACGTTAACGACTGTGTCACCAAGTCCAAGTTCGACAACCTCTACGGTTGCCGTGAGTCCCTCATCGATGGTATCAAGCGTGCCACCGATGTCATGATCGCTGGTAAGATCGCTGTCGTTGCCGGATACGGTGATGTCGGTAAGGGTTGTGCCCAGGCTCTCCACTCCATGGGTGCCCGTGTCATTGTCACCGAGGTCGACCCCATCAACGCCCTGCAGGCTGCTGTCCAGGGCTTCGAGGTCAACACCATGGAGGCTGCTGCCCCCATTGGTCAGATCTTCGTCACCACCACTGGCTGCCGTGACATCCTTGTCGGCTCTCACTTCGAGGCCATGCGCAACGACGCCATTGTCTGCAACATTGGTCACTTCGACATTGAGATCGACGTTGCCTGGCTCAAGGCCAACGCTCAGTCCGTCCAGAACATCAAGCCCCAGGTTGACCGCTACCAGCTGAACGGCAAGAACATCATCCTCCTCGCTGAGGGTCGTCTTGTCAACCTCGGCTGTGCCACCGGCCACTCTTCCTTCGTCATGTCCTGCTCCTTCTCCAACCAGGTCCTGGCCCAGATTGCTCTGTTCAAGGCTGAGGATGCTCAGTTCGGCAACAAGTACGTCGAGTTCGGTGCCGCTGGCCGCAAGCCCATTGGCGTCTACGTTCTGCCCAAGCAGCTCGACGAGCAGGTCGCTCGCTGCCACTTGGACCACGTCAACGCCAAGCTGACCCAGCTCACCCCCGTCCAGGCTGAGTACCTCAGCCTCGACGTTGAGGGTCCCTTCAAGAGCGAGATCTACCGCTACTAAGCTACTAATTGCGCTCTCTTTTCCAATTGCGTTCGATATTCAATGAGTTTCTTGGGATATAGACTTTCAACATGATTCGACGATGTTATGATTGGCATTCGAGTTCTCTATCAACTTAGAACTCAAAAGTGGTTGTCCTTCAACGGCATAAAAAGTGGCCTGCACCGGTGGTGTGTTTTCTAATGTTTTGTTTTGGCGTGGGATGACCTGGGATGGTCTTGCATTCAACACTGCGTACGGATGGGATTTGACTCTTGATACCTTATTCTGTGTGGGCCTCCATGGGCCGATTGTGACTGTGTAGACCTTCAACAATCGAAGCTATGCGTCAGTACTTTGCAATGTGTAGGCACCTTGGTAGATCTTTCTGTAATCTTTCCTATCGACTAACTGCCAACTATCCATTGGCTATCAATGTAACTCACTCCCCCCGGATCAATTTGACCATCTCATCAGCTACAGCAACTGCAAACTCGGGATCATTGATTGCACGAGAGTCTCGCACCACGGAGATCCCACTCCCCTTCAACTCCTCCTCCAACGTCGAAAACAACACCTCATCAGCCTCAGGATCCCAAAACGGCCCCCCAGGAACATCAAGCATACTAACTCCCCCAACAGGCAAAACTACTCGCGTCCTCCCCCGTTGGGAAGCGCCATCCCCACCCCCCTTCAAATTCCTCGCAATAACCTTCCCAATAGCAGCACACTCCTGCCCCGTAGTCCGCATAAGCGTAACAGTCTCATTATGCTCATGAAACAACCTCCCCTTCCCACCATCCATCTTCATCTCCCGGAAAGAGCGAGGAACACTCTCCACACCCCCAAAATTAACCATATCACAAGCACCCACACTGACAACCCTCGGAATCCCCCGCTCAGTGGCTGCACACAATCTCTCCGGTCCGGCACTCAAGACCCCGCCAACGACCTCATCTGCTATCTCCGTCGTCGTCAAATCGAGAACTGCATCGATCCTCCCTTCCCGAATTAACCGCTCCATGGCTCGACCTCCAGAGCCTGTAGCGTGGAACACGTAAACTTCACAATTCGGAAGAATCGTCTCGAGATATTGGCGCGCATGCGTGACAGCCGGTGTCGTGACGCCGAACATTGATATTGCGATTTGAGTGGAACGCGCCTTTCCAACATGGCCCTCACTTCCAGTCTCCGTCTCCTTCTTCTCCTGTTCCTGTTCGAACAAGGCCCTCTTTAAAAACCCAACCCCCATTCCAACAATTGCACATGCTGCGTTCCCCAAAACAGTCTCAAGCACTCGATTCGTGCCAGCAATATCAACAACACTGTACATCATAGTAATATCCGTTTCACCAATGTAAGGCGCTACATCACCCGATGCCATTGTTGACACCATCAACTTCGGGAATCCTACCGGTAAGGCGTCGCGCATGACAGCTGTTGAGAGCGCTGTACCGCAGGACCCGCCTATGGATAGGATGCCGTGGATGGCGTTTGATTCGTAGAGGGCTTTTGTGGTGGATGTGGCGTGTGGTGTTAGGGTTTTTATGTATTCTGCCCTGCTAAGGGATGAGAGGTCTGTGTTAGTGTTGGTGTTGGAGAGGACTTCTTTTTGGGTTGTTGTTATTGATTCGTGGGTTGTTTGGGTGCGGCCGATGTCCATTAGGTGGACTTTTATTTTTTGGTTTGAGTGCGGGTTGGTTTGGGATTCTATGGCGGCTTTTGTGTAGAGGAGTTCTGGGAGTTTGGTGTCGCATGTTCCTAGGAGGAGGATTGTTGGGGTTGTGGAGGACATTGTGATGTTTTTGTGGAGGAATAGGATTACTGGGTTGGATTTCAGGATGCTGAAGGTTGAAAGAATGCTGAAGGATGAAATGAGGTTGAGAAGTTGAAGTTCAGAAGTAGTTGGTGGGGGGCGTAGATATCAGTGTGGGGTAAGTAGGTAAGTGTCGTCACAGATCTGGGTTTTATATTGTTGTTTACATTACATTTGTTGATCTTTCTCTTATTGTAGCTCTCTCTGATATCTAGCCATTATAGCTCAAGGAGTGTCTCATAACATGAAATAAACATATTTGACTCATGTCACTCTTCTCTTCTCATCGACTTGGGCTACCGATGTCAATGTCTAAATATAAGCCAGAATCAAATAGAAAAGTATATAATCTATTAACTCCTTGGGTTGGGTTTCCTGAATTAGCAATATATTAAATACTCAAAAGATACTAGCAAATTAACATAGTTATGCAGTCACGGGTAGGTTACAAGTCTAGGCATGATTGTACTGTATAATAACCGCGGTTAACAAGACCGTATAGTGCTCTTTTGAGAAGAACCCCAATATCATGATAGGAAATGTTAACAAGTCAAGTGAATAGACATGGCAAAGTTGGCTCAAATATTTCGACAATCAAATCTCGTAAAGCGACTCTGCACCAAATAGAAGTGGCTAGGAATTTCAGAGACCCAATCCAATCAGTAGCACTCTCGCAGCAGTATTTAAGCCTAGCTCAGACTCTACCATGTCCAACGTCCTCATGATATCCTTATGGAGAAATTCCAAAACACTGGCAACATACTCAAATGTTCCTGCTGATTCCATTGCATCGAGGACGTATTGTTTCAATTTGGGGCAAAGATCTGTCGTTGACCCCGGCTGACGATGGAATAATGCTGTGGTCACACGCTCTGGATAGGGTGTATGATTTAATAGATGAATCAAAAGGAGAGAAAACTTGCCCTCCGAGAGGTCCTCGCAGAAACCTTTTTGGGCTGTATACTATATGTTCTTAATTAGCATTGTATCCTCAGATAAGGCAAAGAGATGAACAAAGACATACCTCTTGAGAAGTGAGATTTTTATAATCATCCCGTATCTGGTAATATCTACCTGTTAGGGTCAAAAGCTTTGCCAGAGAAGCAGTTGAGGAAACCGAAGCCTCCGCATCCATAAGTCGAAGCATCAATCGAAACAAGCCTCCAGTTTTATTGTCGATCATCACAATATATTCGTCCACAGTTGGACATCGACCATGAAAACGCCAATACAGATCGAGGCCCTGTCCGAGGTGTAAATTGCTCAATTCATCTATATATTGTCTGACAGTCAGAGACCAAGTACGACAGAGACCTGGAAAATAGGGGAGCCGTGATACCAATGAAAATGTCCCGACTTTTTTCATTCTGCAGTCGCAGGAGCTGTGCCACTGACTTGACGTAGACGTAGTTAGCACTGTTAATGGTCTGGCTCTGACCATAAAATATATGTGTGGCCAGTTGGCCTCGTCGAAGAGATGATTCGTCTTCAATGTCATCTAGCCTGCCCTCTCTGGTTAGCATGATCAAAGAAGTTAACCTGGGCGATAGGACTAACATCAGAGACGAGTTATGCAGCATTTGGACAATGTCTTTTATAATCTCCAGAGAGGCGGAGGGAACCTGCAGCCACGAGTTCAGGGCGTCGATGAACTTGTTCCGCATGTTTTTGCCCCGGAGGGAATTGATATATTCGTATGGTGACTCGCAGGCCTGTTGCATTGATCAGCAGGGTTGCATTGATAAGAGCTACAAAGCAGGAGCTTACATGACTGGGTGCCTTCAAGAATGGAGCAGTGAAAACAGCCATTGAATAATGATCTTTGACTCCATTTGTCTGGTTGACCCCATTTGTGTGGCTGACCCCATTTGTCAATTTCGATTCGGAAAATCCATCCAGCTTCCGCTTCTTCCTCGCTGTTGTGTCTTGAGTGCTCTCCTTCACTTTAGGGGGAGGATAGTCTTTGAGAACTCGGAGGATGTCCCGATGGGACTTGCCTACAATTTTCGCCCGATCCGCTTCATTGGTAGACAGATTGTCCCGATGATATCGTGAGGCATGAGAGCTCCAGAAGGTAATACCGCCAATCATGTTAATGATCATGACAATGTACTTGCGGAGTTCACTGGATTTGGGCTCTATGCTGTCCTTTTCCCAGGAAACGTAGCCGTCCATGATTTCTCGTTCTCCTTTTCTGATTTCCTGTTTGAGGATCTCTCGAGCTTCTTTCTCGGTGTAGCCGTATTCTCGCATCAAGATGCTCAATGCATTCTGCAGTCTGTCCACAGAACCGGCTCGACTGTGTTCGTCAAACTCTTTATTGAAGCTATAAAAGTCATTCATCAATGCAGCGGCTAATAGGCCCTTGTCGAGGAAGTGGTGGACAGATTGCTTCTCTTGCGGGGAAATGTGAATCCCCAAGGACCAACATCCGACTTCGGCAGCCCATCTGGAGCTTCTTTTAGCTACCGATATCTCTGTCTTATGCCTCATAAAACTAACCTTGCACCCACTTCAGACAGTCTGTGCTTTTTGTATTGATCAAACGACATGTCGTTGTGCGTACTCTTGGCTTGGCCATCCAAATGCCCTTTCCAGAATCGGATCATTTCGAGCCCTGCTTCACGGTCCATGTCTAATACTTCACGCAGCATTTGGACGACTAGTTTGTTGATCTCCAGTTTAGGTTCTAGGCGTTTACCTAGCTTTAGCTCAGAAAGCATAGCGAGAGCAAGGTCCTGAGTAATCTCGGCATTCTTCGACACTTAGTTTTTCGATACCGAACGGGATTTGAATTGTTGTTTATGATGCCACATACCTTTTCCGCACTCAGAGCATCGGTGACATCTGTGGGACCGTTAGAGCCGTTTGCTGATCCTGTAATCGGTTTAACTAATACATACCGTCCCAGTAGAATCCGAAATCGCAGATCCGGGTACAAAGTACCACCCGCTGAGGGAGAGTTTCAGGATAAGCCCAGGAAACAAAATGACCTAAAGGAGTGGGGCTCCCATGAAAAACCAGGTTCTTCCCATCAGGTCCAAGTGCCTGTATCCATTCAGCAAGGAAGTCGTCCGTGGCTTTTACTGCTTCGTTTTGGAATCTGGCAACGCGGAAAGGTAGTGTCCCAAAGTATTCGGGAGGCTGAGGTTGAAATCCGCTTGGGTCAACGGGGCGTGAGTATTCGAAGACATTGGGGAAGTCTTCCATACTGGGCAAGAGAACAATATCGAACTTGAAATACACAGAATTGGCGCGGTTGGCTTGGGATAGATAGAAGTACGCTAGGGGATGTATCTCGGGTTATGTATGATCCTGCGGGTGTAGCTTTTTATTACTTGTCGACAGTTGCTGGCGTATCAAATTACTGCACTCTACATCATGCATATGAGAGAACCCAAAAGAGGAGACCTCGTATTCATTCTCCTAGTTCCAGCTAAACTGGGCCACGGCAGGACCCGCAGGTTACGTCGGAAGGTGACTCTCACGTTTGAGGGTGGCAAGTCCGCCGCAGTGAAGATCACCGGCGGGTGCCCAAACAGAGTAAATACTAGAAGTTCGTGATATTCGTATTGATAGAGCTGGGTTATAATTTTGAGCGTTTGGCTTATATTTTAGGATTATTGAGAGTTATCATGTATCTTTATTTTGATTTAAAAGAAAATCGGTATAAATAACCAGAGGGTCGGTAAGGGTCCAAGGACCAAGGATCGGGAGAGGATCTACGCTCGCTACCATCCGAATACGGGCCGGGTGGTGAGGCTGAGCTTGGACCCTTGGGGATCATCCGTGAAGACTGAACATTGACAAATTGCATTAATTCATTCTCATTGCTACCGCCGCATTCACCAATCAGCGCATTGCACGGTCAGATATCTGTTAACTGCAAATTACGCATATGACCAACGAAATCTCGCCGTTCAGTACAGTGTAAACGTTATAGCTCAGACATAATTTCTTCAAGAGTCATCTCATCGCGCTTGACGGGTTTGATCTACGGTCTGTTGACACCGTGATTCTGTATCCAATCTCCTGTCCCGATGATACTGCATTTGGTAAGGATGCTACGCGGCTCATAGGCATTAGGAGTCTCTCTCCGTTTGACAGTCATCAGGACGACTAGGCTTCGGTTGATCTCGCTTAATCCGATATAGTGAGGGAATTTCTTCTGACGCTTAGCGATTGTTCTGATTTGTCGAACTGTCTATGCAAGTTGCACTCACAGCGTGATCAGAGATCGGTGGCGTTCGTATTCTGCCGACGCGGCATTGAAAGCCAATTTCTGCTCCGATGCCACTTCCTGTACTTGAGGTTACATCTGCAAGGTTGTGGCCCACAGATTACTGGTACCATTGCCTGTATGAGGTGTGAGATCTGCACGCATCAGACCTGTGGGTGTTATCAAAGTTCAGAGCATCACGTGCGAATTTTTTGATACAGACACCGAGAATGGCCACCATGCAACGACCCAAGACTTTGGCGTTGCTTAGGAAGATGATCTGCGAGTTAAATTATCTGGTATACTCTATTCACCATGTAATTCCCAGCATTCGTTATCCGCACGCCTTACCGCCAACCCTATTTCTCGTATATGCACGTACTATATCTGCTTAGTTCACCTATGGAAGAGGGGGCCTCGTATCTGCTGTAACACAGCCATCCTCGTAAATGGACGCATTATGCAGATCCACAAATATTCTTGATCTCCGAGGAATGCGTACGGTGATGTTGCAACCTGGGGTTCCAGACGCCATGCTATATGTAGAGGAAAATAACATTGCCTGAAAATCATTCGTGCAGGATTTGATCCTTGTGCTTTCATCGAATATCATTTAGGCACTGAACTATACGATATCTTTGAGATATCTTTGAGGGAAGTTAACTTGACTCAACCGCGAATACCATGGATAACTCCACGAATATCTTGGTGCAAGGTACGCTGCGATAATTAAACCTGTCAGAATCTGCAACAATCAACGAACCTAGCTGACACCAGTGTGCGTAGGGCCGTCCAAATTCATAGAGTATTCCCTTGATAATATCGATAAGAGATTTGCCGTGTTTACCATTGCTCTTTTCCTCGCTGGAGTGTACATGTACAATGCGCGGGATCCTCACGGACTGAAGAAGATACCAGCAATCCATCGTTCTCGATTTGTTGATGCTTTTCAAACGGGAGTTTACTGGAGATTTCTCTTTCCGAGGCTCTTCCCTTACGCTCGCGAAGGTTATTACAAGGTAAGTTTTAGCAACACCTAGCTTTGAACCATGCCCATTGCTGATGAAATGAACAGTACAGCAAGAATGGCAAGCCTTTCAAGATCTGGATGGGTCTGTTTCAAAATTGGGTCTACGTCTTGCCGCCGAAATACCTTGCGCGCATCAAAAACCAAGGGCTTTCAGAGCTCAGTTTCCGATCTGTAGTAGATACGGTGAGTCCAGCCGTGGCAGCCTTGTTGGTTGGTTTCCAAGACCGATAATTAACAGTACCTAGTATCTAGTCCCAAAATTCTCCAGTGGACATTTCGATAATTTCGAAATTCAAGTTGCTTCCAAACTTGTCAATGGAAATCTATGTAAGCACCGCCAACAGCTTTGCACGGACATGTTGTTAATCACTACCCACCAGCCGACATCAAGCCGTTAATTCAAGTAAGGACTGAGCATATCCTGGACAAGGAAATAGGAAACCCGCAAGGTAACACATTCTGATCCCGAGCATTGTTGTTGATCTATTCTTACATTCTGAAAAAGTATGGAAAAGGCTTCACGCACACACTTTGGCCATGCAGATCATGAAGTACGCTTCCGGAAGAGTCGTCTTCGGCGAAACCTTGTGTGAAAACGAAGCTTTCCTCCAAGCCATGGAACGGTATTCCACCAAGGTGATGTACTACGGTTTGATTCTGCGTTGGATAAACCTCGGACGCCTGAGGGATTACATTATGTACATGGTCCACTGGAAGCATCGCCGTGATCTCGCCATTGCGACTCGCTATGTGACAGACCACATCGAGGAAAGAAAACGAGCGAACGCAAATCTCTCTGAAGAAGAGAAACCGGTTGATTGCATACAGTGGGCCATGGATCAGCCACTACCCGACGAGCAGAAGACTCCAGAACAGATTGCCCATCGACTTCTGCATCTGAGTGCAGGGCTTATTGGGACGCCCGCTACCGTGTTGGTGAACTTACTATTTGATACAATTTCGCATAAAGAGTATCTCCCCGAGCTGAGGGCGGAGATCACTAAGTGTGTCTCTGAGGATGGCAGATGGTCCGAAAGCGCCATGGCAAAAATGAAGAAGTTCGATTCTTTCATTCAGGAGTGCTTTAGGATTACTCCGGGCATTGTATCTTGTGCGTGCTGTTCTGTAGCGCTCTACTTCGTGACGATTCATGTTAACCTGAGCTCTTATATTCTAGTGACTGGATGGCGCCTTGTTACCAGCGAGACTTTCCGCTTCGATGAGACCCTCGAGTTGCCCAAAGGCACACTAATTACTTTCCCAACTATGTTCATGCAACATGATTCCGATTTATATCCAGAGGCAAAAAAGTTTGACGGGTATCGGTTCTACCGGATGAGAGAAGAAGCGAAGAAATTGGAGACTGCATCAAATATTTGTAAACACAAACCCCGTTCCTCGTACGGTATAGATGAATCACCACTAACGCATCCTTATAGCGGATACCAGGAATGATTGGCTAGCGTGAGTTTACGGACCCGAACAGCCGATATCCGAATATTAACGTGTAAACAGGTTTGGACACGGTCGACAGGCCTGCCCAGGACGCTTCTACGCCATTAAGCTTCTCAAGACTATTCTCGGAGAGCTCATTACGCGCTACGATATTCGCTATGCTGGTGGAGACCGCGAAAGACCCAAGACACTTGATTTGGAGCCAGTTATTGCGCCGGACTTGAGTGTCGAGCTCGAATTCAGGTCTGTGAATGCCCGATCTACCTAGGCAGGCAGGATAGTATCTAGACCAGGCAATGACCTTCGTTGACTGTCAGCGAACCTCATTTTCAAACGTTTCAGTACTTTTCCTGATTTGGATGGATCGGAGTGATATTTCATCCTCATTGGTTAGTTATATCTTGTTAGTTGATACCAGAAGTCAGCGAACGGGCATATTTATATGGGCCAAATCTCCATTTTCGAATAGGGTTGTCTGGCAAGGGCCAATCTTGAATGAAAAGCCTCCTAGCAGTTGCCTTAGGACAGATCTTCTAGCCACTAGAACATGGTTTAGGAAAGTAAGAGGGAAACGGTGTTACGCTCAAAGATTGATTCTACATAGCCAATCCTGTTTGGAATAGACTAGGGGAAAGAGAAACCGCGAGCTGTGGCGTTCCTAGGGTCTCTCAATAAGATCTCCGATGCTATTAACTGGCATTTCAGGGAAACTGTGAAGTTGCGCATATATGTATTCAGGGATAGATAGCATCTTCTAATAATCCATTAATTTCAAGAACTGAAATAGTTGACTTTGAATAGAAGACGTATCACAAACAAGCAAAAAAAGTATCTCGATCGTGTGGGAGACGGATTCGGTTCAGCCTTGAAACGCTGGGCTGGGAGGCATAGCCACGGCCAACGCGAGGCACGGGCAGTAAACCCGGTCAGCCATGGACATTGATATGCAAAGACCGAAGAAGTTGAGTGGATCCAATTTGCCATCTCATCCTTGTTGTTAATACATTCAAGTAGAGAACAGAGCATGAAGGAGTTCGAGCGGCAGCATGAAACAAAAATACGACGAACTAGATACCGGCGAGAAGCAACAATTCACATTACAAATAGTCAAGTGGAACAAAAAATTAAGGTCTTTTATATTGATAGCTTATTGCCCCATCTTCATACCACCATTAGCACAAACTACACTACCAGTACACCAAAGACCGTCAGGTGTGCAAAGCATACCAACAACCCCAGCAACCTCACTAGTAAAAGCAGGCCGACGCCCACCCATCTTCTCCTGAATCAAGCGCTTCTGCTCATCCGTCAAGCGACTCATAGTATCCTCATTATTAATATCCAACTTGCTCAGCGGAGTATTATCCTGATAACCCTGAATATCCTTCCAGAACTGGTCTCCAGTAGCGAAGTACATATCACCGATAACAGGACCAGGGTTGACGGCGTTAACAGTGGCACGATCAGCAAGCTCACGCGCCCAGGTGCGAGTCATAGCCTCGAGGGCAGCCTTGGTACCACCGTAGATGGACTGGCCAACGAATCCAAGGGATGAGGATACACTGGAGATGTTGACGATACGACCGCTGCGGTCTGTGGGGAGGTAGGGGCTGCAGGCCTGTGTGAGGAGGAGTGGAGCGAGTACGTTGATTGCATATTGCCAGTTGAAGTGCTCGGCCTCGATGGGGCCCCTTGTTGCGTCGTTTAGGTTGCGGTCTGCGGAGACACCTGCGTTGTTGACGAGGATGTCGATCTGAAGCTTGCCATCCTTGCCAAAGTGTTGCTGTGCAGCTGCGATGATGGGTGTCACAGCTTCGGCGGGCTTGCTGAGATCTGCTTGTACACTCTCGCACTTGATGCCGTGGGTTGAGGCTAGGGAGGAGCAGAGTGCTTCGGTAGGGGCGCGCGAGGACTCTGAGGAAAAGTTAAGGAGGAGGGAGCAGCCCTTTGCGGCCAGGTTGCGCGCAATGGCTTCGCCGATTCCTACCACGGGGTTAGTTGGCTCTTTGTTATGCGGGGGAGGGGCTTTTACCCCGCGAGCCGCCAGTGACGATGCCGAATTTGCCTTCCAAAACGCGGGCCATTTTGATACTGTACAAGAGATTGAATTGAGGATATGGGAGAAGAAGGGAATTGAAGAAGAATTGAAGAATCGAAGGGAAATGAGCCTTCTTGTATTTGGAGTATGTATTTAGCCGAAATGCGTGGGGAAACTGCGGAGGAAAATTGCCCGAATGGGACTGGCCGGGGCAACGGGTAATTAGTTCGGCCCGACTTGCAGTTTCTTGAATTCCTCCGCATTTTCCTTAATGGCAACCTCCACTGGCAATCTCTCCATGCTACTCGCCCCAAAGAACCCATGCACCCCCTTGGTCCGCGACAGCACAAACTTCGCATCTGCCGGGCGCGCAATGGGTCCGCCATGACACAACACCAGAATTTCGGGGTTAACCCCAACCGCTGCATCGCGAATCTCCTGCACAAACCCCACGCAATCTTTCAGTGAGCGCCCACTCAGCGCACCAATAGCACCAGACGTAGTCAATCCAGCATGGGCAACTACCACATCCGCACCCGCGCGCGCCATCTTGACCGCATCCTCCGCGTTGAACACATACGGCGTGGTGACGAGGCCTAGTTGGTGGGCGGTTGCGATCATCTCCACCTCCTTGTCATAGCCCATCCCCGTCTCCTCCAAATTCAACCGGAATTGGCCATCGATCAGGCCCACAGTCGGGAAGTTCTGTACGCCGACGAAGCCGAGGCGCTGTAGTTCGGTGAGGAATTGGGGCATCGAGCGGAAGGGGTCGGTGCCACAGACGCCGGCGAGGACGGGTGTGTGCTCCACTACGGGGAGGACTTCACTGGCCTGGAATGTTTATTGTAAGCTGTAGACCCATATAAGGTGGTTGGGCTGGTCGCAACGTACCATCTCGACGACGACTTTGTTCGCATCAGAGTACGGCATCAGGCCGGCTAACGACCCGCGTCCTGCCATGCGGAATCGTCCCGAGTTGTAGATCAGAATTAGATCGCAGCCGCCTTGTTCGACGGCTTTGGCTGAGAGGCCAATACCTGTGGGTTTTGTTGTTGGCTTGAGCTCTCCTATTGAGTTACTTGGCGGGGTACCTACCTGCACCAGCTCCAACGATGATAGAGCCATCGTCGATGGTCTTGCGAAGTCGGGAGAGGACTTCCTCGCGCGTAGTTGGTCGAGGCATAGTGAGATTTTTGAAAAGATTTGGATTTCAGAGCTGTTTGGAATTCGCTTTCGATTTTGAAGTAGCTGTAGCTGCCCCTCATTGCCCCACGAATTACCTCATTTTGCATATCCGGATCCCCGGGTTGGTTCGATGCCAGACATGCCATTTTATCAATATTCAAACCGCGCCACAAGAGATGATCACGCTGTAAGCTTTGGCTAATGATTGCATTTTGTTTATACATCCTGTCTTGTCTACACAGAAGGTTTGATGAAAGAGAGTAACTATCTATCGCTGGCAGAAGTTATAAAATGTAATGAAAAGCTTCTGCCATTTCCAAATGCAACCTGATATAAAAGACTAATCTTCAAAAGAATACACAGAAACCTCACAAACCAACCCTCACAAACCAACCCTCACAAACCAACCCTCACAAACCAACCCTCACAAACCAACCCTCACAAACCAACCTCCACAATAGGTCCACTATAGACTTTCCTAGCTTGCAGAACATAGTATATAACAGCCAAAGTAACAGTCCCAAACGTGCCAACAACACTGTAATTCATCATCGTGAGGGTAGGGTTCATCTGCGTCGGCCGAAAACTGACGAACACAACTGCGTATCTGCGAGGCTCCGAAGGTAACCTTGGCAAATAATAAGCTCCTCCGATCGTGTGTTGCGCTGGGAAGATCCCAGAAAAGCGGTCATCCAACAAGGAACGGGATGGGCGAACACGATCGACGGTGGGGCGTTGTCTTGCTTGTAGTGCTAGTCATGCATTGTTACATATACTTACATGTACCCGCATCTCTGAGTCCAGAGTGAAAGGCACCGAATCCTACTATTTCGTTCGTTTAGTCCTGGGATTATTTATATGCCTCTTTTGGTAGTCGTTTCAGTATAAATCGGTCTCCTTTTGGCTTCTCGTCTAATACCAATCAATATATTCGGCCCCTTGCTTGGAGAGCTGTCAACAAAAAAAAAAAAAAAAAAAAAAAAACGCGGTGCCAATCTCTGCATGTCTGGGCGACAAAAAGAAACGAAAAAAGCAATCAGAAAGATATCAACTATATAGCAGGTAAGAACCCCTCCACAACAGCTGCCCATTTACCTGGGAAGTGTGAGCCCTCAGACCCATCCCATCCCCCTGCTAGCATGGCAGCAGCAAGAAGCAAGCCACCCGAGCTTGGAAAATAAGGCGTAGGGACATTTGACCCCCCAATCGGGTATCCTGCATCATCGAATTGAAAATTCTCGTGCATGAGATACGCGATCGCTTGGTCCGTATCACCGAGTCTCAAGGAATTCATAGCCAACATGGGAAAATCCCAGCCCCATGCGCTTGAGAACTGCCATTTGCCCTTCATCATCTCGGCCGTTTTTCGGACGACATTCATATCAAGTGGCGGACCACTGGATAGTTGTGGCAGCCACCCGTATATTCCTGCCATAGCCGGATGGCTCTGGATTGTGCTGTTCTCAATCCACATATCTGAAATTCCTTCGTACGTCGAGAAAGTCCCGTTATACGTCGCCAATGGGGCAAGCTTATCCAGCACCACTTGCCATTCCCTTGGAACGGGCTTCCCTTGTCGCTGCTTCCAGCGACTGGCGACATCAAGACCAAACCTCCAATAAGCAATTTCGAAAGTGGGATTTATTGTTGCATTTGGGTTGGTCGTTTCGGAAACAGTATACATTGGGGGGCCAAGATCGTAGACCCCTGTCGTCTTATTAAACCACGCATATGATGCCATGAAATCTGCAGTTGCGGTGATTATCTCGTCCCATTTGATCAATGTATCATGCTCGCTTGTAGGAAAAGCTCGAAATTCCGTCTCGGCGAAATACATTGGGTGTGGCTGCTGCCAGATGAGAAGTGAGTTGATTTCACCCGGTGCGCTGCGTCCCGTGGGGTCCGACATCTTTCCCCATCGTGCGCCTCTGTAGCCTTGATTTGATGCTCGTTTATAGGAGGCTGGCAGAAACTTTTGATACATACTCGGCTGGCTGCGCTGGAATAAATCGAAGTGGTTCCAGCGAGCGAAATGTGCGGTATGCCAGAAGCACATCTCCAACTGGAATAAAATTAGTCAAGGCTTATTATCTGGGACAATTGTTACGTCAACTTGCATGAAACTTGCCGTACCAGCCATTATTCACAAGGCCTTTTACATGTGTTAGCTTACTCTTTGATAAATATTTCCTAAGTCATGTGGTTCTTACCGGATTCTAAAATTATCATCAATTAGTTAAACCAATATCAAGTGTTTGGGACGCTCATACCTTGTGGCTCATGATCAGATGCAGAGTTTACTGCTAAAAGATACTGAGACAAGAGGATTCGACGCTGTAACTCAATTGCGGTTGGTTCGCCCGTGGCTGAAATATCCACGAACGCCCCGGAAGTCCAATAGGAATTCCACCATCTTGCAGCAGATCCTTCAATTTCGGAAGTAGTTTTCACACTGTGTGCTATTTTCTCCGTTGTGAACAGCGTACTGAGATGAAGTGTCTTCGACCCGGCTAGTCTTTTCAAAATATATTTGTTCGACTCGGGAAAAGGCCCTGAAATCTTGCAAGGCCCATCCCATTTGGCATGAAGATAATGGATGTTATTGTCAAGTTTCTGGCGGATCGTCGCACCCCCTTGAGAAGTCTGGAGAGTTGTTGTGGACTGGGTATTATTCCAAACCCCAACGAAGGGAGCATCAAACTTGTTCAAGTCAGGATAGGGAAAATCGAAAAATATACCCAGCTTGCCCTCCGATAGGAGGTCCGATTCGACTGTTATCGCAATAACATCTCGGTCTGGGTCGACCGTTGTCGTTACATCGACCCGAGATCCACCTAGAACGAAAGAAGACAGAATTTTTCCAGACCAAATGTCTAGTAGCTGTGTTTTATTCTTCAGGTTTTCTTCTTGAATCGATTCGTTTCCAAAGTGAAACCCAATGCGACCCAAATTGAGGCGGTTGGGGTTAGCAATGAGCCATTGGCTAATATCGCTTTCGGCTGGGTTTGGCATATTATAGTCGACAAGCCTCCCGTGAGTCCACCATTCGAGCCCAGTAAAGTCTTAGAAGCAGTAAAAGTTAGCTAAGGTGTTGTTTCCTCTACCCATGGTTGTTGAAGCTTGCCGCTGATGTTGGTCTGTCCATCGGTTGTAGGCAGGCTTGCGTTATGCCATCCCCAGGAGGACATAATGCCGTAAGGCCTGAATGTTTGGAGGCCTGTGATATCTGCACCAAACGCGAAGTTGCCATTACCAACCTGCAAGGGTGTCTCTTCCGAACTTTCATTACGTCTCACGTTGAAGGTTCGAACGATCCTCTCTCGGTCTATCACCGCTTCCCCTAGGTGGAAACACGAGCCAGTCAGTGCTAGAAAAATTATTAGATGCATAATATATCTTTGAATTGTGATTTCAGGTTTCCAAAAACCAGGGGAAGAAAATATGGACACTGTAACAGTGCCACTGATTCATACGGTGGAGATAGAAGCTTTAATAAATGCCAGTTTGGTGAAATGAATACCGCTGGCTTTTCTCCCATAGCCGACTCAATTCATTCTGATGGTTACCCCGCAAAATTGCACAGTATTCAGGCTATTCAAGGGATTTGTTAGGGTTGCGGGGCATTGTCTCCCGAAATCCCGAGAACGTTCACACTGGTTATTTGCATCTGATACTTCCCTAAACATACTTGGATGGCCCAATATTCACGCTCTCGCCTTCTCAAAGGTCGGGATCGGCAAGTTAACATGGAATTTGGTGTCTGTGGAAGAACGATACTTCATTGCCAAGAACCAGATTCGGAGAAATTAGAGATATCAGCTGGAGAGGCAGACAGAGTGATCGGAATTGCTGACCAGAAAGTCATTATTATCACATGTTTTCAGAACAGAAGATAGGTACAATAATCGATACCTCGTTGAAGTCTCAGTCACAAACTCACAACTTTCCGTGCTCCGGGACGGCGACTTCCAGACCTTGAGAAAGCTCGTGAATCAAAATGCCCTAGGCGAAATCAAGGAAGCCGAAATTCATTACGACTTTGAGTCCCCTGCTTGGCTAGCTGGGATGATAGAAAAGAGTACACACCGGGTACTGGAATGGCTTTCGTCTTAGGTGACAATACCCAAATTCCTTTGCTTGACAAATGCTTAGACACCGGTTTTATAGGAACACACAGCATCGACTAGGCTCTAGTATTACTTGGATGCCTGTCTGTTACAGGCTGATTCCGTGTGCAGCGCGGCATTGATAGTGGAGTTGATGACTCGTTCCTGCAGTATAATGGTACAAAAATGGACATACTCGTTACGGTCAAACATCGGTGACAACTCCAATGGCACAAAAACTAAAACTTCTGGTGCGAGGTACTAGTGGATTTTCATGAAATTTCAGGAAGGAAGTACTTGCCCCCAAGAGGAACCTATCGCGGGCGGCAAGAAATCTCTCGGTCCTATGTTCGGGGCAGAGCCGGTGCATCTCCGTGGTCTACTTACCACACACGAGAAGTTCGATAATATAGTGCAAAATTGGCTCCGCGAACCAAGGGTTTTGTTGATAAGTACCTAACGGCTACAGGGCGATGGCTGGGTCTCTATGAAAACCTTGGATGCTATTCATGGGAAAGCCGAATTGACTGTGAAGGCGACAGAATCAAGGGATGTACTGCGGGTAATTGAGCTTGCAAGGATATTGCATGAGCGAGGAGTGACGGTGGCCTGGACGTAGAAGATTTCATAGCCAATTTGACAGCTTCGAAGATCATAGCAACTTTCCGGAAGATGTTACAGTGCTGAACAGGGGCGTGCGGTGCGGACTATGTATCATTATGTAATCTCACCGTTTTCTTGGCGTCATTTCGGTCGACCGCATCCATGAACTGTCCAGCATCCAGTATCTAGCAACAATCATGCCTACTGCTGGTAGCCCGTCACTTAAGCGCAAGCGGGTGGTAGAATCTTGCTCGGAATGTTACCGTAGGAAGCAAAAGGTCAGTCTCCAATGCTCCTAACAGTGTCTTGATCATCTGACGCCTATTTAGTGTGACCGTAAACAGCCGTGCAATAATTGCTCAGTGAGAAATGTCCCTGGCAAATGTACTTTCAATACCTCAACGTGAGTTACTGTGGTCTCTATCTCCGGCTCTCTCTTTTGGTCGCCAGATCCTTCATCGTGGTCCTAACAATCATCTCAAGGGTGTCGCGGCCTGAGACCCGCATTCAACGACCCAGTATGTCAACGAATGAGGTGGGCCAGGGTCAATTACCGATACAAGATGACCGGGAGAGTCCTCAGCTAGGCTCTGGTAGCCTCGGATATTCATCTGTTCCTGGCAGCAATGCCTTTGTGGGTTTGCAACAGGTCGTACATCGTCACAGCATTCCAGCAACAACTAGGCTAACCAGAATTAGATTCTTGGTAATGACGAGTTTGAAAAGATGAATGCTGTTCAAAGTTCGGCTTTCAACTCCCGCGTCGCACGAAAAAATGCTCAAACGCTGGTTTCAAAGCTGCCGCCGAGGCCAGTCCTTCAGACGCTTGTTAACGTGTTTTTCGCTGAGGTAAACTGGCATTACGCCATCCTCGAAAGATTTTACTTTGATGATTTGTTTTCACGTTGGCCACACAGCGAAGAACTAGAGCCCGTGAACTACCTCGGGCCCGACGAACTCTCACGAGAGCTACGTTACTTTTCAGCTCTACTTTTCCAGGTTGTCTCCTTGACATTACAAGTTCTACCACCGAACCATCTAGATATGGCTCAGATCTCCGCAGATGCTCTGGGTACCTCACAAACATACAGTGACCTAGGCGATGAGCTACTGTCTGTTTTAGGCAGACCCGGGGCTACTCTGAGTGGAGTTCAGGCGGATTTTCTAAGGTCCTCGTGGTTGAAAAACGTTGGTAGAGGCACTGAAGCCTGGCACTCTTTTGGAAATGCCATCAGGTTCGCACAATTTCTATCCTGTCTCTGTCCACTCACAATTCTCAACCAACTGATGCACTTTAAAGGCAAGCCCAGGAACTTGGACTACACCGTCAGAGGGAAATCCGGCAGCCAGATGAAACTAATATTAGTAAGACTTTGAGTTGTTTGTGGTATGAAGAAAACAAGAAACGCCTATGGATCAACCTGTTTGTGTGGGATAGGTAATGCATGCCAACACATTTCCGATCCGATCATTTCTGACAGTATTAGTTTCATGGCCATGATCCTTGGCCGTCCTCGGATGATACATAGGGATGATTGTGATGCAAAGCCCCCTATGGAATGCAGTATACCTAAGAATCCTTCCACGGCAGTACCAATGGCGGTGCGGCTCGACGAAAATCCCGGCATCATACCAGTATCAGCATCTTTATTTCGTTATGCAATTGCATGTAAGGTCCATGACATGCGAGCCATTAAATTGGATCGCCCTCATCCTAAGGTTTATTCTACGGTCCGAAAGATTCATGAGGATGTCGACTTGTTGATGGACGGCTTGCTGCCTTCAATTCGTCCCGACTGTCCGGATACATCATGGGACTTGGAGCTTCCCTATCTTCCTCAGTTACGCGAGGAACTGAAAGTCATGGCGAACCTTTTTATCGCCAATCTGCACCGACCACATATTATTTCTAGCACCGAGAGCCGAAAAGCCGCTTTACAGGCTGCAATTGCCACACTCGACTTCCAGCTGCGCTCTTTCGCACAAACAAAACCATATCAGTATCATTTATTTAGTCTCGCGTTCTATATGGTTGATGCCTCTTTTCTTCTCTCGATCATCACTATTCTGTACCCTCCAGAGAATCACGAAACTAGGCAAAACATTGAGACCAGTCTCCGTCGGTCAATTGATAGTCTCTCAACGATGAGGGATTATAACCCGGTAGCCAAAGCGGGCTTTGGTGTTGTCCAACGTTGTTACAGCAAGCTCAGAGAAGCTTTCGAATCTCCCAATAACGCTTCTGGGCTACACCCTGCTTCGCATTGTTCTTCTACCATTCGACTACAAAGTCTGATGAGGGATTTGAGCGATTATACCATCGATTCATCAATGGGCTCTCTGCTTGATCCTAGTCAACCCACCCACAGCCCCGACCTCGGACTTCCGACGCCTCCATTCTACGGATTACAAGACAGCTTCGATCAGGGATACTGGCTGGAACAACTGAATCAGATCCAGCCATCTCTAATCTTTGAACAAGACCCCCACGGGATGTGGGAAAATCTTTCATTTGATTGAACATTGAGGCTTGCCTTTGGGGGAATGTGTGGCAGTGGTGCTATACTGTATCAGCAAACAACTTCTAACGAATGGCGTGCAGCCGGTCACACGCCCGTAATTCAATTAACAATGGCCCTTCGTATCTTCTCTCCGTCGATCTCCCAGTATGTATAGATACCATTTATCCTGACCGCCCGTACCAGGCCATAAACAATTACTTATATCCGTAGGTCATCATCGGGTGAAACATTAAGGGCTTATGTTACCGCCGAAATATCCGAACCGAAATTTCGGCCGAATCTTACTGGATCAAACTTCGAAAGTCCTCGGAAAGACCCATGCCACTTTGCTTAGAGATTTACCTATACTATGTCCGTGAACCCTTTTCTTTCTATTGGTTCAAGCCTTTAGTATGCTACACCATGATATAATTGAACAAATTCCAGACTTAGCGTGGGCCGATCAGCCTGAGGCCGCCGAAACCCCCGAAACACAACATGAATTGTTGAAGCAAGCAGAGCTCAATCAAGTTCCTGAGTTGCGATATTATAAGTATTGAAATCTTGTTATATTCAGCAATGTATCGACTCGGGTACAAATGAAACTGCGAAAGCAGACAGTTGATTTTGCAATCTGCCCTGTTCAACCGAAAATTGAACGCCATCATTCTAGACTAGTGCTTCTCATAATCTTTCATGACAGGAATGGTTTCACAAGCTCCAAAGATCTCTCCCACAGCAGGGTGGCCTTCTTTTCGTCATACGCCCAGGCTGAGTATCCGGGATCATATCGACCAGCACCGGCCTTAGGAGGCTTCGCGATCTGGCAATCCTCGAGATACTTGCCTCCTTGACCTTCGTGGACCTTTGCGGTGGCTGCCCAGACAGTGGTAGCCGCACCCTGCTCGGGGCTTTTGAGCAACCGCGAAACTTCAGGATCGGCCTCCAAGCTTTGCTTTTGCTCTTCCGAAAAGTGTCTCAATAGGCCACTCATAATACCACCAGGATGCACGCCCACTGAGTGGACGCCCTTTGAACCAAACCGACGGTCAATTTCGTTAGAAGTCCACAGATTGGCCGTCTTACTCTGAGCGTAAGCGTCCCATGCATCATACTCGCCTTCAAAGTTGAGGTTCGGGAAGTTGACCTCGCCATCACGGTGAGCGACGGAAGTGAGGGCAACAACACGTGACTGGAACTCCGGCTTCGACGACTTCTCGAGAACAGGAAGGAGTAGCTGGATCAAAAGGAAGTGGGCGAGGTGGTTGGTGCCGAATTGGGTTTCGAATCCGTCAGCAGTTCGGCCTTCAGGAGTAGCCATAACGCCGGCATTGGTGATCAGGACATTGAGACGGTCAGACTTGGCGAGGAAGGTCTCCGCACATTTCCGAACGCTAGCAAGGGATTCGAGATCGAGTTCGAGCAGGTGGACACGGCCACTATCAAGGATTGAACTGAGGGCTGACTTGGCTTTGTTCAGATCCCGTGCAGTGGCATAGACTGTGGCGCCGGTTTCGCAAAGTGCTTTGGCAGTCTCAATGCCAATTCCTGAGGAGCATCCGGTGATCAGGACGGTCTTGTCGGTCCACTTTCCGTTGAGCTGTTCGTCGCTAATGATCTGAAGAGCTGTAGGTCTGGCATCACCGGGGCCGTTGAGTGTCTGGTGAACAGCTTCGTACTTGGTAGCCATGATGTCGAGTGCAATGTGAGAGGAAGATAATGTTTATCGGGTTGTGTGAGTGATGGCGGGAAGAGCATGGAGCGCTGGCTCTTATATATTGCAAGCATCTTGAAATCCCCGTTAAGTCCGGTGATGGCTCTGTCGGCCAAATAAACTCCATTACCTATGGCGTGAGGTGAAGGGCTTAAAATTCAATCATGTTGATGTTTTTATTGGATTTCGGTTTTGCCTTTTGTCGGGGCCGAAATTTTTCGGCCCTAATTGGTGTCATATGAATGGCGCCGTTAAATCCGGCGAAAGTCCGGGTGACATGCTTCGGAGTTCGGTTATGTAACTTAATGTCGGTTTCGGGAACCCCAAGAGACTGTGGGGTCTCCTTCGGGGCTCCGCTGTATCAATCGACGCCCACATGGCCACGTTAAACTATCCGGAGACATGTCCGCTTGTCGGGAAGAAGCAGAAAGGAAATATTTATAGATTACTGTACCATACATGCCAAAAAGTCAAACTCCTCTCGTTCATGAGCTTGTTAAGATATTTGGTATACTAATTGTAGGTAATTACGGGTTAGTGGTCATGAATGAGTCCTTTGACATACCTACGCAGGTACCCAGTCATGAACTAAGCAGGGATTGGTTACTAACGATCTTTCTTATCGTTTAATCTATCCCATGTTATATATCAGTGAAGCTATACCAAGAATAATTCCTGATTTTAAGGTTTCAAAGCCAGAAACTTGGCAAGAATTTCCCTCCCGCCGGGCTGGCTGAGATGCCCTAGAAGAAGAGTTTCACCAGTGGTTTAAGTTGCTCATTTAGTGACTGCGAGGGCTTATTACATTCCTTATGGTCGGTTCCAAGGTGGGGGTGGCGAGAGTCAATTAAGGCGTAGATGTTTGACCGATAAACAGGCGACTAACAGCCATACTCAATCAGAACGTAAAACTACACGGAAAGGAAAGGAACAGGAGCACAAGGTACTCTTTACTTGGTGTTATAGGGAATTTGAAGCTAAGGGTCTAGCAGAGATTAGATAAATGCCCGATGAGAGATCGATCAGTTTCTTCTAATATCAATATGAATTAGGCCACTAATATCCAACATAGTCAATAATAAACGTTCCCATGTAAAATAGAAGCATTTATCGAACTTTCTTTTAATGCAGTCAGACCTGGAAATCTCAGGAAGGTACTAAGATGTTGTTCCCCTGAACTCGCCAGTGATATTGGCTGAAGGTAAGATGTTGCGTCATTGTAAGGTCATCCGTGTCATCACCAATTGACCCGTGGACTAAACACAAGAATTACCTGCTAATAGGGTATATCGGTATATCTAGTCGTTAATATCAGCAGCTGATTTGAGGTTACCAGCTCAGTGATAAATTCCACTTACTGCTTTAAACAATCGTCGAGGTTACGTTTCGCAACCATCTTCTGAAGCGAATACCTTTGTACTTATAACATTGATACGCCGTTGCAGACCAGATAGAACTCAGTGACATTCATAGTTCAGAACTTGAAACAAACAACAGGGAACAAGTTTAGTCACAATTAATGAACTTAGTCCCAAGGTCACGGCTACTAGTTTACGAACGTGGTATATCTGCAACTCAAGTTTACTGGACTCAATGCGATCATACTTTGACTCCGCTGACGTCACTTCTACGCCATAGGCGAATGACCTCCAAGACATATATATAATGTTGCCCATATTATAGAAGTGATGAACAAAAACCACACTACCAGTCACCACAGTTTATCATGTCTGACAGCGGCAGAGGTAGAGTTTACTGATCTGCTTCTCCAGTTAATGTACGCAATCAGAAAATCTAATCAAATATTTAGATAACAAAGACGCTCCAGGTTCCCATCCGGGATCAACATACAACCACGGCGATGGTGGTGCTTGCGGGGGCACCGCCGGTCCTCACAATAGCAATATCGTCAACAAGATTGACTCCAAATTAGATTCTAATCAGGATCGCGAGAAGGTTGCTGCCAGCACTACTTTTATGCCTCAAGCTGGAAAGCCTGCGGGGATATACGACCCTAAGGCCGACAAACCTGACCAGAGGGTAGATAAAGATCCGGATACCCGTCGCCGCGAGGATGTGGCTGGCAGCAGTCGTTTCTACCCTCAGGCTGGAAAACCCGCAGGCAACTCATCGCTTTGATGGAGTGAGCTAGCTTCTATATGTATGGAAAGGACCGAAACTCTTACTCGTCATGTCTGTCTATCTAATAAAAGCGGCAAAGGCAAGTTTCATTTGTAAGATGTTGATGGTATGTTATATCTCATACTTGAATTTCTGTGAACCTGAATATTGTAACTTTCATCTCTTACGCAAAAGCCATTGAAACCGGGAACTTCTCCTAGGCTCAAAGACCATCCCCTCAAGCAGCCTCTGCTATCTGATCGCAGTAGTCCTCCAAGTTCATCAAGGGTCACTTGGCCCAGAGATATTGATGATATACCTAGGTAGGTATGTACGAGTAGCCATACATATCTAGTATGCGATGTAAGAGGGGTGTCTAGGTGGTTTAAAGTATGCAATTAATTCATTAATTACAGATCCATGATTAGGGTTAGCCACATACCCGATCGGGTATCGTCCAAGGCTTCCTTTTTATTTTCCTTTCTTTGTCACATTTCGTACTTTTTTAGATCGCATTTGTCAGAGCTGTCCTGTTATTAGAAATCGCAGCCTACCCCTTAGCATATATAGGCCGCCCTTTATCTCGTCTCAATGTCGGTCCCAACCACCAACAAATCCCACCAATGCCAGTATGACCAACACCATCTATCTCATTACTGGTGCCAGCCGCGGTATTGGCCGTGGCCTGGCCGAGACATTCCTGGCTCGTTCCAACACCACCGTCATCGCGGCCGTCCGCGAGCCCGTCGGTGCTTCATCCCAGTCCCTGCAATCCCTCCCCAAGGGCGAGTCGTCTCGCCTAATCGTAGTGAAGGTCGACTCTAAGTCTCCCACCGACCCGGCCGCTGCCGTCGAGACCCTGCAGAGGGAGCACGGCATTGACCACCTGGACGTGGTAATCGCCAACGCCGGCATCGGCGAGGATTTCTCGCCCGTGCACCGGTGTCCATCCCCGTGCTGCGCGAACACATCGAGGTCAATGGCTACGGGCCAATCTACCTCTACCAGGCGGTCCACCCTCTGCTCAAGAAAAGCAAGAAGCCCACATTTGTGGGAGTCGGCAGTCCGCTGGGCAGCATCGGCGGCATGGAGCAGCGCCCGTACCCGTGTGCGGCGTACGGTCCCAGCAAGGCCATACTGCACTGGATCGAGCGCAAGATCCATTTCGAGAATGAGGACTTTGTGAGCTTTGTTGCGGATCCTGGGTAAGCGCCTGCTCTCTTCCAATTTTCGTTGCGTCGCAGACATATTAATGAATATGCAGCTTCCCCCAAACCGATATGGGCAATGCCGGTGCCCAGGCTGTCGGCCTCGAGAAGGCCTTCCAGACTGCCGAGGAGAGTGTCGGCGGTATCGTGAAGACGATCGACGAAGGGACGAGGGAGTCGGTTGGTGCACAGCTGCGCGTGTGGGATGGATCCCAGTTCCCATGGTAAGGGAAAAGTATTCGAGGCATCTTTACATGACTCTTTGTTTGCTCCCATGATCTCGATACCTCTTCGCTCTTAGTTAGTCTTCTCCGAACCGTTATACCCACTATGATCAACGCGCTCTGCGACCGCTTGTTTGAGAAACCTGATTCTTACCTAGATGAGATGGCCATCTTCACCCGAGATGAGTTCCAGGCCCTATTAGAAGAGCCCTTGTCGCGTAAGGCCGGTCTCAAGAGACTACTTGGCGGAAAGCTAGTGAGCGGAATGCTGCTCTAAAAGAGATTGATTTGTATAATTTATCGGTCTTCGAGTCATATTATCTGATTTACTTCGACGAATCTGGCTGTGATCAAAGGGCAGGGTTCAGATGGACAGGGAAGTTACTACTCGGTACGTCCCTTATGCACACCGTGACCAGAAATGTAAGGGTATTGCCTACGGATGCCGCTGTGTTCGAGGATTTCATCTCAAGACTTGTCCAGCACTGCGTAAGATGGCCTCGATCCGTGTTTGTTGTGGACAGCGCGTCGTTCTATCGAACTTTGCTGGTTGCACATTTATGCGAGAATGCGTGCGCCAAATTGGTCTCTGTGCCGCTCTACTCACCCGACCTTAACCTCATAGTCTTTACGGAGTTAAAGGCCGCATTTTAGTTAATTGCATTCAGGGGTCTCGATCGGAAAACACGGTCCAACTTCCCCTGAACACGACAGTATATATGGCACTTGCATTTAATTTTCTATCTTGTTCCATTCTTATCCTTCAAATTAAATCAGCTATGTTGCCTACTCAGTTTGTACAGGTCCTTACTCTCCCTGCATATACCTAGAAGCAGACTGAGATCGATTGTTATCAGAAATCAATTCAATGCTGTGCATAATTAAATCAACAAAAGGATCAAAACATATAATGACTCTCTCTTTAAGACTCGATATGACGTGCAGAGAGACATTCTATGGGCTGTAAATACTCTGGTTCATGGAAAATGCAAGATATGGAAATAACAGTGTTTAGTTGGACTTGAATGAGCCAAAGAAACAAGAGACATTCCCAGCAAAAAGCGATTTGCGAAAGGTTAACAATCTACCCATATCACGACGATAGAAATATAATCTCCTATATAAATCCATCTGCCCGGCCATCACACTTTGATGTCTCGAGAAATCACAATATTAACTTTGCACATAAGATAAGTCGAGTAACGCGTCATCCAAGCACCGAGACGCTGCTCGTCAAAGATGTGGCCGCACTTGAGCTTGCTGACGCGATGTCCGCACTAGAAGTTCCCTTTGCACAATACAAACTTCATGGCGTACCAATCCCATTGATCGCCCCTTTGACACTTCACTAGTCATGCAACTCGAGGGTGACTGCACAGGTCTCTGGTTAGATGAGGCATACTGCGTTAAAGCAGGGGGCGGCGGTACTATGACGACCAGTTCGGCTACAGCAAGTGTGACTCCTCCAGCACCAACACAAGCAGGGATCCCGTCCACCTGCAACGCGTACGGTGTTGCCCAGGACGATGATGGACGTGAAACGGTTGCCTCTCGCAATAGAATCACCGTAACCCAACTTTGTGAGTACAGCGCAGCTTTATACCCTAAGTAAATCTCAAATTAACAAACTCGCCTGCCATAGACGCATGGAACCCAGCTCTAAATAATTCCTGCGAAAAGTGAGTATTGATAATTTCTTACTATCGGTTCCGAACGCTGACATTCTTCCCGCGCAAACAGCTTCTGGCTGGGTGAAGTCTACTGTCTCGGTGTATCATCTTAATTTATGGGCTTAGGTGGCATGCGTCAATTTATATACATTTAGGTATTCGAACAGCTTACACCTATAGCTATACGAGTGATTTCAATGCCCTACGTTCACCTAATAAATAGGAGTCTCGCCTAGGCGAATAATGTTCTGTGCGTTCTCATAAAGACAAGTCGGTCAACTTTGAAACGCTGACTACACAGATAACAAAATCTTGAGCTCATTCAAATTCTCATGTTCCCCACTCTTTAAATTCAATCTCGAGTTCACTTCCAGTGTGTTGAAGGGCAACTTTTCTCCAAATCTGGAAGACCTGCTCATCGGGCTGATATATGCGCTTAGCCTTTTCTAATCTTGCCGAAGCGTCGGTTTCACGTGGGACGGACATGTCTTCATTGCTCCAGCTGAGCTTCGCCCTTCTCGCTTGCACCTCATACTCGAATATGTATTCCGGGCGGGAAGTATTCGTTACGAGCCTCATCTGTCTCAACTTAGGCATTCAGAGGGCCGCCCGACCAACCGAAAGGTAAAATCTATCGACATAACCGGCGATGATATTTGTTCGGAAGTAGGTTCTCTTGCGATCCTCGAGAGGGATCCGCACGTATTCGGGATATTCGTTCTCATAATCTCCGAAAAAAAAAAAAGTGGTGCAAGCATCGTCCGTGTCATCATCCACAGCCTCCCCCGGCTCCCTTTTCACAGAGCCACTCTCCAGACGGTGTTACTTGCGGATACTCCACAGAAACATTAATCGGATTTGGCCAGAATAACAGGTTGATATCGTCGTCCTGCGGACTAAACGGCGAAAACAATTCTGGGCCAATCACATATTGGGTGGTATAGAGACTCTCTAGTTGCTGAGAAAAGTTCCGCAAGTGCGAGCTTAAAAGGTCTGTTCCATCCACCGTCACATCAGGAGGAGGGTAGTTCTGATCCTTAGGAGGCAAATAGTGGAATTGTAGACCTAGTTTCCGTACACTAGCAGGAAACAAGTGAAGATTACGAGCAAAGTCTAAAAAGGAGGTTAGCAGACCATAGTACGTAGCATCTTAATAGGACCTAGCTTACTATTTCGAAGACATTGTCTCAATTGTTCGTCTCGCTTGCAGTCATCCTTCATCATCAGCCGCACGCGGTTCAACCGCGGCAGCTTTGACGCAATAAACACACTCGACGCCGGCTCGATCAGCCGTTCTTTCCCGAGTCCTTGGATTGAGAGGGAGGCGATCGCAGAGACAGGCGGGCACTCGGAATCGGTGGTTGTTCTTAAGAATTCAAGGTAAGATCTCTCATATCTCTGACTAAGAAGATCGTTCACCCGTGGTCTGGCCGCTCGTACTCATTGCTTTATCTCTTCCTTGCTCTTAAGAGCGAGATAGTCGCTAGGGGATTGTGCCTTGATGTTGAGATGGATTCCAGCGATGTCTGACCAGCCTGATAGGGTTCTGAAAAGAGTGCTGATGGTCGTAGTGAAGATCTTGTTGTTTCGTTGGCGTTCCTCGTCTGTCTCGAATCGGGCGCGCGCTTTCTCATCGTATGACTCTAGCTCCACGAGCAACGCAATTCTTTGGATAGAAGCTCTTCTGTGTGTGCTAGATACTAGCCGTTGAAACTCTTCCAATCGCTTAGTAGTTTTGATGCAGATATCCGAAAACGTGCGTCTTTCAATGATGGCCTGCCAGCGACGGTCCACAGTGGCATATGGGGCCAGGGAAATACGAGGATGTCTTCGTGCATGACTATCGGAAATAATGTAGTCCACCACTCGGGAGAACAATTCTGTTGGCAGTGAGTCCATTTTGTACGTGCAGATGTGGGAATGAAGAACAAGTTGCGATATAGGGCATTACCGAGATCACGTGAGCGAGCCTACTCAGCTTTTATGGGAAGTTTGAAAATAGCATGTTCATAAGAAGATATAGCCGAAGTTGGAACAGATAGAGTGAAAATCATCAGAGATATATACCACCTTGAAAACACTACAGGATGTTGAGTGGAGGGGAACCGGGACGTGATATTGGGCAACCAGCTAAACCTAACCAAGATGGTGTAATTGTATTTTAATAAGTATTTCAGCCCTAATATCAAAGATTGAGTGAGCAAAAGACCGGCCGAGAGCAAGGTGTGTCGTAGGCGGTGTCCCCTCCGATCCCCACACCCGGTTAGACAAGATGTTTGCCCCGGGAGGGGACCGGTGAATCATTTAATAATGATGATGCGAAGGGTGACTGGTAATACAATTGCACTGGTTGCCGTATAACAAGGATTCGGTTGCCGAACATCACGTTCCACTCTACGTACTGTATTAGTTTCAAGATTATTCTTCGTATTGAATTACCTCTATCCCAGCTATGTATGTGAAACGTTGAAGCAGCAGTCAGGTGTTTCAATGAAAGTAAGGGTAATGTGAGAAGTAGACTTTTCAAGAGAACGATTAGGTAACTTCTTAACAGACAGTTACTGGTGATCGCAATGACAGCGAATACAAGTAGCATCCAGATTGCAGAACACATCGAGAATTTATAAAAGAAAATTGACTCTCAACGAATGACGGACGAGCATATACAAAGCCAGGATTCCTTAGCCTGAGATATCTAGTTGGTAAATGAATATCTCTAATAAACATATCGGAAACTCTGGTTCTTCAAGTCTGTAGTGTCCAGCAACTGAGCTCCAGGCTGCGCATTTTTCTCGTGCGGTTGAGATTCCACTTCCACCACTAACTTCTTATCGCGTTGGCTATTTGTCCATCTAAGATGGAACAAGAGAAGTAAGCAATCGAGCACGCAGATCACCAAGCATATGATGATTGCAAGAAAGCCACTCTAAATTTATGTTAGATGAGAAGAATAAAACTAGAGTCTTGCAACCATACCTGATATTTTGGTGCCTCTTTCTCAAAGAATAACTGCGGGCCAACGATGTTGCCGGTGCAGTACATGATGAAATAAATAGCACTGACGGTAGCCTTCTTGGTGAATCCTGCAATGTTGGAGCTAATCATCGCCATTGAGACAGGCATTGCTGCAGAGTATATTCCCATGAGGAGGAGACCTGCATATCGAGAACCAACTGGTGTGGTCGCATAGACGAGAGCGCTACCAATGATACTGCTCAATGCGTTAGTTTATTTCCGCGACGGGATAATCAACAGCTATTCACGAATATTTTTACCTGATAATATTGCACCCAACCATCACAAGACAACGGGTCTTAGGGACCTTCGAAGAAATGATTCCGCTATAAAAAATCTATTAGCGTTGTTGTCAGTGATATCCGAGAGAAACCTACGATGAAAGCACAAAAATAAACACGATCACACCACCTGGAATACCAAGCAAGAGGGTATGGAAAGTTGAAAAGCCAAAACCTTTCAATACCAACCCGTTGAACTGACAGTTGTTAGTGCATGGATTGCCTACATTTAAACAGTTAGCTTACAGTTGTAAATCCGCCATTTGGAATGTTGGAAGCTAATATCAAGACCGCAAGAAGCCAGGTCTTCGGATCGATAAATGCCTCCCACATTTGAGAGCCATCGATATTTGTGGTCTTGTAGCCTGTTTGGTTAGCTTTCAGGCGTTCCACTGCGATAAGCTTTTCTTCATCCGTGAGGAAGCTAGCGGTAGTCGGGGAATCGGGGAGACGGAATAACATCACGACTCCCCAGAGAAATGTTACGAGTCCGAAGATGATAAACAGCCACTAGATAACGGGGTGAGCATACAATCTTGGCTTTGAGTGGTGATTCACTATTTTACCTGCCATGCCTCGAGGGCACTTTTAATTTGTAGGATGCCTACGGCAATCAAGTTGCCAAATATGAGAGAAATCGAGTTTCCACAAAACCAAATACCATGACGGAGTGGCTGCTCGGATGTTCGATACCACAGCGATGTGATCAGAGTGAAACCTGGTGAGAGGCTGGCTTCTGTACATCCAAGGAAGAACCGGGCTATCATAATACCCTTGAAGTTGGTGCATGCAGCATGGCAAGCCAGAACGATGGCCCAAAGCATACTTCAATCATGTCAGAAAGGGAAACTGATGAAATGGGGAAGCATCGTGTAACGTACAAACTGGTAGCAAGATATTTCCCTAGTGGGAATTTGACCATCAAAAGAGATGCGGGATATCTGATCCTTGGTAAGTAGGATGGCGGAAGGCTTTTCCAAGCTCAGGACTACTCACGAGAAAAACAAGTAGCCAAAATAGAATATGCTTGACGACCAGTTATATTGAGAACCTACAAGATGCAGATCCTCCCGAATTCCCATGAGCGCCGTGTAGCCCAAGGCTTGTTTATCAAGAAAGGCCAGCATATATGCAAAGACCATGATTGGGAGAATCCTAGAGGGAAAGTTCTCATTAGACTTCGAGTTGGAAGATATTTTCCAAGATTCACTTACATCAAATCAATCTTCCGAACCAACTTCTTCTCTGCAGCAGCGGAGAATTGGAATGAAGATTCAAGTGCTCCATTATCAAGGCTTTGTTTATCAATCTCGTTATCAGCTTGGATTACTTCTTTCTTGTTTGATAAAGTCGACATCATGAGAATGAGTACCGAAGGGAAATGGAAATGTGAGAACGAGACGGAAGAAGGCCATATTGGCCATATTATTTATATGAGACTTTGACCTTGACTCTGTTGTGGTGTAAAGATAGACTTATCCCCGCAATATGAGAAGCCTAGATAATACAAGACCGGGAGCTATCTTGGGCTATGTACTCATTGGCTGTGTCGGCAAGGCTAGTAAAGACTTGGCGGAATGGGATTTGTGGCAAAGATACTAGAAAGTACAGCTGCAGCCTTCAACCAGGGCGAAGAGGCTCTGATTGGCCTGGCGTTTACTTTAGGTTATTTTCCCCGGATAAGACAAGTGGGTCGGTCGTCTTTATTGTGTCAAAAAGCGAGCTGGGTTGCTCGTGACATGATTAAACACTGATAGGTGGAGGCCGAGGCCTTCGACTGGGAATCTTTAACAGATAACAGATCATGTTCAAGTTATAATAGCTATCTTGATTGCCATGCTGTATTATTTGATTTGCTAGTTTGATCACACTTTATCTATCTTCCTCAAAGTTCTTCTTGACATCCTCGGCAAACTTATTATCAACCAAGATTCGACAAGCGACCATAGCCATACCTGCCGCACAGCCAATGGCACGTTTGAAACTCTCAGGAGATCCAGCGCCGCTAGTAAACTCTGGCGTATGGTTAACGCCATCAACAGGAATGGTGAAAAGCCCGTGGAATCCAGGAACGACGTAAGAAACATTCCCTAAACAAGTTTTAGCTGGGTTTCTGGAGGTGAATCTGGTATATGCATACCCATATCTGTAGATGCTCCGGCAAGAGCGCTCTTTTCTCCCGAGTTGTCAAGCAGGGTATGGTATCCCATCGCTCGCATTGCCGAGGTATAGCTTTCGCAGATTGGCCAGTTGCTCTTCAGATCGTCATATGAAGGGCCCCTATTCATGTACTAAAGTAAGTCATGCAGCATTTGAAGATTGATATGGATGGAACATACCATTCAAATTCGACCTTGCACCCAGTAGCAGTCGCAGCAGCCTCAAAGCATTTCAGCACCTTTTCAGTTAGTGGCTTTAGTGTCTTCTTGGTGGGAGAGCGAATATAATAGTCGACTTTCGCGGACATAGGAATAATGTTGGGCCGTTCTCCTCCATTCACAATGACTCCGTGAATTTTCTGGGTTGGTAGAATCTGCTGTCGGAGAAGAGAAATATTGACATATGCCGCCACCACAGCATCCAGTGCATTAATTCCTTCCCACGGAGCCGCTGCAGCATGGGCAGGCTTGCCCGTAAAAGTTACTTTGACTTTGTCATTGGCCAGGAATCCTCCTTCGAGAGTAGTTGCCATGCCCATCAACTCTGGCTTTCCGGGTACCATCGGTACGGGGTGGACCATAAGACAAGCATCAATGCCCTTGTATGCTCCCTTGTTAATAAGACGCACTTTGCCACCACCCGATTCCTCGGCGGGAGTACCTAGCAGGCGCACGGTGAATCCCGATACTGATAATGGTTCAGCTTGAGCCTTCATGGCCTCGCAAGTGGCAATGAATGCTGCGATTGAGCTTGTCGCAATGAGGTTGTGGCCACACGCGTGACCAATCCCAGGAAGAGCATCATATTCGGCGTTAAAAGCCACAACTCGGCCTCCGCTGCCATAGGTGTATTCAACCTCAAGCGCAGTCTCTAGTTCATACGCCTTTCTGCGGACTGAATACCCTTCGGATTTGAGGCTTTCAAAGAGCGCGCAGATATGATCATGGGCATCAAATTCTGCATATGCAAGCTCCGGGTTTGACCAGATCTGAGATGCATTAGCTGTCATGTCTCCTATAGGCTGGAATCGTCCGTCCCTTACCTTGTGGTTGATGTCATTGAGTTGTGAATCATAGCGCTGGAGCGCATCTTGCACGCTTTTCAAAAAGCGGCCGTGAGATTCGGGGAAATTCATCTTGCTGAGAATCAAATTACGCAGGATTGTTGAGAATAAGAAGTTTGAACCATCTCGTCCGTTTTAAGTCGTGCCAGAGCCCCGGGGAATAGGCGATGCAACGGCATATAGTCGAGCCAATCACAGGGTAGGATCTGGGTAAGCTCTCGGCATCGGGATCCACCGAGGAACAGCCGACACAGCCAATCGGCATCGAGAGCTCGGCTTGGGTGGAGCCTGATAACATTCCTTCTTCTCTTCTTCCCCCTCTCCCTCTTCCCCTCTTCATATCTGCTCTTTCTTACGGACCGTCGCGTATGGCTGTATAACATCTTATAGTACTTCTGGTATCCCTGGCATAGCCAGCCGAGACGAATGGAACAGTACATGGACAGGATTTTCGCGAAGGCTGGTCCTATCGACAATGCATAAACCGGGGAAGACCCGTTCCCGGACAGGCAAGGATCCACAGACCCTCTCCCTTGCAGCACCGGCTAACAGCTAATTAGGGTGCCGAACTTGCCGGATCCGTAAGGTCAAGTGCGACGAAGAAAAACTGCAATCCCAAGGGCACGAGGAGCCACAGTGTCGGCGATGCTTGGCAGCCCGTATCCTATGTGAGTGGAAGGGCGGCCCGATACCGCGGAGATCACATCGTGGCTCGACAGATCTATCCTCTCCAAAAGAGGTTCCAGGAAGGGATGAAACCCCCCTGCGAGCCAGTCCAGGCCTGCAAGGAAGCGATCATTTCTCCAAGTTACATCACCTTCCCCCACATCATTATCAATTCGCAGCCCAGCAAGTGGCGCGCATTCCCGTAGCATCCAAGCTGCGAACTCCCTGTCACTGTCAGTGTTCGACCGCCAGTGCTTGGGCTACCTGCAAGATTCAATATTAGTCGTGATTCTCGGCAAGCACTGGCCTTGGTCAACAGTCTCTTATGCATACCATAAAATCGCCACCAGAGAGCCGATGGTCATGAGCATGATGCTAGCTAGTGCTGCGAGGGAGATCCATCGGTCCAAACTCTATGACACAGAGAACTCTTATGACCAGCTTATGAGCAATGAGCAATCAGACATGGATGGCAGGATGCATTACGGCCGTGCCCTCTCAGGTCTAAGGGAAGCACTGAAGCAGGATGTGAAATCCCCACGGCAAATCGAAGCCATATTTATCACCCTTTGGTTGATGATAGATTATGAGAATCGCTTTGGAAGTGGTGCATCCGCCATTAATATCCATATCCGGGGCATCGAGACCCTCCTACACAATAATATCGTGCCTTTGTTACAAGGTCATACCCGTCTAACTGTCATTACGACAGAGGGTCAAGATCCCTTGCAGGAACCCCAGGCCCAGCTAGATATTTCTGGCCTGGACGATACTGCAAGTAGTGCAGGCTTTTCTGCTCTTGGTCCTGCGCATGGACTTGGCGGGACCTGTGTACCTCTCTTCCTCCTATGGACGCTGTACTTCTTCACACCTGCAGCTCTGTTCTTTGGATCTGAAACTGCACGCCTTGATACAGATATTTTTAGGTTCTTTTTACGATCCGAGTCCGGTAATACGACCCTAAGCCTTCCCTATCTGTACAGGTTGAGCAGGCAATCCCCTGCCCGCTTCTGGGGTGAGGAGTATCCAATGTCATCTCAGTTAGATGATCTGGAGAACCTTTCAGGTCTTACGCTATATCACCGCAGCCATGTGATTCAGTTCAAAATCACAGAAATGTTTAAACAAAGCTCAACATCGGATATCAGCTTTGGCGAGGGGTCCCCCTACCAACGGATTATCAAAGAGATCAACACGCTGTCTATTGTAAGCGCCCGAGCATTCCATTTATTCGTCTCTGTGAGTTTCCTTCTCATTAACAAACATAGGAATACGACACACTCCTCACCTCAGCCAAAAGAGCTAACAACTGTGACGTCGCCGGCGATCGTCGCGTCATGGAAACGGTTTTCTGGTCAGCCATCACATACTACGGCACAATTGTATATTTCCACCTGTGTTTCCAAGATCTTGTGAATGATTGGCCCAGCATTCAAAACTACAACAGCATCATCCCTCTCAGCACTGCCGTGTCCCAAGTTCTCGAGCTTAGTTTGAAATTACATCGCAGTCGACCCCGCATTATGATCCGGATTGTTTGGCCGTTATTTATTGCGGGCATTGCTACTTCAGACCAAATCTATAAAGACTGGGTGTCGATCCGGTTACGAGAGCTTGGCCGATATGGCCAGAATTATGATCGCATTTGTCGCCGGTTTGAGGAGATTATTCAGGGGAATCAGCCTATTCCCCGTGAGAAGAGGGGCCATTACTATTTGGGCGGTTAGATAATTAACAGCCATCAATGTACATAAATTCGATATATAGATGCTGAAATGCTGCGAGGATTCGGCAACGCTAAAAGATTCTGGTATGGGGTGGATTTTGTGGTCACTGTCAAACAATTCAGTAAAAGAGTAAATGGTTCATTTTGTTCACTTTTTCATGTGCATCACCGCCTCAATATTCGGGAAACGGTTTGGATTTTCCTGTCGTAAGCCTGCATACGGTTGTTTCTTCTATGCCTCCACTATATATATTTTCACGATATGAACATGTTCAACAAAATTAATATCAATTCAGTAATGCAAGGCCTACTAGACTACCACATAACTCTACCAAGCCTACTCCGACGGAAATCCGCAATCTAGTGGAGTCTTTCAGTGTCGCCCCCACGTCGTGAGTCACTTGTAGATAGGGAGGGCCTGTACTATCACAACAATACAACAACACAGAGCCTATTACAAGCACATCAGGAACTTTAAAAACGGTTGACTACCCCTGATATCATTCAAGTCATCTTACATGTAAAATCATTCCCAACTCAAAATGCCGGCAACCCAAGAACCAGCGCCCTTCCCGACCAACTTCACCATAAAAACCGCCCGCCTCCAAATAAGCCCCTTCAACTGCACAGACACAACCCACTGCAATTTCTTAGTCGAACTCTGGAACACAGAGGACTTCATCACCTCCTGCGGCAAAACCTCAATAGACACCCCGGAAAAAGCATCCTCATTCCTCCAACGCCGTGTCTTAGCAGATTACGCCCGCAATGGCTACGGCATGTTCCTAGTCTCGCGCCAAGGCGAAGACGACACGCAAATCCATATTGGAGTTGTTTCCCTTATGAAGGGAGCACCACCGGGTCCGCATTATCTTGCGCCAGATGTTGGGTATACTATCCTACCCCAGGAAAGTGGCAAGGGGTATGCGACTGAGGCTGCGAAGGGGTTATTGGAGTACGCACGTGCGGAGCTTGGAATTGATGCTGTTTTCGGATTTTGTGCCGCGGATGATAAGCGGAGTGGTAGGGTTTTGGAGAAGATTGGGCTTGAGGCTAGAGGAGTTAAGGCTTTGAGTGTTTTTGGGGGGAAGGAGAGTGCTGTTTATGCTTCGGCTGGGATGAGTGTGGATTTGGGGGTTTATGGCCTTCATGACTGATAGTAGTAGGAAGAATTACGGATATGCTACGGTGCTTGTCCGATTATAAATTGATTGTTCTTTGGCATTCGTGCTTCAATGTACTCTATCTTATTGTTCGTGATCGTTTCTTCTCATGGCATCCTGGCATAGATTCGATCTCCTTCGGCTGGTGGCTCTAGGAAGTCCGATGGCGGGTCTTGAGGTAGCTGGTTTGCCTCTGCCCAGCGACGGACGGCATCGAAGTTTTTGCATCGGTGTTTGGTGTTGAAATCGACATAGGGCTGGGGGTTCTCAGGGTAAATCCAGATCTGGCCCAGAACTCCACTGTCAACTGTGCACATGAGTTCCTGACGAAGGATGTCAAGGCAATGGGCTTTACGAGGAAAATGTGTTAGCTGGGTCTATTTTCTATGAGATTGGATGCATTTGAATACTTACAGACGTGTCGACGGACAATATAGTCGTTGTTGACAAAGGGTCCCTCGCCCATTTTGTGATAGTAATCATAGTTGTAGTAGAGGGATTGGCGAAGAAGGTTCTTTTCAAAGTTAGCTCACTATGGACAGAAAGCTTTGAGGGATGATTATCTTCATACTAGGCAATGAAGGTGGTGCAAGCCCTCCACGTTTGCTGGGAATCCTCCGCCATACTTCTTTTTGATCTTGACTTGGTCGGCAGCAAGACCAGATTCTTCGGCATCTTCCGCTGGCACTCTAACACCTCGATCTGTAATATCACGGCCAATTAGCTCAAGTTTAAAAGCGACAGATGGTTGTATAACATACAGTTGACACCTAGAGACTCCCATGCTGCATCAACCTCTGGGCCAGCATCCTGCCTGAAGACATTCTCCTTCAAGAGGGATCCATTGAATTCTTGCAGGCTATACTCAATTCCGACTTCTCTCATCACAGTCGCTAGAAGGCCTTAGCAAACTCGGCTTCAGAAGCATCACTGATGTGTACTCACAGTATTGGGATACATGTCGACTGCAGAGGCCATTCAAGTCCCCACGCCAGTAGAAACCAAACACGCATCCAACAAGAAAGAGTAATCCAAGAGCGCTAACTTGGAGTACGGTTGTAGCCACAGCCTTGCAAGTATCTGATGATGATTCATCACCGCCGCTCCAAAGTGTTCCCTCTTCTTCTGCTAGAAGACGCTCGCCAGACTCTCGTGTGGAGTCTGCTTTGTCAGAGTTGTCATGGAACATAGCTCGTATTTTGATAATATGAATAGTTTATGGTAAAGAAGATAAGATGCTTATACCAGAGCTCAAATGTGAAAGGGTGCATGCGATATCCCTGAACTTCGGCACAGGGCAGTGTCGCCAGCTCCAACCCCAGACCGCAACTTCGACAGCCGCCCCCTTCTTCCAGCCTTGTTACTGACATCAACTTGGCAGAAAATACTGGCATCAATTGACGCAATTTCTCCCCTGCATGTCTCACACGTTTTGTAAGCCCATGAGAACCCCAGAAGCGTGGCGCACAGACAACGTGAGAATATCAAGGGATCGAGTACAAAGAGATGAGAATCGTCAACATACATGCAGCTTGTCGTAAGCGCGTCTTCCATCTGGTCAGACACTGTATGCAACCGTTGATTCCGTGTGATCTTCGAGGAATGCAATTAATCCCCTTCAGGCAGGATCTGCACTGACTTGCCTGCAGCTTCATGTGAGGTTCATCATGCAACTCTTCAAAGTCTACCAACCACAACAAACGTTGATTATAATTGTATTGCCTAAGCTAATTATAAATCCACAGCCCTCTGAGGTCATCGCGCGTTAGATTGTTTATCCCCCGCAAGGCGCCATGATTTTCGACTACACGTTCACAGCTGTCCCTTGCAGCATCAGTCAACAACACCAAAACTCAATGATGGAATACGGGATCCAAGCTCAGACATTGTTGCCAGCAGCTCGGTGAGATACTCAGGGTAGCTTTGAGCTACGTAATCCCGAAGCTTGAAGCTGCTCCTGCTCAGATATAAATATAGGGCCACCAACCGGTCTTCGATCATCATTCAAACAAGCAACTCTCGAGAGCCTCAAGAAAACAAGAGATCTCTCGAAAAATACACCCGTCTCTAAATTTGTCAGAATTCACTGGAATTCACTCCCACCAATATGCATTACTCTATGATCAACGGCCTTCTTCTTCTGGCTGTCTCTCCTCTGGCAGCCCTCGCCCTCCCAGTGGACCCCAACGACCAAGCCGGTCAGTGGGATCCCAGTGGACAGTACCGCAAGGGTCATTACGACCAGAGCGGCCAGTTTATCCCTAACAACGGCGACAACCGCTACAACCAAGTCAACCAGAACGGCTACGTTGACCGCAATGGCCAGTGGCGCAACAACAACCAGAATGGCCAATACAATCAAAACGACCAGTACAACCAGGATGGCCGCTGGCAACCTCGCTCCGTTGTAGCCCGCAATTGGCCCAACGACAACCAGAACGACCAGGGTGGTTGGACTGATGCCAATGGCCAGTGGCACGCCAACAACAACCAGGACCAGAATGGCTGGACTGACGCCAACGGCCAATGGCATGCCAACAACCAAAACGACCAGAATGGTTGGACTGACGCCAACGGACAATGGCATGCCAACAACCAGAACAATCAGAATGGCTGGACTGACGCCAACGGTCAGTGGCACGCCAACAACCAAAACAACCAGGGGGGTTGGACCGACGCCAATGGCCAGTGGCACACAAACCAGAAGCGCGACCTGATCCCCGGACAGATAACGCCCACTGGCGCTGAGGCTGGCCGCCTGAACCAGCCTGGACTTGAGAACAAGGCTAGCCCCATCGGTGACTTGGCTGCTCACACTCCCCACCGTCGCAGCTGGCGCCAGGATGGTGAGAACAGCAACGGTGACTACAACAACAACAACAACTATGACTACAACCGCAACGACGACTACAACCGCAACGATGACTACAACCGCAACGATGATTACAACCGTAACGATGACTACAACCGTGATGATGATTCTTGGTACCGCGAGAACTGGGACCGTGCCTCGCGCGTCGCTCACGACCTGACCACTCCCACTCCCATTTTCCCCCGTGATGTTCCCAGCGCCGCCAACAACTGGAACTCCGTGAACGGCGCCCAGACTACTCCTAGCGCCCAGAATGGCCGCTACCAGAGCTATGGCAACTACAAGAACTATGGCTCCTACCAGAACTACCCTGCCAATCCTCAGGACCAGAACCAGGACAAGGATATCAAGGCTATCACTGGCCAGCAGGAGTAAATTTTCTTCTGGCATGAACATACCTCAAGGATATGAACCCGAATAATTCTGGAGAAGAAATTGATATTGAAGTGGAGGATTTGTTTATTTGCTGGCAACGCATGATTTGCATGAGGACACGAACTGTATACGCTCATTAATGACTTTTGGCTTTGATCTTGCGGGTGATGAAGGGAAGAGTGGTGAATATTAGTTAGAAGTTGATAAGCAGAATAGCATTTGATTTCTGAAAATTCTACTTTCCCTTGAACGTAGAACCAATATCTCCCCATCTGATATTGGAAAAAGTAACAGATGTCTCCGGATGCTGCGCAAGAATCAGCTCCGGGTTCCCTTCAGTGCTATTGCAAGGCCCAGCATTGCCGCTATCAAGCCAGTTCATGAAAGCACCAGAGTCATTCCAAATACTGAAAATCAAGACCATTCCTCGACCGAGAGCCTTGCCCATTTGCTTCAACCCTCCCATTTGCTCAAAGTAGCTGGCAGAGTTCGAACAATACTCCTCAGTGATAGAATCAACATTGCTTCCGGACACTTCTGTCACTGCATTCTGAATCACCTTCCCCTTCTGCACGTACAATCGACGAATCTCCTTCAACGCCCCTTTCGCAGTATTGTCATCAGTCACAAACTGCGTCACAACAGTGAACGGCTTGTTCGTGTCAACAATCCCCCGGTACCCATAGTAATCATGATCACCCAGAGCATATGGGTTATACCCACAGCCCGACTTATCACAAACACCACCACTACCACAAAGGTCACCAGAGCATTCATACACCTGCGTGATATTGCACGCGTGTGGTGTATACCCAGTGGCAACAGCATTCGCTTCCCAAAGATCCATCTCATTACAGCAAGCGCCCGAAGACTCAACATTCGCCATGCCATTCACCCACGGAAGAACTGGGCACTGTGCATCACAGTATCCAGTCCCGTACTGCGCTCCAGCCGGGTTGAGCTTGTTTCGTCCTCCAGACTCTAACATCTCGGCGAGATAAAGCGCGCCGTTCATGCCACAGACAAGAGTCGAGACGTCCACGTCAAAGCTGATTTCTTGGTTGAGGAGCTGGAGCATGTCGTAGTTCTTTCCGTCTTCATTGAGAAGGTATACTCGTGGAGAGACGGATGAGAAGGCCCCGTCAACTTTCATATATTGATGGAGAGTTAGGGTATCGCCTTTGGTTGCTACTCCATGCGCTGCATAGTCGACACCGTCGAGGATGCAGTTCTCGGCACATGTCTCTTGTGTTGCGCAGAGATCGGTGTTCAGGCCGTTTGACCAATCTCCACATGAGGCACTTTGGTTTCCTATCTCGTGGAGTGGGTGGGAGAGTGCATCTAGAACAATTGATGTTTGGTGTTTGGTGCAGCCGTGTGTAGTTGTGCATTTCCATGTTTCTAAACTTGGGTGGAGGTCAGGGAGTCCAATTTGCTGCGAAGCGACCAGCGGCAGAAGAGCAAATATCGTGATGAGATAGTTTCGTGTCATTATAGAATATTTGGGTATGTTTACTTGGCCATTCCTGTAGAAATCTGTGACATTTATATCAATCATTCTAGAGACGTGAAGAATGCATTCGGCTGAATCTACTGCTGTTTACATGGATTGAAAGACCGGCCCGGCGGTCCGATCGCAGTGATAGGGGAATTTCCTCCGGAATTTCTTCAAGTTCAAGGGGAAATTCCCAAAAATGGAAGAGCAATCATGCTCTCCCCGCATTTTCAGTTCCTGCATTTAGCCGCCATGGATACATAGTCCTGTTTCCGCCAATCGAGACCCCTGTATAGATCTGGGCAATATATGGTGAAACGTGCCAGGGATGGCTATACTTGTTTAAACACGGCCAGAATGATTGAGTTTAAAGGAATGGATTAGCCTTTCGCTTCTCCCTCGCATATCAAATCTTAGACAACCCTGCTGATCTGATTCCCCTTGATGACGACAGCAATTATGTTGGATTCCGTGCACTGTGACAATACTACTAACTTACTATATTCAATGCCAGTCAACTCAGTCAACTGTGTCCATGACGAACTAATAAGGAATGTATTTATGGATACTACAGTCCATTCTAGCACCCTTCAACTGTATACTTCAATGAATCAACATGGTTATCTGCACGTGACCAGATAAGCAAACGACGTCATTCCTGAGCTCATACGACCTCCGAGCTCACCAATCTCCCTCCTATACTTCCATCTCCAATTGCATATTAAAAATCCCATCGTCTTCCTAAACTCCAAAATGTCCGGTCTAGCACACATCCGCCCAACACGGAGCACCCCACTCCTCCGTCTAGGCAACCAAAGCCTACGACCACACCACGCCATCCGGCCCTCGACTCAACGATTGCAGCTGGCACCTCGCACCCTCCACAGCCTAACAAGCACCACTGCCAAAGTCCACACCACCACTAAAACAACCTCTATCCCACCTATCACCCCACAAATAACCATCCGAACCTACGCAGTCCTAAAAGGTTCAACCGGCAAAGCCGAAGCAGACCTCCTAATCGAAGAATTGCAAGAACTCTACGAAATAGCCAAAGATGAATTCGAAATTGCAACCGAGAGCACCGACACGGGAACTATCTACGCAGCTTCAGACCGGGAGTCTGCGCGGGATGCGCTGAACCAGTTGTCTGCTGTTTACCATTTGTACACGGCTCGTCCGGGGAGGTTGAGAATGAGAAGGAGAATGGGTTTGGAGCTGGAGCTGGGGAGGATGATGGCGATGGGCCTATTATTGAGACTAATTATAACCCTGCCGACGTGCCGAGTGGTGTTAAGGATGAGGTACGGAGACGGGTTGGGCAGCGGATTCGGGAGTTGAAGAATGCTGTTGAGTTGTTGGAGGAGAGGGCTCATGCTGAGTAGATTTGTTTGTTTATGACGGTGTGTTATACATAGGATTTGCAGAGTGTATAGTTTATGATTCCAGTTGTTTCTGGAGATCTGTTATATGCAATTGATAGATATAATAGCAGGATACGAACATTGAACTGTTAAGTAGAACAAAAATCCCCGGGTACGGGTTCCAGAATCCAATATGAGCGATTGTAATGTGTCAAAGCAGAAAGAAATATCATAGACAACTGACCGGAGCGAAACCAGGCAACCGGTACAAGCTCTAAATTAAGCGCGAAGAATCCCGGCGACATTCAATTCAGCACAGGTGGTATCAACTATTTTTTGTGGTCCTCAAAACGTCAAAACGTCAAAAAGTCACGCAGACACGTAAGTGTTTTCCAGCCATAGTACGCCCGGCCGCAAGTAGCGCCATATCCGTTGGGTCGTAAAGCATGACAGTCGTGTACAAGGTCTTCGATAGGGATAGTTCATTAGACGAGGGTGAAAGGTGGCATTGTAAAGTGATCGGAACTCGGTGAAGGTAAGGTAGAGCATAACTCCATTTTGTGTGTTGTCCTTTGGTGACGCTTAAGTTGGTCTAGAGGGGGCCACTGTCAGCATTGGGAAAGGAAAAGTATGGGAGGGATGGTGGGACATACCAGGTCGAGTAAAGCTTTTCGTGCATCCGGGGAATTGACATTTGTGTCTTCGTTCTCCGTGGGTCAGCCTGTGGCTAGACATGTTCGAAGAGTCGCCAGTAGTAAAGTTACATCCTGGCCAGGTGCACTTGAATGGTTTTTCGCCAGTGTGGGTGCGGGAGTGTGTTTTCAACTCGCTGCTATCTGTGAATGATTTACCACAATGCTTGCAAGAATACGGCTTATCACCACGGTGGCTGCGCTCGTGTCGATCTAACGTCGCCTGTCGAGCAAATGCTTTTCCACATACTGAACAGGAGAAGTTCTTGTAGTTACTATGCGTAAGGAAGTGACCCTGGAGCTTGGACTTTTGCGAGAAGGGCTCATCTGGACGATGACATCCCTCCCAGCAGCAGTAGTATCCATTGCCCTTAGCGCCATTCACAGTATTCATGTGGCTGGTGACAAGATGCTCTTGAAGAGCACCGGCATCGGCGAAAGTAGCACCGCAGGCGGCCTTGGTTCCATGGATCTTTGTTGACCATTTGCAAATATGCAGATCATTGTCTTCAGAGAAATCCGGGGTGGTCAGCACAGATGAGACACCACCCTCGAGGGGTGGTGGAGTCTCCCCTGGACTAGATAGGAGGTGAGAGCTGATACTCGAGCGGGACTGTCGTGAATAGGGAGAGTATGGGTGAGAGTGGGCATGATGGTGGACTCGGCAGCGATGGTGGTTTCGATGAGGTCCTCTTGAGGTGGTCAGGTTGAGGTCATTAGGGTTCTTGAAGTGGCCGTGAACATGAAGGTGTTCGGGGTGGAAGCAGTTGAATGCGTCCGTCGGGTCGGTTTTAGGTTTGTCAAAGGGTGACACGTTGTTTTGAGTGCCAGTGTGTTGGTCCTGGCATATCGAGAAGTCTGAACACATTCCAAGCATATGGAATACCTCTGCCGGGTTGACCTCAGTCTGCGTCGGCAAAGAAGGCGCCACAAACATCCCCTGCAAGTCCTTCTGGAAGTCATGACACTCAAAGTGGTTGGGTACATTCTGGTCGCAGTTGGTAGCGTGTGTCTGGTAGGAGTGTAGGAAATTATGGTGTTGGCTTGGATCGATGGTTACGGGTAGAGGGTGCTCTAGGGCTTTAGTTCCGTGGCCGAGATGGTGTCCCATTGTTGTCGATGGGAACATCCCTGTGTCCAGCGACAGCGGAGTGTTGAGTGCAAACAGTGTATCAAATGAACAGTCTTGACCCTCGGTACCATCACAGCAGTGACTCTCGAAGCAAAGAGGGTCAATACTGTCACAGTGTGTGGTATCGCAGTTGGTTTCTTCGCAGTGATCGGCTTCACAGAGATCGTCACAGTGTTTATCGTCACAATGATTATCTTCGCAGTGGTCTTCGCAATCGTTATCATCACAGTTGTCATCCTCGCAGTTGGCAACAGAGCAGACAGTAGAAGGACCACAGGCCACGAAGCCATCACACATTGACCCACAGTCTAGCGTGCAGTCATCTACATCACAACAGGCCTCGTCCACTTCGCAATGGGGGAGCGCTGTCTGATGTTCATGACTTGAACAATTCCAATGATGTTGAGAATGGTTGACCGAGAGATCTCCTTTTCTTTGCCATCAAGGTGGAAAGCATCCCAGTTGCATTCAAGGCAAAAATTGCCTTGGGGTTGAGACGCCATGGTGCACGGTTCACTTCAGGTAGAGGGAAGGTGCCGGGGCCAAATTTGAGAGGGGTTTCCAGGAACAGTGTGCCGCAATATCGAAATAAAGCGAACGATATCAAGGAAAGCAGTTGAAGAACCGAGGGGGTCACGACCGCAAGTGGGCTACCAGGTATGTCCAGGAACAATATCAAGCCTGCAAAATCACGCAACCGGCAGAGTCAAAACGCCACCCAGGAATCCCACAGGTATAATCTCCCAACAGTAGGTCTCAATAGTGCCGGATGATCCAATACAAAAAAATGCGGTCTCACTGTTGTGTCATGCGCTTGGGCTTCGGGTCTGCATGCGCTGCCGGCTATGATTAACCGACGCAATCGGAGATTTCCTGGACGTGCAGGAATAAGAGGACCTTGGAAGATACGTAAAGGCGAAAAGATGTGCGAGATTAGGGGGAACCTGATACTGCCCCCCGGTGCAGTGAGGACCTTCGGGACGATGGAGAGGATGGGGACCTTGGGGGTCAGGCGTCATGATTTTCGGGCGAATCGTGTTTGCCCCGTTGGCAAGCGGGGATCTCAGCACATGGCGTAGTTGCACTGCAGAGTCAAAACTTGGAGATCAGCGAAGTACCTGTAGCTGTAGTACTCCCCAGCATTCCGATGAGAATTCTTCCCCGCGGAAGCCATTTCGCATGGCTTCAGGGCCGGCCCACTCAACCCTGCTGACTCATTCTGCCCCCTTTGCCCGCCCCTTCACATGCTGTCCTGAAACCCTAAGTTGAGGTGCAAATCGTATGCATTCAGTGATGAAAAATGCTTCAGTGGAAATCACTGAGCAATATACCCAGAATAACTAAAAGTACCTAGGCAATCTCTAGAGTGAACTGCTGAAATCGCCGTTAACCAAACCTCACCGCCTTTGCCCCGGATCGACTATCTTATCGCAATGCTCCCTTCGTCCAACCCACTTCACAGCATAGTCATTGCGAAATCAATATCATTGCACTTTACTGATCTCGTCATTCATACCTTCTCATAGTGCAGACTAAAACCAAATCACTCCTGCAAGCTCGCGCCAACCGCAAAGCCAACATTTCCATCCCCAGACCCTCCGATCGCATCCCCAGACCCTCCCCTCTCTCCATTCTACAACAACAATGGGAAACATCTGCTCCCGCGGCTCCAACAATAATAACGACCCTTTCACCCAACCAGGCCGCACAGTGGGTACAAACCGCTCAGATCAAAACCCATCACCCCGCGCCCCGCTTCCAGCCAAGACAAACTGGAAAGCAACACCAGGCCGCACCCTCGGCGAGAGCAATACCAACTCTGGTGGCAGCGAAGCACCAAGTGATGAGGCACGCGCCAATGCAGCTATTGCTGCACAGGTATGTAAACAGCCCGCATCCTAATTATCCAATGGTCATACTGTCCATGTGGAGTGGAGGCTCGGCTGGCTCACTAGTATACGCGATTCATAGAAACGCGCCGATAGCAGCACCACTGGTAAAGGCAAACTAGGCTCAAAATTGGCTGCACAGAAGGCACAGACACATGCGCAGACATTGGATCAGGTTAGTCGGACTGAGAGGGCAGCGCGCGACGCCGATGGAGCCGAGGCTGCGAGGAGGTGGGAATAATTGCACAGCAGTGACGGGATCTAGGGTTTAGATCAAGGGGGTGATTGTAGGGGGCTCTGACGCATTTGTACTCCTTGATTGGGTGTGATAATTTCTTATTTTGTACGTTGTAGCGTGTATTCTGCAGGCGATGTTTACGAGGGGGTTGTTTGTAGTTCATGTGACGTCATGTGATCTGCTGGCCAGCTGGCGGGTATAAATACCTCGCCCTTCCCCCATCCTTCCTTCTTTCTTTTCTTTCTTCTTCATACTTACCTTGTTTGGGTGGCTGCGATCATCAAGGCGGCTCACCACAGTCTGGTCCCTGCATTGCACTGCGCGGCGGAACAGTTTGTTCAATGGCTTTCGGGTCATTGACAGGCGTATTCTTTGGCACTCTCCATTCGTGGATTTTTTTTCTTTTCATCAATATTCGGGCCAGTGGCTCGAGCTTGGAGAAGAGGATGTAAACAGTAAACGTAGCATTTCTTACCTAGCTAGGTCTTAGTTGTGGAGCTATTGTAAGACCTCGTCGTCCTCCACCTTCCCTGTGATACATCCCCGGCGTATTTCCCTGGTACCTGGTCACCCCGTCAGTTCGTCACCCCATCGCCCCGACGTCACCCCCGGCCAATTCAAGCCTTGCCTGGGTGCCCGTTCGGGGTTTTGGCATTCATCAAGTATCCTTCGCTTCATTACTAGCTTGCTACAACACTACTGTTTTTATTACTTACCTCACACTTCATCCACCGCTTGTACACCTTTGGCCGTGATCAGCCCTGTAGGCTCTCTTATTATAAAACTGCCTCTACTGTCTACTTCTATTACAAAAAATTATTGTGGACATATCAACATGATAGATTCAGCCGTCTTGCAATATACGCGAGCCGAGACACTGAGGGTATTGTACAACCAGATCTGAAAACATGATCCGCTCACCGTGGAAAAGCAAACTAAAGCACGTTGTAACGGCCACTGACAGGGGCGCGCGCCTCGCTGTCCGCAGCCGCAATCGTTCCCTCCTTTAACAGTCGCATCAACTCACGCATAGCATTAGTGACAGAGATTTCGGTCTCACCCTCCACCAGAATGTACAGCTTGGGAAGCTCGCCCGCAGCGGGTTCCTTGCCATTTGCGTAGAAATTGCCCTTTGTTGTGATAGAGGTACCTGAGGATTCCAGGATCTTGGCGACGTTCGTGCGATTGGTAACGGCCCAACGTGCTTTCTCTGTGTGGAACAAGATGGTTAGCATTGATCCAACGTATTTGGAATAGAGGATGGAACTTACGAGGGAAATCGTTGATCTCCATGGTCGCGTGGAATGCGCCGGCATCAGGTCCGCGGTTGTCGATGGGGACACCTGACCTCATCACACCTGCGCGGCTGAGACGTGCGTTGATACTTGCAACAGCAGAGCCAACCTTGTCCAGCGCGTTCTTGGGTCCAGAGGCGGGATCCTTCTCTGTCCTGTGGACAGTGATCTTTCCGTCCAGATCGATACCCTTTGGAACACCGGGCAGGGAAGCTGAGGGGGCGGCGGGTGCGGCTGCAGATTGGACGGCGGACAGAGCCTTGTTGAAGCGATCCTCCTTCTTCTCTTCATCGTCCTCACTTTCCTCGTCTTCGTCGTCGTTGTCGCCGGTCTTGTATGTGCGTCGCTCGCGCATGCGGGCAGTTTCACGTTCTTCATCAAGTCGATCTAGACCCTTACCACCGAAACCAGCGTTGTTTCCAGCTTTGTGCTCCTTTCCGGCCCTAACTTTTTCATGGAACCCATCAACCAGCTTTTTGACTGGCTCAGGCACTTCTTGTCCACTTTGTTTCAAAGCCTTCGCAATATCAACTGCGTACCGATCCTGTTCTTCGGTGATGAAGGTCACCGCAGTTCCAGTGTTTCCAGCTCGACCGGTTCGACCAACACGATGAACATAATCTTCCATGTGGTTGGGGGCGTCATAGTTGACTACCAGTTTGAGTTGCTTGACATCCAATCCACGAGCGGCGACAGACGTGGCAATCAGGACAGGGAAAATACCAGCCTTGAAATCCTCAATGGTGGAATCACGATCAATCTGGTCCTTTCCACCGTGGATCGACATACACGGATAGCCCTTGCGCATCAGTTCTTGGAGTAAAGCATCGGCAGCCTCTTGACGTTCCACGAAGATCAAAGAGCGGACGTCCTCATTGGCATCATCGGAGTACAAGTTACCCAAGAGTTCCAGTAAGCGAACAAACTTCTTGTCTTCATTGCGAACCTCAACGATTTGAGTGATCTCCGACGCTACGACACTTCGCCCACCAACGGTAATCTCGATGGGATTGGTCAATGCTTTTCTAGCCAAAGATTCCATGCTCTTGGGGAAGGTAGCTGAGAACAGCACAGTTTGGCGATCAGGTCGGATGCGGTTCACAATCTTCATGACCTGCGGTTCAAAGCCCATATCAAACATGCGGTCTGCCTCGTCCAGGACGACATACGTGACCCTGTTCAGGTTGAGGACACGACCTGAATTTGCGGCTAGCAGATCAAGGACGCGACCAGGCGTGCAAACAACAATTTCAGCTCCTCGTTTCAGGTCCGAAATCTGGTCCTTAATGGGAGCTCCACCATACGCGCAAACTGCCCGAAGATTCAAAGCCTTCAGGTAGGGCTTGCAGTCCTTGTGGATCTGAACGGCCAACTCACGGGTAGGGGTCATGATCAACCCAATAGGGCCTTCCATTGCAGCCAAGGGCCGTTGGTCTTTGATGTGCCGGAACATTGGGATCAAGAAAGCGGCCGTCTTTCCGGAGCCAGTTTTAGCCACACCAATGGTATTGCGACCTGACATGATTGCAGGGATTGCCTGGGCTTGGATGGAGGTGAGGCTCTCGTAGCCAAGTTTGCGGACGACGTCCAAGGTCTGCACGCCCAGTCCGCATTGGGACCATTTTTGAACAGGAGTGGGTACGTTAGAACCACGGATCTTGATGTCATCCAATTCGAGACGCAAATTTGCAACCTCCGCCTCAGTCATACCAGCAAGGTCGGAAGGCTCGGTGTAGAAATCTTTGCGGAATGGCTCATACTCAATCTTGGCATGGTCAATTGTGGGGAGCTCCCGCTTCTTTCTCTTCTTCGCGATGGCGAGGAGGTCATCGGCAGCATCATCAGCACCGACTGCGGTGACATCCACATCCTCATCGTCTCCGAACATGGCCTCTGGCTGATGTGACTCCTTTTTCTTCCCGAACTTGGCACCTGATGTCTTGTTTCGAGGTGCGGTGTCTTGCAGCTCGGACATGAAAGCATCCAGAGGGTCGACTTCATCGGCTTCGTCGACCTCCATGGGGGTAGAATCGGCTTGTCCATTTGTCGAGTCCTCCATGTGGACATCTCCATTTTCGGTGTTCTGAAGTCGTTCTTCTCGTCGCTCAGCAGCGGCACGTGCTACCGCTGCAGCCTTTTCCTCCGTCCCCTCGTCGTGCATGTCAACATCGTCATCTTCGCCTGCATCGTTTACTGCTGGCTCGGTATCTTTAGAGTCATCAATAGGCGGAGTCGGTAGTCGCTCCAACTTTTTGCGGGTGGATTCTTCTTCGCCAAAGCCCAGAGTTATAGGCGCGGAAGGCTTCTCGGTGTCAGAGGCTTGCTTGGCACCCAAGCCAAACCCGCTAACGTTACCTTTGGCTTTCAAGGGGCCTGAAAGCTTGGCTGGCGCGGGAGCAGGTTTGTTAGCTGTCGCGGACAGTTTGGACGTTGGCACCGCAACGTCGGTTCCAAGAACTGCGGGAGTGGCAGAATTTGTTGTTGATGGTTTCGCGATAGCTTTGGGATCGAACTTTCCAGGATATGCAGCGGGAGCTGGGGACTCGGCCGGGGTCACAGGGGTTTGGGGTGAGCCCACGGCTGGGGAGAATCCCTTTTGACGGTCAAGCTCGTCCAGGATATTCTTCGGGCCCGCCGTTTCTTGCTCTCGTTGTTTGCGCTCGCGTTCGGCAGCCTGTTTTTGCTTCCATGCCTCCAGCCTGGCTTGCCTCTCCGCTTTTTTCGCTTCGTCGGTCTGTGCGGTGGGAGCAGGTGTGGATGGTTTGGATGGCTAGAAAGGGCGTTAATATCACACTTCTGGAAAAAGCGGTTTTCTGGTGACATACCTCTCGAGTTCTGGACCTTGACCGTCTGTTCATCGCACGATCACGACTGGCATCCCGTCTAGATTTCGGCTTCAAATCAGCAGAACCATCTATCCGCCTGCGATCCCGCTCGCGGGAATCATCTCGCCTGGCCCGGTAATCTCTATCACGACTTTGTCGGCGATCAACGTCTTCGTTTCGGTCTCTGGAGCGCCGGCGGTCTCGGGATCGGTCTTTGCGACCCGGTCGGTAGCTGTCTTCGTCGCGACGGTCTAGCGAGCGGTCACGGCGTCTGTACCCATCTCTGTCACGAGGACGCTCGCGCTCGCGGTAGCGCCTCTGTATAACACATCCATGGTCAGAAGTTTGCTTTGAGAATGTCTTGCGATTCGCCACACGTACCTCTGGGCTGCGGGATCTACGATAACCGCGCCCATCATCCCGCCGGCTTCTCTCATAGCGATCATCATCACGGCGATTGCGTCTGGATGAAGAGTATGTGCTGCCTACAGGTGATGGTGAGCGAGTATCCCCGTGGCGTGCCATTGTTCCAGGCTGATTAGTGAGTGTTACTGAAGCTCAAAAGGACTCGGGGTACCGAGCGTTGGAAGAGTAAGCGTCGCCTCTCTGCAAAAACAAGCTCTCAGGTCGACAAAATTACGCCGTGAGAACAAACATGCCAAACGTCGTGACCCGAGAACTGCTGAAGCAGTCGTGGAGCATTAGTCACGTGATCGTGTGATTGGGCTAACCCGATGCGGATAGACCCAAACGAAGGGCGCGCGCCGTCCAGCCTCCCTCTCCGCTTGCGTCAGAAGCTCTTGTGGTGCCCTCTACCTTGCTGCTTTAATTTACAGCTGTACTAGTCCTCTTACTCCAAGCCCCAGTCTACTTCTACAATTTATCATGCCTTGGCAGTCCGCAGCTCGGGGGGCCCTCCTCCGACCCTTGCACTTCAGTGCTTCCACTCGCCCTAATGCCATAATCGGCGTGCAGAACCAGCTTCGTCACCTTTGTCTGGCGGCCAACGTACGCCAGGCGCAGCCCCGGCTCCAGCGTATCCCCGCGGTTTTATTGCTCTCTCAATCCAAGTCGTTTGCGACTGATACCTCCCCCAAGCCAAAGAAGACCAAGGCGAAGACCGACAACAGGAAGCCCGCTAAGAACAGCTCGACCAAGAAGAAGCCGCTGACCGAGAAGCAAAAGGAAGCTAAGGAGCTCCGTCAGCACAAGGATCACATTAAGCAGCTGAAGCAGACTGCCCTGGAAGTTCCCAAGGGTCTTCTTGAAAACTACTTCTTCATTGCTCTCCACGAGAAGATCAACGAAATCAAGGGACAGTATCCCACCCAGAGGGAAGCAGTTCAGGCTGCTGCCGAGATGCTCAAACCTGTCCCGAATGAAGCGGTACGTCACAAAACACTTGTCGCTGTTGTCAGTGTACTAATTTCCCAGTATAGAAATACAGAGCTCAGGCCGAGGAGAACAAAGCCGCCAATAAAGCTTCGTATGAAGATTGGCTGAACTCGCACACCCCTCTCCAAATCAAAAAAGCCAACATCGCCCGTCTGTCCCTTACGCGGATTGAAGGCAAGCCCCACAGCAAGCGCTGGACCTTAATCCAAGATGAGCGCCTGGTCAGAAGGCCTTCCAGCGCCTACACCTTTTACTGCACTGAAGGTCTGAAGTCCAGCGACAACCAGCATATGCCTGTTCGTGAACGAATTAGCGTCATTGCTGGAGAATGGAAGGCAATGTCTGAGGCAGAGAAAGAGGTATGGACCCGTTGGACAAGCCTTGAACTGCATAAACTAATCGTCACAATAGCCCTACCACAAAATGTCAATTGAAGATCGTGCGCGATACGAGAGAGAGCACCAGGAGGTTTATGGAACCCCAGCTCCACTCTCAAAATCTAAGGCTGAGGCTTCATCCTAACTTGATCTTTGATTTTGAGCTGGTCTTGTGTCCGAGCTGGGAGGTTCTCCCAGAAAACGGTGCCCTCTAGGTCCGGTGTATGTTTCATGCCGCGTGTTTCACTTTCCTGTCGCTTGATTCCCTTTACCTTTGTCGCTGTATTGTAGTTTCATGTCACTGTTTCTCTATAGTTGCTGTTTCTGGGTGTGGATGCTCTGCAGACGATAATTCTTAGAAAAGGCCATCTTCCAATGGATACCTACTCCGTTTCCGATTCAAGTGTGATTCCACCTTACTGTACAGTATCACATAGTCTGAGTCATAAAAGACATTCAACTTTCTTGCCACGGGCTCTCCACACCCCGCACTGGTGGGTTGTTTTGCTCCGGCGCACAAGTGGCGGTGAGCAACCGATGTGCTGCACTTGCAGAGCGCCAGAGCGATCTAGTGTAGATAAAGTATCGAATTGATTAGGCCGAAACATGAGGAGTCAACAGCTTCAGCGCCAATTAACGAGTAGATCTTTTCGAAAGAGGGTGAAATGTGATGTGTTCTTCGGCTCCTATACAGTAGTCAATAGAACTATAAGTACACCACACCCACCATTGACCCTGCATGGTATACTCCGTACTGCATGTTTGTTTATTCCATGCAGACGGGTAAGCCCGCTAGTTGGGCACCCACGGAACCAAACAGTCTATTCCAGAGTGATCCATGGATGGAGACGGTCGTGCCATGGTTGCGGTGTAGTGAAAATTGGAAACTGCGATCCCAGTAGTAAGTGGCTGGTGTATGTATAGCTGCAGTGCTGATGGAGGGGGTGTCTGATGATCTATAGGACAGTCAGACTGCATGGATATCACAGTCTGTGCCTATAGTATGCCATGCAGAATGTAAGCCTATTGGAGTACAGACATAGCAGGAAAAAAGTTAAATGGTGATCCCGTTCATCCCAGCCATCCTGTTTATTGCTGCTTTGGTTGTCTTTTTCCTGTCGAGTCGTTTGTTTTGCTATTTGGTATTCTCAAGGATTAGCTGTTGAAACATAGGATGGTGAGACTACCCAAAAAGTAAACATCCCCGTCAAAGTGGGAAGAAATCTCATTCCTTAGCCCGAGGCATAGATGAGAGATGATCTTCACCTCCACCGCCTCAACTACTTCCATCCCTGCCTCCAGCTCATACCAACTTTTCCCTTTCCTCCCTTGACTCCCATACTCATACACACACCCCTGTGCGTCTCTAATCTGTCTCAGATCTCATATAGGGTCTTATCGCACACCCGAAACAACCACCTGAACTAGCGCCGGTCGTGCAGGGGAGGCTATTTGCTCTTTATTACATCTGACGTTTAAATTTCGACCTTTCAACCGATCTACCCGAAATCGAACGCTTTGTTGCGCATCCTAGCACTGTGACAGCTCATCGTGCCATTTCGCGCCCAGATACTCGCCCCCGCCTGTTTGTTGCCGATTGGGGTCCATCCCCCGCGGGACTCGACTCACAAGCCCGCACCCCGATGCGTAAACATTCAGGAATCGCGGAGTCGACAGATCAGTGATTGGACTGTGCCATCGCATGTGATTTCGATATGGAGGTTATGGAGGGGTCTTATCGTGCAGGCGCGGGGAAAATACACAGTCTGGGGGATGTCGCATACCACACCGAGGATCTGGAAACCGAGGCGGAGAGAGTCATTGACGATGTCTGGGCTACGTTTGTTCTGGGGGTGAACCTTCGTCCTCGGAAACTTGATCTGGTGGCCCAATTGAGTTCGCGCGCCCCGGAGCCAATGTTGTACGACCAGCCGCCTTCCTACGACGATGTGATTCAGGATCTTCCTCCCGAATACTCTGCTCTTCCTCCGCTCGCACAGCGCAAACATCGGGTCCTTCCTTCCGCGCCGCAGACTCCTCGAGATAAATCGCCTACGAAGTCGTCAGCATTGCTGGAAGATCGCATATTGGATGTTCGCATTGATTTCGAAAATCTGACTGGTGTGAGGGAACACAAAAAGAAAAAGCCTGCTGCAAAAAGGCGGCTCCGCCTCCTTCTCCGCCTGCCGGTGGTGGCTCGGATCCTCCGGCGGACGAGCAGACCAATGGTGACGGAGGAGGTGACGGAGGAGGTGACGGTGGCGGCGCTGGTGATGCAGGTGGTGCCGGAGACGGTGGTGACGGGGGTGACGGAGGTGATGACTGGGGTGATTGGAATGTGAGCGGGAAGAAAAAAGACAAGAAGAAGAAAGAGGAAGAGGAAGAGGCGGAAAGAGTCGCTAAAGAGGAAGAAGAACGAAGGGCCGCCGAAGAATCTGCTACCAAAGATCTCAGCTGGGCTGACGACGCTGGTGGTGGTGATGACTCGTGGGCCGGGTTTAATACCGTAGGAAAAAAGAAGAAGAGCAAGGTAAGAATCCCCGGTTCTCAATTCCAAGCTGGACTTCTCTAAATAGGTCAACAGGATGAAGGGCCCCCTGGAGGATTCCAGGATGTAAGTTTGGACGGCGGTGCACCGCAGCTGGACTTGAACTTTGATACTCCAGCTCCTAAGACTGGCGGAACTGGATTCAGCTTTGGGGGTTGGGGCAAAGATTGGAATACTGGCGGTAAGCTTGATGCCCTCGATGAGCCTCCTAAAGATGACAACAATCCTTGGGGCTCCACCAAAAAGAAGTCATCCAAAACAGCTGCTGGCGGATTCGATTTTGGTGACTTGGATGCTTCGCCTGAGAAACAAGAGGATGACTGGGGAGGCTGGGATATCTCAACTAAGGACAAGAAAAAGAAGGGCAAAGCTGAGCCTGAGCCCGAGCCGGAACCAGAGCCTGTGCCTCCTCCACCCCCTCCGGCTCCTCCAGCTCCTCCGCCGCGACCAGACTTCACGCAAGAAGCATGGTACCTGAACTTATCTAAGAAGGAACAGCGCAAGGCGAAGAAGGAAATGGAGAAGAAGTGGAAAGATGAGGATGAAGCCTTGGCAAAATTGGCAGCGGAGCAAGCAGAAGCCCAAGCCCAATCCCAAGCCGCGGAGGAAGTTGTCGTTGAGCCTGAGAAGTCTCCCGAGCCAGAAAATGCCTGGGGCTTCATCGGGTCCAAGTCAAAAGACAAGAAGAAGATTGACCTTCTGGCTAATCCAGAACCTGCTCCAGATCCTCCACCAGCGGATGACTGGACGGGTGGATGGGGTACAGCAGTCAAGAAAAAGGACAAAAAATCCAAGGAACCGGAGCCTGTGGTCGAGGAGACATCTCCAGAACCTGTAGCCGATGTTGGTTTCTCATGGGGTGTGTCTACGAAGGACAAGAAGAAAAAGAAGGGCAAAGTCGAGCCTGAACCCATCCCTGAACCTGAACCCGAACCGGAGCCTGAGCCAGAACCTGAGCCCGAACCTGAACCAGAGCCGGAACCGGAGCCCGAGCCTGAGCCCGAGAAAGCAGTTCCTGACGATCCTCTATACGAAAATTGGAAGGACATTTCTTCCAAGGAACGTAAGAAGCGAGAAAAGCAATTGATACGAAAGGGTTTGCCCATCCCGGGCAAGGACTTCGAACTCCCATCCGATGAGCCCAAGGAACTACCTGCCCCCGAACCTGAACCTGAGCCCGAGCCCGAGCCGGAACCAGAACCAGAACCAGAACCAGAACCAGAACCAGAGCCGGAGCCTGAGAAACCGGCTGAAGAAGATGGCTGGGGATGGGGCGTAACCAAGGAGAAGAAAAAGAAGAAAGGCAAGGATATCGAAGAGCCGCCTCCACCTGCACCGACTCCTCCTGCCCAGGGCTTGACTCCCGAGCCCGAGGCTATGAATGACCATGGTGATGATATATGGACAGAGCTAGCTCCCAAGGCCAAGACCTCAAAAAAGACGAAAGCTATTGAGTCTCCTAAGGAGGAAAAGACCTCCAAAAGTTTCTGGTCAACTTTAACAGGTACTTCAACAAGCAAATCCAAATCGACGAAGAAAACCAAGGAGGAGAAGAAGGAGCCCGAGCCTATTGAGGAAGACTTGCTTATCGATGTTGGTGATGACCCTCCAGCAGATCCTGACCCGGAGCCAGAACCAGAACCAGAACCAGAACCAGAACCCGTCAAGGAAGAACCTCCTCCACCCGAGAAGAGTTCCAAGTCCAAGTCTTCCAAGCTCAGCGTTGCCGAGCGAATCAAGGCTCTAGAGCAGGCAAAGAAAGACAAGCTCAAAGAGGAGAAGTTGGGCAAAAGTAAAAGCAAAGAGAAAAAGGTCGAACCAGCTCCTGAGCCTGAACCTGAACCGGAGCCAGAACCAGAACCAGAACCTGCTCCAACGAAAAAGAGCAAGTCAAAGTCAAATTCAAAGGATTCCGTTCCAGGAAGCTTCCCAGACTTCGGTGATGACCCCGACCCTGAACCTGAACAAGAACCAGAGCCAGAGCCAGAGCCGGAACCAGAGCCAGAACCAGAACCAATCCCCGAACCAGAACCCGAGCCTGACCTTTCAAAAATGTCAAAGAAGGAACTCAAGAAGTATAAAAAACTGCAAGCAGCAGCCGCTGCTGCTAAGCCCCCAACTCCCCCGCCACCACCCGAGGAACCACCTGCGCCTGAACCTGAACCAGATCCGGAACCTGAACCTGAACCTGAGCCCGAAGAGCCAGTAGAAGAGGATAAAGGCGCCCCTCCCACACCTCCACCGGAGGCTGCCGAGGAGCCCCCAAAGTCGTCCAAGAAGGAACGAGCTCGCGTCGAGCGCACTAACACCTCATCTTGGGGCTTCTGGGGAGCCGCTCCACCGCCTAAGAAATCCAGCAAGAAGGAGTCTAAGGAACCCAAGGAGCCGAAGGTCCAAGACGAACCAGAACGGCCGAAGAAGGAGTCAACTCGAGAGCGGTCCCCCTCCGCAGCGGTGCGAACAAAATCGAGTAAATCTCGACCAAAAGAAGCTGACCCAGAAGTCGAGAAATCCTCTGCATCTGACCGCGAGAAACGGCGAGAACGCGAGGCCCGCTCCTCCAAGAATCAGCGTAGCGTGGCTTTGGCCAATATGGTTCTGGGAACACCTCAATCTCGAAGCAAATCGACTCGCAAGCATGGATCTTCATCCAAACCAGTCTCCAGGCGCCCATCAGTTGAAGATGATAAGGCTTCTATGCCCACTCCGCCTCCGGATGAAAAGCCAGAGGTTTCTGATAAGGCGGCGAAGTTGATGGGTATAAATGCTTCCAAGTCCCGACGTGAACGGCCGCGCACCGAAAGGCGGAAATCAAGTAGGTTATATCGTATCACTGTTCACCCGCGCTCTTTCGCTGACAATATACTTACCCAACAGCTCGGGATCCATACGCAATCGAAGATGATGACCTCGTGATGGTTGACAAGGAGGATGCAGAGGGCCATTCACCAAAGGAAGATTCGAGTCGCTCAAAGCGCAAGTCAAAGAGACAGGTTCGTGAACTAATCACTTTAATCTTATCAAGTTGGTATTGACGATTGTAATCAGCCCCGCGCCAAGCCAGAGGACGATGATGACGGGGTCATGGTCGACGCAGATCAACCACAGCCACCTCCAGACCTCGTATCAGGACCTGACGATATTGGTGTTGCCGATGCACCCCCAAGAGAACGCCGTCTCAAGCGTTCCAACACGGCGCCAAAGAAGCAAGAGACAGGAGGTATCATGGGACTGATCGGCTCTTTCAGGAAGAGTACAAGGCCGGAAATGCCAGAAAGGAAGAAATCACGCTCGCACCGAGATGATGACGGGAGATATGCCACAGAAACGGAGCGTGAAACAGCCCGTAAATTACGACGCGATGATCGACGCAGAGGATCTGTCCGACCAGACACCGATGCCGAAGGATTTGTGACAGATGCCGAAGCAGAAGAAGCCGAAGCTCGCAGAGCAGCACGTAAGGCAAAGCGAGCTTCTCGACAGGCACCCTCGGACGCACGCGAAAGCGCGCGCGAGAATGCACGGGAGATCGCACGTGAGAACGAAGCCAGGGAAGCCGAAGAGCGACGGGCAAGAAGAAAAGAACGAGCACGTGAACAGCGTGCTCGTGAAGAAGAGGAAGAAGAGCGCCGGCAAGAAGAGAAACGAGCTAGACGAGCAGCCCGCGAGGAACGTCGGGCCCGAGAAGAACAAGCTGCCCGGGAAGCCGAAGCCGCCGCCGAAGCCAAAGCAGCCGAACGCCGCGAACGACGACGAATGCGCGAGGAAGAAATGCTAGCCGCGAAAGCAAGCCGCCGCCGTTCCCGCGTCGAAGAACGATTCCCCGACGAAGTCCTCCCAGACGAGCGGGAGGTCGTAGACCGTCGAGGAGGTCGCAACTCGCGAGCACCGGAAGACCCTAATACCCGTCGTCGCAAGTCCAAGGCTGCACCGGAGCCCGAGTCTACTCGGCCGACTCCTATGAAACCAGGCGCGGGCAAGAACAAGACCTCCTCGTGGGTCTATTCTCAAGCTGACGAGCCACCAGAGCCGCCGCCGATTATGCCTACTGTCATTGACATGCCTCCTGTCGGTGCAACTAATGAAGCCGGTAATGGCCACTCCCTCTCGTCGGATGAGGAGGCTCGTCGCGCTGTTCGCCGGAAAGCTCGTCGCCGTGCTAAGTACCCCGATGAAGAGGTCGATGATACCCGTTCTCGGAGACGGGGTTCTCGTCGGGAGGGTGTGAAGAGTAGCTCTGGCAGTGGTGATTACGAGCGTGATCGTGGTATGAGGTCGCAGCCTGGGAGTCGGCAGGGTGCTCCGCCTAGTTCGGCTGCCAAAGGGAAGCCAAGCTGGTTCCGGAAACTGACGACCTTTTAACCTAAAAAGAGTTTGGCGGTTGTTTGTATTGCATGAATTTGCTGCGTTGCGGCAGCAGTTTTGTGTTTTGTTTGTTTTTGTACATTGCTTATAGCGTTTGTTTGGGTTCGTTTGTTTGGATTATATGCGAGGTCTGTGGATATGCAGATGGACAGGATGTGACGACAGATATGATATGATACTATGACTCAGTATGTTGAAACGGACAATATTATTCTATTTCCCTCTATATTCAGCGGACGTTTTTTTGTGTTGGCAGATCGAATATCAAGCTATGAATCCTTATAAGTTATCTGTAAGACAGCTACAATGATTTTTCGGGTAGCGGCCAAGTCCGCATAAATTATAGCAGACGTTTATCATATAGCAAAACTATTGATTAAATAACAATCAAGAACCAATATAGTAGCTTCAGCTTCTACAGTGAGGAATAAATAAAAAGTACAAAAAAATGCCAGCGACGAGGTTCGAACTCGCGCGGGTTGCCCCACCAGGGTTTTATTCCGGAGAATCTTAAATCTGGCACCTTAAACCACTCGGTCACACTGGCCATAATACGGTCATTTCTCATTTTTAATCATATCAACTAGACCGCTAAAGGCCTAAAAAAAATTGTATATCCCCACTCTTTCCCGTAACGTGCCTCCTTAGTGCGCCTCTGATTTGGATTAGAGGAGGAATGGATATGGATTTTTCATTTGGAGTGGGCTCACCTTTTTTTTATATACTCGTGTTGCAAGACTCCGTTCTACTACTAGGAAATGGATATACTAGTCTGCAAGGGTCTTCATAATCTGATCTTTACTATTTACGGCATTTGCGATCATAATAGCATTAGTCTCGGTAAATTACTAACCTGCGAAGTTGCTTAGATGGTTATGATTGAATATTTGTAATTGATACTGATTTTAAATCATCGGTTATTGTCAGTCAACTAGCCCGACACGTAGCCCTAACAAAGTATTGGAGTTCTGGTACCGCACATACATAACTACGCCTTTTATACTTATATGTTTCAATCGGGCTATTCAAACAATATAAGCATGAGACTTAATGGTTACAGGGCTTGGGAGTCTGCATTACCCTACGGGATCAACAATAGGCACCTAGATCTCAAGGTAGATGCTAACTACATTTTTATCTGTATTAGATTATCTATACCTGGATAGGGGGAAAATGCAAATTATATTAGCGTCCGGGCTAGTACCAATAATCCAGGACATAAGAAAAGAAAATATGGTGATCTAGCCACTCATGCCAGGGGACAAATCCTCGCAGTGTCCTTAAGAATAACGCAAAAAGCATCAGCAGAACCCACAGGTGACTCAACAACACATCTCCAAAGAGCCCAAATATCTTGATTGTCATATAGTATACCATCATCCTCCTGTTCAATCTCAATTACCCAATCCTCTTTTTCACTGCCCCTTTGGCTTACACTACCCGGTTGAACTGACGCAAGGCTAACTGGCGCGGGGGGTATCTTAACAGGAACTCCAGTATCTTCAGATACTAGTAAATTTTCTTGGATCTGATCCCATGTAGGTCGCTATAGTTCGAATGCCTCTGTCCATTCGGGATCGGCACCGGTGTCTGTTAATGTAGCGCACATCTTCCACAGAAAGTAGGAGGCATTTATCCATTGGCTTACCTCGCCGGATGATTCGGGCATTATGTTGCGTTCCCGGTGGACTCTGAAGTGGAATACACCTTGGATTTTGGCTGGTGGAGATGAGATGGCAGTGGTTGTGTCACCTGATCTTGGTTTTGAGGACTCATCGTCAGCTTCATAGCCTTCGTCGGCGTTCATAGTGTTCTTCCGCCATGGCGGCTTGGCTGGTGAGGATCTCATTGGAGAAATATTAGATTGCATCTCAGGTGTTCGTGGTTTTGAACGGTTTTATTAATGATATCTCGAGCGGAACTTATCTTCAAGGCAATACGGATTGTATATATACACCCAAGAACTTAAATTATAGCTTCCTGTGATCTTTGAATCTTTCATTCTTTGTATCCTTTATTCAAGGCTTCTCGAGACAATGCAACACAATCCCTTCTCAGCATGAATTTAGCCGCTTTGTTCCACTAAGAAGGTATATAGGTCTTTGAAAAACAAAGACAACCAATCTCTAATCAAAGCTATAGTTGCTGGCTCTGAAAGAGCTCAGTAAGGATACCATGTGGGTAATCAACAGATACAGAAAAGCCACAAGGCTCTCTCTTCTCTTGGCCATACATCATCAACACGTTCAATAAAACCACCCAAAGACCATTTCATGCTAAACAACCGCCTCACCTTCATCCCTCCCAACTCCATCCCTCTCCATCCGCCTCTTCTCGAGCCAAAACCGCCCACCCTCATAAAGACCAAGATACAACCCCAAAGCAATAGCCGTCCACCCCGCCCGAATCAAACCACCCTTGAACAACCCCCGAACCCCTTCATTGCGTAGGATATCCCTCCCCACAGCAAAAGGCCCTTTATCACGCACCTCACTCGCCGAAAGCATAACTCTAGTCTTAACAACATCGATTGGCGTAGTAACAGTAGAAGCAATACTCCCCGAAATAGCCGCCGCAAGGCCAGTCAACCCAGCCCGTTCAATCAATTGATCAGACTGCCCTGACTCTGATGTACCATGGCGGGTCCCAGCACGGCGAGCAGATTCTGCTTTCCGTCGTCGTCGCCGTTCAATTAATCGAGAACGGACATATTCAAACATTGGGAATTGAAGGGCTGTCGTTGGCAAGTTGCGACTAACCAATGCAGTATATCCGCTCCAGAGACGCCAGGGATGGTGTCTGAATTTGGAGATAACCTGGCGCATAGCTGACTTGTTCCCTTTTCCTTTGTCTTTGCCTTCGTTTGAAAGTGTGCTTTTATTGTTTTTTGATTGGGATTGGTTGATTATCTGCGCATTCTGCTTTAGGACTTCCGCTGGTGTGAGGATGAGGCATGATACCATCTCGGCGGTTGAGGATGCGATTCCGTGCATTATGGGTGTTGGGAGGGAATGTGTGAATGGGAGATGGAATTTGTCTAGGGTCCCATTTGTTGAAGATCGATTTCTGTTTTGGCTGGAGTTGGATGAATTGTGTAAGATGCTTTTTACGGTTTCGTAGGTTGTGAAGAATGCGCCCGCTGGGATGAGTTAGTAGCGAAGTCTCTTCTGTATTTGAAGGTGAGATAAGACATACATGATGGTATTGTTGAAAAGACAACACTCCAGACTCCTTGGTATAGTCCTTTGAATAACACGTTGCGCTGTACTGCTCCTGTGCGTGCATCTTTGAATACTTTTTCGTAGTTTGGGGATTGGATGCGGGTTTTGAGGGTGTCAAAGGGGTAGACGACGAAATCGACGACTACTGCGGCAAATGCTCCTGCCTGTTTGAATACGCTATGTTAGTTGACTCTTCTATATCGCTTTGGTGCATGTAGGCTCGAAAGTTGGCGTGAACTACACATATAGCTGCGAGACCCACTAGATATAGGTGGATTGGGGGCTACTCACCACCCAGATATCTGTATGAGTGTTGTACATGATTAAATAGTTGAAAGGAAGTCTATAGAGCAAGTATAAAGAATCATTGAAACATATTTAACCCGGAGTGTAAAACTCAACTGATCAAAATTGTCCATGCTTATCGATAGAGCTATGATGAGCGATGATATCATCGACACAACCCACTTGCAGCGATGTATGTTCTTTTTCATGTTCATGTTTATCATTTATAATGTTTTTATAATATTTGTTCTGAACCCTCATGCGATACATTCAGGATATGGTTGCTTTTCAGTTCAATCTATTGTACACAGTCTTTAATCTATAATTCATTTCCAACCCTTGGGACCGCCCCAGTTACCCTTAACCATGTAGTTCTGGTACACCCAAGGGAAGAAGTCCTTCTTTAAGTGATAGAAGGCACGACGGGGCTCACCCTGGTCAATACCGAACCAGTTGCCAAAGGTCTCCTTAGGCTCACCACCGTACTTGAACTCAGCAAGGAGAACCTTACCGTACTCAGTCAAGAGCGGGCACGAGGTATATCCGTCGTAAGAAGCATCAAGCTCCTTACCCTCCATGCTCTGCAGGAGGTTGCGAACGAGGACTGGAGCCTCAGAGGTGACGGCAGCGGCGGTCTTGGATGTGGGAAGACTGGATGCATCACCAGCGGACCAGACGTTGGCGAATTTCTTGTGGCGGGTAGTGTTGTCGTCAACATCGACCATACCAGCCTCGTTGGCCAGAGGGCTGTTCTTGACGAATGCGTGGGCGCCCATCTTGGGCGACACGTGCAACAGGTCGAAAGGCTTGGTGACCTCTCCGTTGGGAGAAGCGAAAATGGCAGACTTGCCGTCGATGGCCACCAGGTCGTGCTGGAAGAGTCCCTCGACGCCGCGGTCCTTGCGCATCTGCTCGAGGATGGCGTTGTACTTGGGCACACCGAACATCACGGGGAGACCGGTAGCATAGCTGATTTTGATCGGCGATTCGGCAGGGTTGGAGGGGTTGTAGAGACCGGCCCGTTTCCAGTGGTCCAATGCAAGCCACATGGCCTTTTGGGGAGCACCGGCGCACTTGATCACGCCGGCGGGCTGGGTGAAGATGGCGTTGCCCTCGCGGAGGTTTTCGATGGTGCGGAATACCTTGTCACAGGTATCATAGCCGTAGATCGAGGACACGGTCGAGTTTCGGTCGGCGAGAGCCTCGGGGAGACCCTTGATATTGCCGTAGTTGATGCTGATGCCGGGCACGACGACAAGTTGCTCGTAGCCAAGCTTGTCGCCGTTCTCGAGGGTAATAGCGTTCTCAGCAGGGGCGAAGGAGCCCACACCCTGGTTGTAGAACTTGAACTTGGGATCCACCAAGCTGTTCATCGGCTGACGTAGGTCCTCTTTGTTCTTGAGGCCACCGCCAACCAGGGTCCAGCCGGGCTGATAGTGGTGCCATTGGGCAGGGTCAATGACGGCAATGTCATCTTGTGCGAATTTACCGGAGTGGAGGAGCTGGTGACTGATAGAAATGCCTGCACTACCACCGCCCACCACTACAATTTTGTGGGTGCGGGCAGCGGAGCTGACGGGGGATGCAGTCGCAAGACCCCTCGATTGGGGAGCAATTGATTGCCGGGCAGCACGAGCTGCTAATGAAACACGACTCTGAAACATTTTGAAGTGACAAAATGAAGCTATTCGACAAAAAAGTTTGAGCTGACCAGGAACAGCTCGATGTCGTGATCACCGGGATCCGGATTAACCCCGTCCGATATCGGGGTTACGGTTGATCGCCGATCCACGCATTCGGGCTTCATTTTCTACAACATGCCACTTTCTACTCTCACGAGGTCTGTAATGAGACTTTAACGTGATTTGGCTTTATTATCGCCGACTGGTACATAGATTATAGAAATCTCACATGCGGATATAGTGCATAAATATTTTATCAAAAATATCATTTAGGGACGTGGAAGTAACAAGCTTTGTAGATTATTAATGTCCCTAAGATATCGGGGACTTTTAAAACAAGACTCGAAGATACTAGGCCAGATAGTTTCTATCATCAAGACTAGAACAAATCCAATTACTTGTAAAACAGAACTTGCCAAGCTGGCAGCCAATGCTAAACTTGGATAGCTATTTTAGAGAGACTATCTATGTCTTTCTAAGACCTCCAACACTGATAAAAATTCCATGGCTTCCATTCAGTTCAAAAGTATTATGAATTTGGTATATCAAGGTATAAAATGTTATTATGTATAGTAAGCAGCCTCAAGTGGTGTGTATCAAGATAGCATCAATGCCAGAATGTCTTTCATGACTGAGTAGCCGTGTGCTAGCGGTTCAAACTAAGAGAAACCACTTTATTTAGCGGGAACGTCTAACATCACCGTTAGTACTACTCTTTGCTTTCTGGCGCTGGGAAGAGGTTCAATTACCGGTCTTGGCAGGTTCCTCGGCCTTAGCAGCAGGCGCTTCGGGTTCAACAGCGGGGGCTTCAGGCGCAGCTTCAGGTTGAGCAGCAGGAGGCTCGACCTTAGCAGCAGCAGGCGCTTCGGGCGTAGCTTCAGGCTGAGCAGCAGCAGCCTCGGGCTTAGCAGCAGGGGCCTCAGATTGGGCAGCAGGTGCCTCCTCCTCAGGCTTAGCAGCAGTGGTATCTGCCTGGGCAGCGGGGGCTGTCTCAGCTGGTTTAGGAGCGTCTTAACCAGCCAATGAGTTAGCTTCGAGGCAAAGAAGAAGCAAAGCGTGCGAGGTTTGGGACGAAAAATGGCATCATACCAGGGGCAGTATCCGGGGTGGCAGTGGGGCCGGTGGGCTTTGCAGCGGCCGCCTCACCGGCCACAGGGGCAGTTGCAGCAGCAGGCTCGGATGCTTGCGCGGGCTTCTTGTTCTTCTTGCGACTGAAAAGCCGCTTGAATCCCTTCTTCACCTGCTCAAGCGCGTCAGGGGCTGGGGAATGTCAGTGCTATGCTTTTGGTGTGAGATGCCAAAAACAGGGTCGATCTTCTGTGTATGGCGGCAGAAACACTCACGAACACCAGGCATTTTGGTCAGCGTGTTGAAATAAGATGGAATCAGAGTCTACAGTAATCAGGAGCAGACGATGAACGCGTTGCGGGTTGTTGTTGAGGAAGAGGAGATGAAGTTGCGCAGTCGAGTCCGTTCATCAACACGTGATACCCCTTGTCAAGTATACTTTTCTCTTTTGTTAGCTTTAAGCTGCATTTCATTTCATTTCGGTCTTCGATGCGTCACGAACGAGGTCTAATTGGTCAACTGCAATATAAATGGGTCCCTTTCCGCATCTTATCTTGGCTCTGACAGCTAAAGTATTGTGGCTGTGCTCTAATTGCTAACCCTTTCATTTCGACTACAGGAAGGGCTGTTTTGTGTTTATAGTTGCGGAGATTGAACGAGACATAGAGTAGATGTTATATCAATAGTCCCATAATCGGGACCATAATCGGTTAATGATGTAAGGCCAGGTATTAAGGAGGTGAAGAAAATAGAACAAGCCACGGATAAGCTGCACAGGCTACGTTGTAAGCCCCCAAGACATCTTTCCTCGAGGTGCTTTAGAGTAATGTCTCGAAGATAGGTTCTAGCCACTATATTTGCTATGCCTAAATGTTAATACGTGAGTGTAACTGAATAGTTCGGAGAAATGCGGTCCCGAGAACCGAGGCTGTTTCCGGGTCATCCCAAGCTACGCAGGAACATCCATGGAGATATGGAATATCATGGTAAATTGCCACAAGTGGCGGGACTGTGAACCTTCTGAAGTGACATGATTCATATCAATCGCCGAATGTTCGCCGACCTTGCTCACCGAGTCGGCGACCTTGGATGACACAGCTCGATTTGTATGCAAAGGGACCTAACCCAGGCATTTATGTCCTTCCCTATTTTCAATGTTTAAATTTGGCATATCATGATCGATACCTATTGACAGTCATCTAGCATGAAACGACAAGTGACACCGATTATGTATAGAGCGTGCAGCACCTCCCGCCTGGCTTTGCGCTATAGACCATTGCGTCAACTTCACGAAAAGGCCGCAGCTACAGTCTCGATAACAAGGACATCCAGAGATATATTCTCTACCCAGAGGGCCCTGCATTCAACAACCAACCCAATTCCGAAATGGAACCAAAAGCCTTGGTTAAACAATCAACCAAGCACACACAGTCGCGCTGCATACACAACAGCAACACCAGGCAACCCAACCATCCACGAGATATTCGAAGAAACATCCGGAACATGGCAATACCTAATAGCCGACCCAAAAACCTCAAAAGCAGCAATCATCGACCCAGTCCTAAACTACGACCCAGCAACCCAAGCCATAACAACCGAAGCAGCAGACGCCATCTTATCAAAAGCCAAAGAAATGGGCTACAAAATCGACAAAATCCTCGAAACGCATGCCCACGCAGATCACCTCACTGCTGCGTCCTATCTCCAAACCCGCCTTGCAACAGATCAAGGCTTCAAACCGCCCGTTTGCATTGGCAAACGTATCGAACAAGTACAGACTCTGTTTGCCAAGCGGTACGGCGTCCCAGCCAAAGAATATATACGCGTTTTCGATAGACTCTTCGAAGATGATGAGGTCTTTTCTATTGGGGATTTGAGTGCGAAGGCGATTCACCTTCCTGGTCATACGCCTGATCATTTGGGATATATGATTGGAGGTAAGAGAAGCATTCCATTCCGGCTCCCACAAATACTAACATAACCCCAGAAAACCTCTTCTGCGGCGACAGCCTCTTCCACACAGATATAGGAACAGCACGTTGCGACTTCCCTGGCGGTTCGGCACGGGATCTCTACGCCTCAGGGCGCAAACTGCTAAGTCTACCAGATCACTACAAGATCTGGACTGGTCATGATTACCCGCCAGAAGGACGGAGTGAGCCTGTGCCTTGGATGAGTGTGCGAGACCATAAGAGGTTGAATAAGCATCTTAAGGAGGGGATTTGTGAGGAGGAGTTTGTGGCGTTGAGGAGGGAGCGGGATGGTGGTCTTAAGGCTCCTAGGTTGTTGCATCAGTCTTTGCAGATTAATATTCGGGCTGGTAGGCTTCCCAAGGTTGAGGAGTCTGGGTTTAGGTTTTTGCATGTTCCGTTGGTGGTTGGGGGTGAGTGGTAGGGCTAGGGTTTGTCGTATAGATTGTTGAATGGTTTATGGGTGGTCTAACTATGATTTAGCGGGAATGACAGGATATGCTGTAGTATATATGAATCTCTCTCCAGTATGTCAACAAGATGTGAGATTCCATCTCCACATTACCTCGAGAGCGGCCAACCCAATATACTCAGTAATATATCGTATATACTCAGTAATATATCGTATCTTCCGATAGATCATGCAGGTGAATAGTTGGAATCTGAAAAAAGTATAATTTTCCTTCTATGACTGAATACAAAACGATGCACACACCAGAGTCACATATCCAGAGAGACTCGGATCCGCTCACCACAGATAGAAGAAAAAAGGAAGTCATATTAACATCCCAAATAGAGAACATTTTCCCTCCCTACGCCGTAAAAAGGTCATGCAATCCCAGAAGCATCGTGTCTTCCCTTGCAAATCATCACATTTATTTCGATACCTCGTTGGGCAACAGGTTGCCCTTGATGGCGAACATCTTGCCCGTGCTGGACGAGACGAAGCTGTCGACCTGGCGGGCGTACTGGTCCACCTGGCGGGTGTTGAGCATGCTCTCCAGACGGCTGGGCTCGGCTGGGAGCTTGAACAGACGCTGCCACTCGTCCTCGGGGAGGAGGGGCTGGTTGAGAGTGGCGCGGGTAGCGTTCTCCTGGGCGCGCTTCGTCTTCCAGTTGTTGATCTTCTGCTGCTCGCGGCCGAGCACACGCTGGTAGTACTGGTAGTTGTTGACCTCGGTGTTGTGGGTCTCGATGCTGTCCAGAAGGAGATCGCAGTTCTTCTCCAGGAAGGGGTCGATGCTGAGCGACATGTTTTCAAGATTGGGGGCGAGGGTGGAGGTCTTGTTGAAGGGGCTGGACTCGAGGGCGGCCAGAGAAGGAGGGAGCTCAGTTGAGGCCGGTGTGGTTGGGCACTGCAGCTGGTGGATGAAAGAGGTGATCAGGTGCGAGTTGTGGATCTTGACGGGGAGCTCGTCGAAGATGTCTTGGTGGCGCATGTTAGACTTTTGCAGGCTGCGAGGCTGTCAGTATTCCATTTTCCTCTATACAGACCGGGTACATACTCCTCGGAGGTGAACTTGTTCTCCTTGAACCCAGCCATGAACTTGGATGACAGACGGAAAGCGCGGAGGCTGAGGCTGCCCTGGGCGCTGCGGCTGACGTCGTGAACGAGGGCAACTGTGCGCTCATTCATCTGGCTCTGGTAGTAGAATTGGTTCTCGATCACGTTCATGTTCACAAAGTTGCCCATGTTGGCGCTGGTGTACCAGCCGACGCTGTTGGCGTCAGTGTTAACCTCGCGCAGCATGCGAATCATCTCGCCGGAGTAAGCAGCGTTGGCCTTAGCCCGGGGAGCGGCGGCGGCGGGGTTGGGAGCGGCGTTGTCAAAGTGCGATTCGGCGGGGACCTCAACGACGGGGAAAGGGAAAGTATTCGTGATTTCGAGGGTGCCATCGACATCCATACCGACAAGAGCGCCGGTCGCAGTGGAAGGGAAGGTCTGAGAGCAGTGCTTGATGATTTTCATGACCACCTGGAGTATCATCAGCATTCTGGAGCAGATTGGAGATTTTCGCCGGAGGACTGTACCAAGGCCTCGACCTGGACGGCCGCGAGGGAAGCGGGAGTTCTGCAAGCAGGTCAGTATAGTCATCGAAAAGTAGTTGTCGATTCACGTACTCGGCCATTGTGTAGAGTTGCAACAGATGGGCAGTTGTGTTGAGACGGTTGACTTGATCGGTTTGTGTGAAAGGAGCCATTCATTCCTGTTCGGGCTTAGCGTGGTACTGTGGGATGGTAATACCATACACAGAGTCTCCGCCAGAACGAGGGGCAATACACGTATATTTCAACATTCTTCTTTTTGCAAAGTTGAGTTTATTTATTATATAAAAATGAAGTATAGAAACGACATTGTATACATGTCAAATAGAGGTATCTCCTTCTATCATGGATAGTACATTAGCCTGTCGACCATCCCAACTATAGTCTCCGTCCCACTTCCCCATCAATGGCACATCATCCCCTAAACCTCCCACACGATGCCGAACCAACCTGCAAAGACCGTAACCTACGGCCGAGTCCATGATCTGCAGCATATCTCCGTAACAACCCTTGACAACACGGATGGGTACTGGGTAATGTACGCGAAACCTCCCCAATCGCAATCAAGACGAGCGCAATCAACTGATCGGGAACTCTACGCAGCTACATCCACGGCGGCGCCTGGCGCGACCCAACAGTAACGGCAGACTCATTCAAAGCGACGCAAGAGATCTTGCGCAAAACACCAGGCCTCCCAATCGCCGGAATCGCATCAATTTCCTACCGATTAAGCGCACACCCAAACCACCCCCAAGACCCAACCAGTACCGGACCGAAAGAATTCCGGGATGCGAAACATCCAGATCATATCCGCGATGTAGAGGCTGCGCTGGCCTTTCTTCAGAATACGTATATCTTCGGTGCGCGCTATATTCTTGTTGGGCATAGTTGCGGTGCGACGCTTGCTTTCCAGGCTGTCATGGGGGCCGTTGCGGGACATCGTGAGCAGGCGTTCAAGGGGGACATGAATAAGCTTGACATTAGTGTCGGGCCTGTTTCTACTTCGCCTGGTCCACTGCCGCCGCGTTTGACTGTGCAGCCGATTGCTATTGTTGGTGTTGCTGGTATCTATGATTTGAGACGATTGCGCGATATGAATGCCGGGATCTCGGCGTATCGGGAGTTTATTGAAGGTGCATTCGGGGCGGATGAGTTGCTCTGGGATGCGGTTTCGCCGGCGCAGATGGCTGGTTCGCGGGGTGTGGAGGGTGGTTGGAGATCTGGGCGGTTGGCTGTTCTGGCGCAGTCTGAGGATGATGAGCTTGTTGATGCGTCTCAGGTTGAGGCTATGGAGGAGGTGCTGAGACGGTGGGAGAAGGTTGAGGCTCAAATCCCCGCGCATGAGTTGTCTACGAAGGACCGCAGAGTCCGGGTGTTGCCGATCAGCGGTGCGCATGACGAGGCGTGGGAGAAGGGGGATCAGCTTGCTCGTGCGGTGATCTATGCATTCGAAGAACTACAGGCGATGAACCTGACTCCTCGTGATGGTACGAAATAACTCTAGCATTCCAAGCGACTGTATATAGTCTGCATCGAAACTGCGTATACCCATCATGTTAAGCATCTACGCAATTTCATGAATATATGTCAGATGGAACGATGTTTCGTTGTTATTGAGTCCTACTTCACAGCATGGACTAGACAAATAATGTAGATACAAGCGAAGTCGAAGAAAAAAGAAAAACCATTGAAGATTGGCCATGCAAGCCTGACAACGCCGTTCGTAAACACATCTCAAAAGAAGACATCAGAAATCCCTCATTGCGCCGTACTCTTGCTCATGGAAGATTGGTAACAGCTTCAGGAAATAGCAGGATTAGTTGCCGATATCCATGCGACCAGATGCGGCGTCGCCGATGACCCGCTCGGCCTTGGCTGGCTCGGCAGCTTCGGCTTCCTCGTCATATTCAAAGGCATCTTCATCGCTATCACTGTCCTCGACAAACTTGTGGTTGATGCCAGCCTCGGCGAGACGCCACTTCAGATCCTCGCGGTTGCCGTCCTGGAAGCGAGCAAGCGCAGCTGCGGCGTGCACCTTGAAGCCATAAATGCGGGGCTCATAACGGCGGGCGCTCTTCTCGGGGTTGAGGGCAGGGTACACCTGGAACAGGATGGAGTGGAAGGAGGTGCCAAAGTAGGCGCCGTCGATGGATGCGTGGCGAGAGGATTTGGGGTTGTAGATATCTTCACACTTAGGGCAGTACAGTTTGACAGTGCTCTGGTTGGGGATGTCGGACTGGCCCACAGGCAACAGAGCGTGGCCATCGCACATCACACGAGGGCACTTGCCGAAGTCGCTCTTCTTGTACTTCTCAAGCTGGGTGGATGTTAGTATGTGGTCCGTCCCTCATTGATACTGCCAGGTATGAACTTACCATTTTAGCGAGACCGCGAGTGGTAACGATGTACCGGGCATGGACCAAGCCGTAAAGGTGGCGGGCGGACTTTTCGATTTGCTCGCGGAGGTCATCATCGGCATCGAGGTCAAAAACATCGGTCACGAGATCAAGAGCATATTGATAGTAGGAAACCTCAGTGTTCAAGCCAGTGAGGTTGAAACGATCGGTCAAATAGTCCTCATCGATTTCACAGAAGTACTCGTTGCCGCGAGAGGAAACAAACTGAGCAGATGTAACAATTGCAATTAGCTTCATCATCCATAAATTGGCATTGGCATTGGCATCAGGGGAGCAATCGCAATAGCCATGGTCAGCGCTTCCACTTCCAATGCCAGGCTGCGCCGTGTCCAGAACTGTATAACAGTCCTGGCCATTGGAAGCCAGAGCATCAGGGCCGGGTCCGGGGACATGTTCGGCATCGGGGATGAAAGGGCCATCGTGAAATTCGGCTTGGCTTTCCTCAATTTTACTGAGTGTCCAAGCAACCACGGCCAAGGCGCCGGTAACACAACAGAAGAGATATACCAAGAGGTAATATCTCGCCGCTAGCGAGTGCTGGCCCTTGCCCATGAGCCCCACCGCATGGCGTCCCAGACGGAGAGCAAATCCCTGGAGGGAGATTGCAAGGAAGTAGACAATAGCTGAGGATGGTAGAAATGCCATTGTGAGGTTGAAGGCGAGGCGGATTTGAGTGTGAAGTGAGAGCGAGGAGAGCGAGGTAGTGACGAAGACGGTCAAAATGGCGTAGCTTTCGTCTCATAAAGGCGAGAATGGTGAGCACGGCGAGACATACCATCACAAGGCCATGCCTTCCCGTTTGGGACGCTTTTCACAATAAGGCCGCGGCCCTCTCACGCGCTCGTTGTGCTGACCCGGCGATGTGATCTACCCCCAGCCGCAGTGCCATAATAAAAGGAAATTCCACTTACCCAGTCACGCCAGTAGCTGGTGTAATCACTATCCGTCTCGCTATTGAAGTCCTCCATTATGTTGTTATGTTCTTGGTGTCGGAGTAGCTCGAATTATTTCGCACTCTGCGCGAGGTTTCGGGGAGAAGCCACAGGTGGGGTTCACGGAGCCCAAGGTGCTGGGGGAGCCCAGACCTGCACAGTTGGGAAATGCAGGAGACTGTCTTATATTGACTGGTCTCTAGAGGCGCAATTTGCTTTATCGAAGGAACGGCGGGGTTATGAGATTGAGCTTGAGGGAGAGTGTAAATGTCCCGCTCGTTATCAAGAGATAGCCTCTTCGCCTAGTGGGCGGTCTGAAGTTTTGCCATATATAATGCCAGATGTACAGACCGCCTTTTACAACTATACAAATGGACATTCCTAGTTTGCTACACACTTTATGATAGAAATTCAATATTCAAAATAATCCATTGATAGCGCAGTAAGATGCTAGGTCCCCAGTGCTCACCTCAAATTACAGGAATAGTCAAAGCCAGCCTTCAAAATGAGGGGTTCGCGTTCGCAATAAGCTGAGCAAAGTACGCCTGAGCAGAACTGTCAGCAAGGGTTCATATAACTGACCAAAGCAACACTTGACTCACCTGGAACCAAGTTCCAGCCTCAGGGGCAGGCTGCAGAGCATCACTATATCCACAGTGAGCATCGTAGCGAGCCGAGCTACTATCCGAAGTGCCATCACTTTCGCCGCCAGGCTTCACCCAAACAAATGCATCCTCAAGCGCATCACCAGTATTGGTAGTCGGGCGAACACCAAAGCCAGTGCCCTTGACATTGCACCAGTCACCCCAGGCATTCTGCTGGGTAGGCTGGACACCATTTCGGCCTGAAAAGTAACCGTCAGAGTTTATACTTGAAACAGAGGCTCAGAACGTGCTGATGTGTCCTCAGATACATACCAGTATCGGTGATGAAATGAGCATCCCAACCTGCATTCTTGAGCAGGGGAGCAATGGCGTTCACGTATCTCTTCTCGTCGCAGTTGGAATCTCCCGAGGTGTATGACGGGCACGTAGCCAGAGACCAGCCGTTATAATTGGCAACGTTCGTGGCAAGTCCTCGGAGCGATTTGGGCTTCGAGGCAGTGTTGTATACTTGGGCATAGAGTGCCGCTGCTGGGCTCAGATTGGCAGGCCAGCCAAGCCATCCCGCGTGTCCTATGTGAATTGTTAGCGATTTCAACAGCATATAACTTCAATGTTACATGACGCAGCATCAATTGAAAAGCAAAACTGCCTCAGGGAAGATTTCCCACAGAATATGCTCGCATCCCAGATAGATAACCTAAGGTGAAACTTACCAGCATCAAGATACATAGCAACATTATCTAAATTCAACTGCGTAACAGCATAATTGGTACATTCCAAATAAGCATCATGCGCATTAGCACACTTCGAAACAGCCATATTGGTAACCAAGTTAGCCAAACTATCCGGCTCTAAAAGAGTAATTAGCAATTGTTCAACACAAACCAACATCGAAGCACCGAGTCTTACCAATAACCAGGATAGTCCTCACGTCCGAGTACTGAAGCAGTATTGTCCTAATAGAATCGATATACGCCTTATACTTGGCAACACCACCATTCGCAATGGAATACTCCCCATTACTGGCCAACGCGGCACAGTCCCGGTCAGGCAGATCGTATACAACGAATGTTCCCGCAATAGGAGGACTAGCACCGGCAGCATTCTTGGACTTGATGTCTGCCAGGTAGGTTTTCATTGTTGGAACCTTGTCTGCGGTGTCCCTGGGGGAGTGTTAGGGCTTCGGTGTTGGATAAATTTTAATTTTGGAAGGACATACAGCCAGAAGAAAGATGGAACTTGAGCGGCTTTGCTTGCTGCTGCCTTTGCAGTCCCTGTCATTGATGGTAGGGCTGAGGCTGAGACTTCGGATGCATAGTATGAGTTTGTATAAAGCTGGTAGCCCGAGAAGGGGTTTCCTGTGATAGTGGCTCGTGGTACATTCTGGATGACGGCTGCTACTGCGGAGGTGGCCAAAAGGGGCACAATTGAAGCAAAGTATCGCATGGTGGTGGGTCTTTCTGTTGATTCTGTTGATATTGTCGGATTTGGTATTCTTAGACCATAAGGCCTTACATTCCCTCTTTTATATATCCATTCCCAAGCAACCCTCTTCTACACCATATCGGAATAAATAGCCGGAACCCGAAGTTGATGCTACATAGTGTCAACCTCTTTTACTATGAAACCAGAGGGGTTTCCGTTTAAACAGTCATTTCTGCACACTGCCAAGAAAGATGTCGAAATTTGGCTAAATAGACATGTCTCTGGCTGGAGGCGTATGGGAGCAAAAGCCGCATGAAACAGGGTATAAGTTACCCAGAAGGTCAAGGGATAGAAACCTGGGGTAGCGTGAAGACCCTGGTATTTTATGCGGAATCGATACTCCGTCCCCAAACAGGATGTACTCATCGTCGATCCTCTCCAAACTCGGCGCGGGAGGATATTAGAGCAGATTTAAGATGACACCTGCAATATTTGGTCTTCATTTTAATCATATGGGAGGTTTATATGCAGAAGGGAAGATGGCCAAAGGAAAGGCTGAGAGCTGTCCATCTATGGCTACAAGCTATACGCCAGTCGGCAATAGCAAAGTCGAGAGATGTATGACGAATTGAACTGCATCTATTGAGACCCGGGAAATACTTAAAAAGTATTTACCCCAATCTTAATGATTGGATATGAAACCATAGCCTTGCCAGGGGTGTTGCAAGGCTTACGGTCTGCGTACAAACTGGCATGCTGAGAAAACAGCCATTGCTCAGTTGTTGACAGCCACATTCTTCAGACTACCCAGACCCCGCACTATAGGCACTTTAATGCAGGGTCCAGTGGTGGGCGCGTGAAGGTATGTATGGGTTTCAAGTATATAGATTGGTCAATTTGTGCCAAGAGCGGCTTGCCCGTTCCAATGATCTCTTAGCCTATATCCATAGAAGGAAACCGAGAGTAGAAGTAGTTCAGATCAACTGACATGCTTGTGCCTGTTCACTCCACGCACTGGTGTTGAAAGGGTTTAGTTTTCCGCAAAGATCAAGGAGTCGGACCGTCCCTCCAATGCGGAAGTGTCATGACCTACGATTCTATTGACGCTTATTTAAGAGATATCTGGAATAAATCTATATATATATAAAGTCAAAATATTCATCCGATTGAGCAATTGTTGACGAATAAGAAAGTTAAAGAGTGGAGTGGTATCAGTATCATCATGTGGACCCGGCTTTAGCCTGGGATATATCCAACGCAAACGCAGTTAAAATGAGAAGCAACGAAAAGTAGGAGAAAAGAAAAGAAAAGAAGAATGAAAGTAAAGAACCAAAACGATATCTAAGCGTCGGTTATGAACGCTGGGCACGATCACATTCAGCTAAGAACTTGTAGATACCCTCAACACCTTCGTAAGCAGACGTACTCTCCGGCAGACCAGCGCTAGAGAGTTCCGGGAAGAAAGGCTGATCGCCAAGCTCGCTGACATTGATGCTGGAATAGCTTTGAGACGAAGTTCTCCAGGGATTGGCACCATAGAGCTGACTATCCTCGAAGCTGATGGCATTTCCGGAGTCACGGCTAATACCTGGCGAAGAGGGTGTCATCATTCCATGCCAATCCAGATCCTGGGGATACTGGGACTGCATCTTGGGGGCCTTTTCGAAGTAATAGTCGGTGTCAGATGAAGGGGCAATACTGGGTGCGAATGGGAACAACAGAGCCATATCAGCACCAGTCCGAAGATCAAAATCTTCATCCTGGACGATGCGGCCTCTCTGGACCCCAGCTTCATCACATAGCCGCTCAACTGTGTCCGCATCACAACCTGGGAAGCGTACCCGTATAGTGGATCGGTCGTGAAGGGTGACCGGGAGATCGCCAAGCGACGACAGACGCTTAAGATCATTCATAATAGCTGCAAAATCCTTCAGGGCACGAGCAAAGTCGGCGGAGAGAAGGTCCATTAGTCCATCGGAGTTCAAGGTGTCACATGGGGCCGAGGAGGTCTGACCGAGACCGCTCAGAGCACCGAAAGCAGTGATGGTGGGAGAAACCTGGAAGTCAAGGTACGAACCAGGAGCGCTGCGCGGAATGGAGTTCATCTTGCGCTCCGCTTGGTCCTGGAGAACCGTGACAGCCTTGTACCGCTTCTCGCCGGTGTTGGGATCAATCCCATCAAATCGAACTTTCTGTCCAGACAGGAAGAAGGCACGAACGCCTTGGGAGACATTCTGGATAACCTGTGCCGGCGCTGCAGGGCCATGGGAGAAATATCTGGCTCCACCGAAGCGACCTGCTCCAACAGCGTACCCTCCTGCAGTGCGGCCAAGAGTGCCACCGGTTAGATTGGGACGGAGGGTGGAAGCAAAGGGTGCGCGGCTGCTCAGTCGGCTGATGTTGGACGCAATACGAGAAGTGGCATGGGCGGTACCTTCTGCCCCAAATGTAGATCTAATCGCAGAGGTGAAAGCACCGGCAGCACGAGTCGAGAAGTGGCGACTGCGGGCTTGACGGATGGCAGCTGCACGACTGATTGGCTGGCGGTTGATGCGGGCATAGGCTGGTTGATATCGCAAAGAGTTATATTGTGGTTCTGGTAATTTGGACCGAATGGCTTTGGAAGCCTTTTCATAGGCAAACCTGGGATGATGTTAGTTGATGACTGCCATTGCTCCTCGATGAGGAGGTGACAGGAAACGATATACGTACCTAGCTGCTCTCCATATCTTGGGGAGCAGCAGGTGCCCATTCGGAGGCGCCATACTGAGAGTTGAGAGATGTATATCCTACTCTGGATGGTGAGACGGATGAAGAAGGAGAGAGGCCTGATGACGCTGGGGTATACACCATTATCTCTCCGCTTCTGGCAGAAGACCCGCAGTGGCGGTGCAACGCCACTCGGGTGGCAGTCACATGACTTTATTCCGGCTTAGCACTGGTGTTTGTTTCGTTTGTCTTGATTGTCTGGTTTGCTACTATCCATGGCGGGGTTACTTTGCGAATGTGTTGATAGGACAAAATCGTTCTTTTGGTATCTAAAGCCTATGTACTTCATAAAACATCATCATAACCGATTTACTCGTCATCACCGAAGAAGACCTTGACGGGCAACCAAGCATCACCGCAGACCTTGAAGCGGTCCTTAAGGTTGTCCAGCTGGTTAACCTCATCAGCAGTCAGTTCCCAGCCGTTGATGTCAAAGTTACCCTCAATGCGGGCCTTGTTGACAGACTTGGGAATGACACTCCAGCCCTTGGTGATACCCCAGACGAGGAGCACCTGCTGGGGAGTCTTGCCCTTGTTCTCAGCGATCTTCAGGAGAGTGGGGTCCTTGTAAAGAGGGGAGTCGGTGGAGCCCAGGCAAGAGTAGCCGGTGGAGTGGATGCCCTTGGAGGTGTTGTAGGCGACGAGCTTGGGGGATGGGTTGTTGGGGTGCAGCTCGATCTGGTTGACGGCGGGAACGATCTTGGTGCTGGGGTCGTTCAGGAGCTTCTCCAGGTTCTTGATGCCGAAGTTGGAGACACCAATGTTGCGCACCTTGCCAGTGGCAGGCAGCTTCTGCATATCCTGCCAGGTCTTGATAAAGTCCCAGTCAGGAAGGTGCTTGGACAGGTCGTTAGGGTCGGTCGAGCTGGGCCAGTGAATGAGGTAGAGGTCGACATAGTCGGTACCAAGGTCCTTGAGAGAGGACTCAATACCCTCGTTCACGCGCTTGTGCCAGGGGTTGTCCAGCTTGGTGGTGAGCCAGATCTGCTCGCGGGGCACGCCGGAATCCTTGATACCGGCACCGACCTCGGCCTCGTTGCCGTAAGCCAGCGCAGTGTCAATGTGGCGGTAGCCAGCCAGGAGCGCATCACGGACAGCGACGCGGACCTCATTGGGCTTGGATTGCCATGTTCCAAGACCGATGGCGGGGATCTTGTCGCCGGTGTTAAGGGTGTAGGTCTTCCTATAGAGCGAAGAGCGGTTAATAAGACGGTCTATGAACATTGAGCTTAGTTGAGACTCACTGGGTGTGCTGGTTCGACATTATGGAGGTAAAAATATGAATTGTGGGAGGAAACAGGGTATGGGGGGTAGGGGTCTTTTATAACGTGAGGCGTAATAAAGTGGGCAGGTCCAAGAGCAATGATCTCAGAGGGGTAGTGGGGAATGGCGTACATTGCTACGTTCCAACCAAGAAGCAAAGGTGTTATTATCAGTAATTACCCGATTGCTAATCCATAACTCACGATAACTCCATACTCCGTACATAAGTAGCCCACATTTCAGTGATTCTCCGTCATCAATTCGCATTCCGGCTAAATAGCCAGGCCTACTGCTGACTGTACAATCACCACTCCCCGATTGGCTCCGCCTTTGTCTGTCGCGCCGTGATATTTCCCTTCCCAGAAACTTCTCATTCGCTTTCATCCGGCGACGGAGAACCCCACCTTTCTTCCGGACTCGCCCCGGATAATTAACACGTTTCCGTTATACCCGAGTCCTGGATCCCGTAACCCTTGCACCATTTTATCCCGATCGGCGTCATGTCTTCGGGATTCGTTTCAGCCGGAACCAACGAGCAACCGATCGAGCGGGACGATGAATGGCTCAAAGCGCAACAAGAGCTGGAGGAGGAGCGGAGGCGAAAGGCCGAGATAGGCAAGCAGGATGACGGCAAAAGCCTCTTTGAGGTCTTGGAGCGGAACAAAAGTGAGCCTAACTTGCGATGAGGCTGGTCTGCACCCCGCAATGGCGGAAAAGCAGCCAATGGATCCAGGAACTCAGACTGACGTGTTAGGGTAATTTCCCGCGGTTGTGTGCAGTGGCCAAACAAGAAGCCTTCGAGGAGAAAGCCCGACTCAAGAACCAGTTCCGTTCGTTGGACGAAGACGAGGTCGAATTTTTGGATTCGGTTCTTGAATCAACAAGAGCCCAGGAGGCCGCCGTGAAGCGGGATACGGCTGACCAGCTAGAGGTCTTTCGTCGACAGCGCGAAGAGGCCGAGAAGGCACTACTTGGACCGACGTCGTCGGATGTCACACCTGCGGAGGAAGAGGAATGGACTGCACCCGCGCGCAAGAGGCGCCGCGACAAGCAGAAGGATCTTTTGATTCCCGGGAAGAAGCGCAAGGCTTCGCTGACCGAGAACAGTGCCAAGTCCAGCTCCCAGGAACAAGAGTCACAGAAGCCTGGAGCTGACAGCGGATCAAAGCCCAAGCAGCCGGAGCAACAAAAGTCCAAGCCTAGTCAAGTCGCCGCATCCACAAACCCCAAGACCGCTACAAATTCCGAGCAAAGTCAACCACAAACCAAGCCGCCGGCGAAACCAGCCCCGGTCTCACTCGGTCTGGCGGGATATAGCTCTGATTCAGAGTGATGCGTCTTAGTTGACCAACCCTTCTTGGTCCCCTACTCCCATACAATAATATTCGAGCCAGGTGTCCTACTGGACCGACCTGTACTGTATACACAACAAAATCAGCTTTAGCGAATGATATACTCTATAACCGGGGATCTTGTCTCAAATGATAATTAGGGCATTATCAACGTGCATAAACAAGAATTCATTAGTATCTCTCCCTGATCTTCGCCTCTTTCTTTACAACTATTCCACTCGCCCTTCTATCTCCAATTTTGTATTGAGCGCCAAAAGGCCCGCATTGTATTCGACCGACCTATGTTCAAACCCGGGATATCAACAAGAGCTTCCTCGTGCCATCATGACTTTCCCTCCCATTCAGCAAGTTTGCGATAAATATCCTGACGGAAAGTCTGCTTCAACTCAGTCACCAGCTCACCATCAACCGGCAACGCAGACTGAACAGCACCCACACCACACAGCCCATTCTTCCGATCAATAAACCAAGCCAACGTCAACCCACCGCCCCAACTCAACGTACGCTCACCATACCAACCATCAACATCCTCGAGAGTCAACAACCCACTCATACCATATCCAACCTTAGTCCCAGGATCAACACCAACTTGGAAAAAGGGACCAACAGGACCAGCCAATTTATGCCGCTGACTCTTGCTCGCCTCCGGACCAAGCTGATGCTCAAACATCGCATCAACAGTCTCAGCCTTCAACAAAACCCCATCCCCAGCCAACAAAGAACCCAAAATCTTAACAAAATCCAAACCCGTCATAAATAGCCCATGTCCCCCAAAATCCCCCCTCGACCGTTTATTTATATCACCACCACCCCCAAGCACTGCCCGCCCAAGACCCTCCCTATCATCAGGATTAAGATCAACAAGTCTCTCCCGCAACTCCTCCCGAGTAACAGGATAAAACTGTGCATCTGAAATCCCCAGCGGAGTAAAAATCCGCTCCTGCATCCGCTCACCAAGCGTACGGCCCGTCACAAGCTCAACAATCCGTCCCGCCCAGTCCAGTCCAGGCCCGTACATCCATCCCTCGCCCGGCTGGAAACTAAGCGGGTAAGTAAAGACCTCCTCAACAGACTGCCGCGCGTCTTCATTCGGAAGCGCGAATCTCTCGCGCCATTGTGCAATGGCCGGGTCGAGGAAGTGGTATGTCACACCAGAGCTGTGCGTGAGCAGCATCCTAAGTGTAATAGGTCGAACTACCGGTTCCAGGATTGGGCTTTGGTCTTCGTCCTCCGTGAAGCCCGTTAGGACTTGCTTGGACCCTAGTTCTGGGCAGATGGGGGAGACGTCGCTGTCTAGTGTTAAGAGGCCGTCTTCGACGCATTGAAGGGCTGCGATTGTTGTTATGACCTTTGTTGCTGAAGCGAGGTATAGCACGTCGTTTAGTTGTTGGGGTTTCTTCTCGCCTGTGAGGAGGGTGCGTTCGCCTATGGCTTTGTCGTAGATGAAGGTCCCATCTTTGTTTCTGGCGCAGATTACGGCGCCGTTGATCTTTTTGGCGGCGATTGCTGCTTGGAAGCTTGCTTCGATGTTGGTCATGGTGAGTTGGGGTTGGGTTGGATTTGGTGGTTCTTTGGGTGTTCGGTTGTTGGCTTATAATGTTATACGTACTACGATATTTGCAGTAAAAGGGATCACTGTTGACTGTTGAAAGGTGAAACGGGGTTTGTACTTGGGTGCCTACACTAATCTCCTTCGGGACGCCGACAAGTCTCCAATGTGGACCAATCGGAATTGACCGTTTGGGGCTGCGAGTATAGATTGCTATTGGCTTCATATTGGAATAGTACAGCCGCATTTTCATACATTTCATACGGTTGGGGCTAATAATAGAGACTCCATTATAGGTTCCAGTCATTCCTATGGAAATGCCAGTCAAATGTTAACTTATCATGCTAACTACAACTTAATGATCTAGAGAAGATTATGAAAGAGAACGAAGTTATTAGTCGGTGCGAGGAAATCAAAGATCATTATTCAAAAATTACAATCGATCATTCGGGCCCTGACAACCACAGGAGGCACAGGAGTATACATAGAAAATACCATTTCTTCAGGCAACGATATTCCTTCATGGCAGCAGAAATATGCACGGACTGCTCAACACTCAAAAGGTACAAAGGTGAAGTGACCAAAGGATGTAAGCGTCAATTCTCAAATCTCCTCCTCAAAATGCATGGTATTCTGCTTAACCTGCTGCTCCTCAACCTTCCGCTCCAGATCATGAGTCATATAATTCTCCCTCTTGCTGCCAGGCACAATCCAAGGCGCATTAGAGAACATCTGGTTCATCTCCTCGAGAGGCACCTTCTTAGTCTCGGGCAACAAGAGATAGAAGAAGAGTGCATTAGTGAAGTTGCAAACGACGAAGATGTAGTAGAACCGGTATTGGATATTCGTCATGGCAATGGGCGTAACCTGACCGATCATAGTGTTGAACGCGAATGAAGTCATCGTCGCGATCGAGACACCCTTGGAACGTGTGCGCGTGTCGAACACTTCGGCTGGGATGATCCATGAAAGTGGGCCGCAGGTTGCTGAGAAGGAGAAGTTGTACAGCCAGGTCATGATGATGAAGCCCCAGTGGGCGCCGGTGTTGTTGGTTGAAGGGGGGAATTGGGCGAGGAGAATTGTTGCGATGATGAATGTTACCATGTTGCCGAGGTTTCCGGTGATCAATGTCCAGCGACGACCGAAGCGGTCGATGAACATCATGCAGAGGAATTGGGCGATTAAAGCAATGATTGAGTTGATTGCTTGGTAGCGGAGGGTATCTGAGCCTGAGATTCCGATCTGTTCGTAGATCTTGGGGGAGTAGTATCTGGTTTGGTCATGTTAGGTGCTTTGTTTTGCTAAAACATCGAGAAGACTTACTGGATGGCAGATACACCGGTCATCTGGACAGAGGCTTGGAGTGCACAGCAGAGGAACAACCGACGGAACGAAGAGCGGTGTGTCAGGAGCTCAACATATGACTTGGCCTCGTTCTCGTGCTCGAAGTTGATACTCTCCTGAATCTGGGCGAACTCTGCCTGGACCCAGGGGTCGTTCTCATTACCATGAGCGTGGAGCTTGGCCAAGGTTTTCAGACCTTCTTCGGCCTTGTTGTGATCAATGAGCCAGCGAGGAGACTAAGCCATATTAGATACTGCATCCAAGGCTGGGGAATGGATTGTTGAATCCCTTACCTCGGGGAAGAACATTATCAAAAGACCCAGGAACACAGCAGGGGCAACCTGCAAGCCCAGAGGTAATTGCCATTGGGCGTGGTTGTCTGGCGAGAAGCCGACGTATGTACCGTAGGAGATCCAGGAAGCGCATAGAGCACCAACACCAAGCATGAACTGCTGCAGAGCAGTTACTCGGCCACGGATGCTGGGATGACAGATCTCGGCTTGGTACAGAGGAATCATCATGGTGAGGAAACCGACACTAACGATCAGAATTAGCCATATTGTCGTTAAGGGCATTTCTCTGCGGTGGTAAGTGACGTACCCAAATCCAGCAAGGAGTCGCCCACTGTATAGATAGGCGATGGTTCTGGCGCCGGTTTGGAGGCCACCTCCCAGACAGAAGACCAAGCATCCCAACGAGATAGTTCGTCTTCTGCCAAGGTAATCGCCACTGGGACCAGCAAATCCGGCACCGAAGAAGGCACCAGCTGTGAACAGGGATACTACCAGACCACTGAGGACTAGTTAGCGAGGGAGATCCAGTTTGTCGAATATGAAACATACCTCTCGGTATCGGTTGGAGTAAACTTCGATGTGAACGATTGACAGATGATAACCTCGGCAATAACACCCAAGTCATCTAATACTGTGTTAAAATGAAACTCTTGAAGATCCGGGACGATTATACTAACATCCGTACAGGAACGAACCCAACGAGGCGAACACGCCAACCAGGAACTACAGAAACATCAGCTCAGCCAGATCAATGAAGACTACTATCCTTCATACCTGGTACCACTTTGGTGAAAGACGCATAGCGATGTACAAGTCAAACGTCACAATCAGAGTATGGGGAAGAAATCTGGGGATCTCCACATATCACAATATTCTCGGAGGGGACGATGATCCCTAGATATACTCCATCGGAAAACCGCTGAGCGCTCCAGGTTCGGAGCCATAGCTTAGGCGAAGCCACCGGCGAGGATTATCGTACGCTTCTTAGTCAATTAACCGAGCTAGACCGGAAAAGAACAACCTCCCTCGCGAGTGAAAGGCGTCTCGGTAACAAATGATCTGGCGCATTGTCGTCCATCCTAACAGCCGAGCTGGGATTCAATTCTGCGGGGACCAGGGATTACGCAGAAATGTGGCGCCATGTAGGTCGCGGTGATTGACGGAACAATTCCCACAGTTTCGGGAAGTCGCTGTTGTGAGACTGCCCTGCCGGGCTATTGGGTGAAAGCCGAGGTTTTTCCAGCTTGGCGCGTCTTAAATGGCTTATGTCGAGAGTGATACTAGCCACAACGAGCATCGTGTGGTTTCTTGCCAGCCCCTCGACGACATGATGTTCCCCGCAGGAGTTTTGCCGCTTTTAGGGCAAGCAGGACAAGCCACTTGATAAATTCCCTTCTTTTCTATGGTAAGTCATTCATGTTTTGGGTGCTTTGGAAGTTATTCTTTCTTTCTGAGAGTCGCAATCCCCAGCCTATAAGCTACTCTCTCCCGTAAACAGTAGAAAACAACCTTCTTCAAAATGACTACCTTGACCAAGTTGGAAGATCATGAGACGCCTGTCATCTCTGTCCATCCGTCTCGGCGCATCTCCAAGGTCAATCCCAACATCTATGCCGGCTTTACTGAGTGAGATTGCCGCACCAAGGCCACAGCGCATGACACAAACTAACATCCTTTATAGGCACATGGGACGCTGCATCTATGGCGGCATCTATGACCCTGGTAATCCGTTATCCGACGAGAAAGGGTTTCGGACGGATGTTCTGGAGGCGTTGAAGGGGCTCAACATCCCTGTCGTCCGGTATCCCGGTGGTAATTTCTGCGCGACCTATCACTGGCTTGATGGTGTTGGCCCAAAGGACCAACGTCCATCCAGGTATGCTTGGCTTTCACGTTACCTACTTGTTACTAGCATGTTAGCTGACTATTCGCAGACCTGAGCTTGCATGGCTTGGAACTGAGACCAACCAATTCGGTACCGACGAGTTCATGCAGTGGTGTGAGGCTTTGGGAACTGAGCCTTACCTTTGCTTTAACTTTGGAACTGGTACTTTGGATGAAGGTGTGTTTTCTCTCGATATATGTGTTGGGATCAGTGCTGATTTGGAACCAATGCAGCTTTGGGTTGGGTTGAGTACTGCAATGGAACTGGCAATACATACTATGCCAACTTGCGACGGAAGAATGGACGCGAGGAGCCTTACAACGTATGTACTCATGAGGGACACTTGCATTTCAATGCGCTAAATCTCTCAGGTCAAATACTGGGCCCTCGGAAACGAGACATGGGGTCCCTGGCAAGTCGAGCAAATGACCAAGGAAGCCTACGCCCACAAGGCTATCCAATGGGCCAAAGGTAATTCAATCACCTTCATCAATAAATACCTATACTAACAACACTCTAACAGCCCTCAAGCTACTGGACCCCAGCCTCATCCTGATTCTCTGCGGTCAAGACGGCACCGCCTCGTGGGACTACTATACCCTAAAGCACTGTCTCGTGCCAGCTCACTCAGCCCTCTCAACCAGCGCAGTTCCCCTAATCGACATGCACAGCATCCACCTCTACACATCTTCATCATCCCACCTGCCCAACGTAACAGCCCCCCTAGCAGCCGAGCGCGCCATCGAAATTACATCTGCATTGATCGACCTCGCCCGCGCCGAGAACGGCGTCCCACCAGAACAACTCCGCCCAACAATCTGCTTTGACGAGTGGAACGTATGGGACCCGATTCGCGCCGAGGGGAGCAAAGGCGCCGAAGAGAACTACAATCTCTCAGACGCGCTAGCCGTTGCCGCCTGGCTGAATGTGTTCATCCGCAAGAGCAAGGACGTCGGCATGGCTTGTATTGCACAGACTGTGAATGTCATCTCGCCCTTGATGACTAGCCCAGAGGGAATCACTAAGCAGACGACTTGGTGGCCGCTTTATCTGTTTTCACGCTATATGCGTGGCTGGACGATTGCTAGTCATGTTTCTTGTGGGACTTATGAGGGTGAGACTTTGCCCAAGTGGATTCGCAGTGCTAAGGATACGCCTTGGTTGGATGTTAGTGCTACGCTTGGTGAGGATGGGTTTGTTAATGTCGCTGTTGTGAATATTCATGATGAGAAGGATTTGGAGAGTAAGGTTGAGGGCGCTACGGGTGATGTGGCTGTGTTTACTGTTACTGGTGGTCATTTGGCTGCTACTAATATGAACGGTGCGGAGGAAGTGCGTGTCGAGGAGACAATTTGGAGTGGAAACGGGAATTATCTTTTCCCCAAGCACTCTCTTACTTTGCTCAGATGGAAGGCTGAGTAGGCTTCTTTCGTCTGGAGTATGGTGATAGACTTTCAAGTATAGATGTCAAAGTGATTATTAGATAAGAAATTGATACATGAATGTAGTCTTCTTTCAAGTTGACAAGGGTTCAGCAATTGTATTGTACTATGCTCTAGCCATAAGTGACATCGTGAACAGCGCCTTCCTCGTTAACGTGGATGTTGAGTCTAGTTCAAGATATGATCAGTAAGCCGTCATCATGTTGCTGACCTCGGGAGGATCGACTATTACCTGTCCGGGTTGTGATCCATTGTCTTCATATCACCTGGCTTCAGAACACGGTGGGATTCAGGGAGGTCCTTCTTAGCAAAGGACTAACGAATAGTTAGACTTCCATGTTCTCAGGAATGTCCAATCTCCACATACCGTCTCATTACTAGAATCGCCAATCTTCTTGCCCATAAGCTTATTGACCCATTCGGACTTATCGCCCATCGTGGAGTTGATCCCCGGTACAACGAGAGGCATGATGAATAAAAGATGCGAATGTGTTATCAGAGTAAGATGAGGAAGAGAGACGTCCAGGCGGCCGTATATAAGCCAGCGCTCATCGATGACGTAGTGTCCCAATCGGGTATAGCGTTGATCCATCAGCGATCAGACCTGGATGTTGAATATCGCCTGTTTACTCTGACTGGCCTCTACTCTGATTGGTTTTGATATGATGTCAAGCTTGGAGGAAACAGGTGTAATATCCTCTTATCAAACTTCTACTGGATCTAAATATGATATGGTGGAGGCTTAGCATGGGGCAACATCCGATATGTATTGCATAGTGGAGCTTATCAGAGTGACTATAAGACTGACATTGACTGGCATAGCTCGTAGCGCTAATATTGACCGACAAATTTGACCCGTGATGGTCCTATATCTTTGCCATGACGCTCCTCTTCCTCTGTCGACGAAGGATCAACGGGGTCCACGGCGGGTATCGTCCGATGTACCTCTGTTGCCTTTGTTCTATCCCGCCATAGTAGGAACTGAATAGCAGCAGTGACAAGGACTAGTGTTTTGTTAATAGTTATTATAAATGGACTATTTCAGTCCGACTTACTAAGCAGAATTTGGAGCACAATTGACCATGTATATCCCTTAGCAGCCCGAGGGAACGCAGTAGTCTTCCACACAAAATTAGGAGCCTGTAATACCTGTCAGTATAAATCTTCTAATTCAGGCTCTGAGAAACTTACAACAGCCTGAACGACATAAGCAAGGTCATTCGCCATTGCAACAAGCAACGCTCGCTTCTCCGTGTCATCGGAGCAGATCTCGTTGATCCAACTGAGAATCAGAGGACCCGCGCCATTCTATGGAGCTTGTTAGGCAGTTTTATATAGTATATGAGAGTTTCGACGTACCCCAATGTTGCTTAGCCAATATACTGCCATTCGGCCCTTGATATCCGAGTATAAAGGTACCTTGAGTAAGAGAACACTCATGAGAAGCTTTTTGATGAAAATATCTGTTAGCGATCATTAGAAAAGGAACGGGGATTTGCTTACAGTGATCACAGCACCAGCGTAAATGAATGGCCAGCGAGCACCTCGGCAAGGCCCGTCCGAGAGCCAGCCCCAGATCAATGCCACGACAATGAAGATACCAGTCGTGGGAAGTGGTACTTGATATTTGATTAGCTATCTAGAATGAGGCATAATGAGAGGTAACTGAAACTCACGATTGTTAATTTGCGGAACAGAGAAAGATTTTCCTGGAACTGGGGCAGGGTGGGCATTGAAGCTCTTGAGCCAATAGCCCATACCGGCCTGGGGTATACCATTATTCCAGACGATGTACAACATTGCTGTTTCACGGCGTTAGTCCACTATCAGAAGCAGAGCAACTTGGGGACTCGCGGATGCGATGACATACGGAGAAGGTAGGTATGCCAGCTCAGAAGAATTCTCTTCACTTTTGCCTTTGTCCAGGGCTGCTTTCCAGCACGACCGATGAGCTGCATTCTCTTCAATGAGAGCACATGCTCTTCTTCGGTTGTCCACCATGTTTTCTTTCCGCCTTGGGGGAGATTGGGGAAGAAGAGATAGCCAGCGACTGCGAGCGGTAGCGTGATAATTCCGTCGATAATGAAAAGCCAGCGCCCTATTTCTATTTGTTAATTGTGTCGCGCACATCCGTTGGGTCATAATCAAGGGGCAAGATGAATCAAGAGAGTTGAAGAATGAATAGGAGAAGTGAAATAGGGGCTGGGGGAGAATCCGGGGTTACATACAGCCTGCGTAACCATTCGTCCCGTTCAGATTCTTATAAGCAGCTGCCTGCAGAAAGCCGCTGAACAAAGAGCCGACGGAGCCAGCCAGCCAAAAGACCATAGCTCGCTTTCCGATCTCCCGAGGGGTATACCATGATCCTAGAAGGTAGTGAATGCCTGGGTAAAAACCGGACCTGTACCGACTGTCAGGTCATTTTATACTTAGGTTATTATAAGTGAACATACTCAAAAAAGCCAACTAGGAAGCGGAGAGCATAGAGCGCATGATAAGATTTCACACTCGACGTGCAGATGGTCGCAATACCCCATCCTACCTCAAGTGAGGGTATAACCCAACGTGGGGACACTCTTGTGAGAAGGAGATTAGAAGGGATTTGGCCAATAACGTAGCCAACAGTCCAGATGGATGTGCCTGTAGCGGTACTACTAGTTAGTAGCTTTCCAAGAACGGGGAAATTTCCATGAGACAAATCATACTAGTGACGAGTTGGTTGCCAAACATTTGTAGGTCCTCTTCCATTCCACTAAGAAAAGCATTGTTGACATTCGTTTGGTCGATGTTCTTCAGAAAATATCCAATCGAAGCAAATGTGAGAACAAATGCATCGACTTTGAAAAGAAGCCATCTCTCATCCGGCGGAAGGTCCCATGTATCCCACAAGTAGCCTTTCCATGACTTTGGTTTCACGGTGCTATTATCGGAAGAGTCATTGGAAATATTCTCAACGTCTCTGTTTATCGAAGTTATAGTCACTTCACCATTATTTCCTGTTTTTCCCATTGTAAAGTAGAAGCTGCTCAACTACAGCCAGCGCAAAGACTAGAAAGTGTGCATGAGACGTCATTCTGCTTTTTGATGATAGTCGTAGTATTTTATACATTTCGAGGGGTATGGGCTCAGCAATCCTAGCGATCGCGTCAGTTACGAAGCCTCTGCTATCCCCCACTGTTTTCTGACATTTCATGGGAGATCTAGTAATGAGCCGGGACTAATCCCTTAGCCGGAGTCTATAGGGTTATCTAGCCCGTCTGGGCGCATTGCAATGCCACGGCGTATCTTGCGCAATACTTACGCCATTTGCTTTAGATACATTTCGAGATACTGAGATATATGTACGATGTCAGATGTTGTTCAATTATTTCAGGTCTCGGGCAATAACCGAAGTCTACGTGGAATGATTCTGTTGCGTGCTAAGGCGTAATCCGACTATCTTTTGCGTGATATTGGAAATGTCGGATAGTTTCTAGCTCGGCATGCTGCGTAGATAACTATTAAAGAGGGGTTCCTCTTCTTATTCGGTCGGGTTTTCGGAGAATCATACCAGGAGGAACTGAGATTGAAATGGAATATAAAATTTGGAAATCTGACAGTTCTATAGTAAAACACATTTGACATGCCATATTTTGGAAATTTCTTCGCGAAAAAGCCATGACATTGCCTTTGACCTAGTCATTCGGCTATAAAGAAGATATACATTATCACTACCTTCATCCGTGGACAGGACATAGCCCTCATGTTGGTTGCTAAAAGGAGCCTTACTTGGTGCGGACTGGAACACTATTACGCTGTAAATGAGGGCTCGCATATTGAACAATCCTTGCTCTTGCAACTTCGTATTTCTGTGCTCTACCACAGCCAAGTCACCGCAGCAAGCCGCAGTGGTCCTAGTGACCTTGATAATTAGCGACTGGACAATCAAAAGAAGAATTGTAACAATAGCCGTCGTCGACCTCCCACTTTACAGCAAGAACTGCATCCCAATACAAGTCATGCCTGCGTTTCTCTTGTGGGCATTTTTGCGGAAGCGTAGTGGCTCTTAGATCCAGCTATATCGGCCTCGGAGGGGCGAACTGGAAGCGAAGCTGTGAGAATTTCAACGCCAAATGATACAGGAACCAAATGGATCCGGTTGGGTTGGGGACAGTTTAGCGGTAGCAGGTCGCGCTTCAACTGTTGATGCCGGCGCGACCCTAGTGGCGTCCCCTAACCTAATTAGGCACTCATTAAGTTGAACAAAAATTTCTTGTCTCTTCGATTTAGTGAGTCTACTACATGCAACAAAATATCACTCGGTTCTTGTCCTTATTTAATAGATCTTGGCTATCATTTCAGGCCCAGGAAATGCCTCTGTCCCGCAGGATTCTTTGCATCGACTGGATACCATTGATCTCATCAAGTACTATCGACCGTTTCTCAGTTCTTTAGCGTGTGAAAAGAGCGATCCCCTCGTTCCTATACGCGGTGGTATATTTAGGGCTAGTCGGTCATGTGATTGTCGACAAGCGTCTACCTTATTGTAGATCTGGCTACATCCATTTTAAGGACATTAACGCAAAGATAAAAGTAGTAGGTAAAATTATAGCCTTTATTGCTATCTATTTATCATTGTTTTTGGTCTTTCAATCTTTTCCCGAAAATATATATCACTAGTCTACTGCAACCAACTCACACCAAGTTTATTGGCACAGTCAATTCTTTTTCGCTTTTCCTTTTTCTACGTTATTAATGTATAATTGAACAGCAAAGAAACTTAAAATATACATAGAGAGAGAGAGGTATGTGCAAGTGACGTCAAGGTAGGCATAGGAATGCCGGGAATGCAAGGGAACACGAAGAGTCCAGCTGGGTTCACAGGGATAACCAGTCAGTTAGTCTACTTATTTTAAGTTAAGTAAAGAAAGAAAAGAGAAAAGAAGGTACACATAAAAAGTAATTCAACCTGCTTTTACATAGAAAATGATATCAACATCA